AACTGATCTTGTTTAGGCTAAAATAGTCCATTATATGGATTAAGAAATTAAACTGTTCTAAGCTAACCTAACATAACAACCAAACTTGCTGTACCAATTAAAAATTCCGTTTGATAACAGAATAGGCAAGTTAAACACGAAATTTTTAAATGTTACACAGCAAGTTTGGTTAGTTATGTTAGGTTATTTTTTTATAACAGTTTCATTTCATTATTGTTTGTTGATACTGAACAATATTTATCGTAGTTGTCAGCTGATATGTTTCAATTTGTTAAAATTGATATATCGAGAAAAAAAATCATCGATAATAATGAATGTTCCCTTTAACAGGAAAGTACCCCAAAATCCCATTATAAATTTTGAAGCTCGTTTTTTGTGTCTAGTCTTTTTCATGTCCGGTGACACTGATCGCTAGTGTCGATGAAATTTTGTTTATATTATTTTAGGGTTAATGATATTTGTGGTTTACTGTTTGGTGACATGGTGGAAGGAAAATACAGTTTGGTTATAGGGGACGAAACGAGTGTTTAAATGACTGAAGTGACAAGAAACAGATTGTAAACAAAATACGACCTCTACAGTGCACCGGACAGAACTAACAATAAAACTGGCTTCAGCTGTCCCATATGGTTGACAAATTTACCAAGGGAATGTGTTTTATCTAAGGTTCAAACCTGTGAAAACTATAAAATTTTTTTTTTTTTTTGTTAATTTTATGTTTATAAACTACAATTATGAAAGAAAATCTTGCTGAATCGGATCAGATCAACATTTCAGTAAATTTCAAATAGCAATTACCTTAAAACTATACGAACTATAGGCTATCCTAGGTATAACGAACGATGCCAAGAGACGCTTTAGACCGTAGACTTTTAACTGTCCTTTCTTCTATGTTTTTATGTGAGAGTAAAGCTGACTTGTTTATTCTTCAATAGAACAGATTTAACTCGCTACAACCTATACCGATATCTTTATGATGCTAGAGGCGCGCAGCGAGATGAGAATTGGTTTCCATTTTTTCTGGAACTGTCTACAAGTTCATTGTACAATTGACACAAAAATAAAAATTAAATTGCATTTAATTAACCTAGTACAGGTAAAATAGGGTTTTATAAACAACAAAATTTGTACATTCATGAAATTTTACCTGTGAGTTACTAATAATATGAGAAATGAGGATTCGATGAGTCCCCAAAATTTTGGGTGTCCTAAGGCCCTTTTTGGGGCCTTTTTTGTTCCGAAGGGCCCTTGTTCCTGAATAATTTTATTTTAACGTTTAAGGTCGAGTGAGGTGTGGTTTTCGATGGTTTTAGTTATTTTAAATCGATTGGGACTAGTTTTAAGTGAATCAAACCACTCCATACAGAGTGTTTCGAAATATTATTACTTTTTACGATATTTAAACATTTATTCATAAAGTGATAAAATTAGTTACCTCCATGCTCTATATAAAAAGGGGTTTATTGAAAATAACTGTAATTGTTTACTATATAAGAGGGAAGGATCACAAGGAGTAAGAGAAAATATTAAATACCCCCGTCACAGCAAACCTGCAGACTAAGCGAATTTTCATTTGCCCGATTTTCAATTAAATCTAAAATAGCATTGTGTTTAACCAACAAAAACAACAAACAACAAAATATACCTAGGTTTGCTGCTACAAGGAGGCTAATAAAGTGTGTTTATAGTAAAAAATGTATAGCCTATTATAAAACAAATAAATTTTACAAGTTTGATCAAAATATATCTATAAACAAACAAACAAAATCATTTTACACTATTATTCTACATAAGAATAACATGGGAATTTTAAATTTACAATTTTAGCATTTTTATCCGAAACTAATAACCATACAAAAACACGTTAATATACTAAACTAGAGGACCCATGCTGCTCCGCAGCGCTAAAATAAATACAATATCCGAGAAATAATCAAATTTATGATTTTTGATTGAGTAATACAGTATCTTGAGCTTAACTGATTCAAACGATCATTAGCTCAAATTAAAGCCTATAATTTATTGATTTGTTTGAGTTTAAAACATATAGAAAAGTATGAATAATAATGGAGCTATTGATTTTTAATCATATACAAACCTTATGAAAAGTAATTTAATGTTGGTTGTTCACCTTGCGTTTGCTTGAAACTCGTGCGATTTGAATAACTAACAGCTTAAATAAAAACCAGTATTTAACTGATGGTTCTTAGACTAAAATATATAGAATTATAAAACTACTAGCTGTACCCGCGGGCTTTGCCCCGTTTCACTTCATAAGTGAGCTCGTTCGCATGGCTCAATCACGTCCTGGTTGAAGTTCGTTCGCTACGCTCACTCACCTTTAGGTTGGAGCTCGTTCGCTGCGCTCACTTGCCTTCAGGTTAGCTCGTTCGCTACGCTAACTCGCCTCCAGGTTGAAGTTCGTTCGCTACGCTCACTCACCTTTTGGTTGCAAATTTGCTGTTGTTAAGATTCATTAATTCTATTTAAATATGAGTACTCATAAGGTTAACATGGGAAACTCCAGAGCCACTGAGGCGGAGCCCGAGAGTCCGATCAAAATAAAAACAACTTAGTTTTCCTATTTAATGCCTAAAGAATCAGCCTCCTAGGTAAATGGGAAGTGGGAAAATTAGTGATGAGTGAGTGAGTGAGTGAGTCAGTCAGTGAGGGCTTTGCCTTTTATATATTTAGATAACTTGTGAAGGTACATCTTAAATTAAAGTAAGAATTATAAAATAAATCAAATTATGAGTTTTGGTCGAGTAATACTGTACATAAATATTTGCCGATGCTTTGTGTGAAAGCTTGGCGTGCATGCCTTCCATTTAAGACCTCAATCATGAAAATCGGTCGGGTAGAAGAGCCAAACGAAATCGGAAAAGAAAACCCAAATTTTTTAAATACATAAGATTATTTGTTTCTAAGCTATTTAAAATGTTCTAGAGAAAAATTGGGAACCTTTGTGTTTTGAGGGTAAAGTAAAATAAGAAAACCCAATTTTTACTCCACAAACCTCGTTCCCATTGTTCAGGACAAAAATGCTTGTACCGACAATGCTGCTCTGATGTCTTCGTGCTGTCCTGGTCGTTATAACAACGAAAGATAACCGTACTTGTATGGATTGAAAATAAGTTTGAGGAACTTAAGATACAAGTTGCAAACGTCAGTATGTGTGAAAAGTGTTTTTGCACCACATTGTTTGTGCTTTAAGATTGGTGTTGCCTGTTCTGCAATATGCAAGGTTTTAGGTTTGTAAAGGGGAATCCTGCTTGAACACCAACTTGGACAAAATCAGTAAAGATGGACAAGTAGCTAAGAATAATAAAATTGTTAATGAGTCGTCTGAGATTAATTATTGTGATGATGAAATTGTAAAGAGAGATACTACGGAAATTGTAGAAAAATGGCTTTAGTTTAAGTACTTCGTTTTAATATGTAATGTAAGGTTTTATACAAATACAATTGTTTTAATTTTTTTTAAATGTAAGAAAAATAGCTTAAATAACTACCTTAGAAAAATACATATCAATTTGAAATTGGTCTTAATAGATTTGCATAAAAAAACACGTTAAAAGATTATTCACACCACCTTAAAAGTTGAAATTTTTCTTAGTAACCTATGTTATAGTGTAAAACTTAATCCATCCCCTTTTAGCGAACATCCCATATAGGCTATTACCGATAAGCTATTACCGAAGGTCTTATGGTAAAACATAGACCCGAAACCGATTTACGTTTTCATTTCGATGCACCCAGAAGCCTAAAGCACCATCCACTCAAAATATTATATATGTGTTTATATACGTATATATAATATAATATATCCATGTTATATACGTGTCCGTAAACATGATAACTCGAGTAATTTTGGGTCAATTTTAACGAAACCGGCATAATCGGTCCATGGAACCGATATGTTTTATATTTCGTGGTAAAAATTTTTAATCTTTGACCCTCAAAAGACAAAGTCTCCCAATTTTTCTCTAGAGTATTTTAAAGAGCTTAAAGAAAACAAATAATTTAGTATATTAACGTGTTTTGTAAGTGTTTTAGTTACGAATAAAATTCAAAAATTGTAATTTTAAAATTCCATGTTATTCTTAAGGAGAATAGTGTAAAATGATTTTGTTTGTTTGTTTATAGATATGTCTTAATAAAACTTATCAAATTTATTTGTTTTATACTAGGCTATTAATATTTTACTATAAACACACTTTATTAGCCTCCTTGTAGCAGCAAACCTAGGTAATCGTTAAACGCAATGCTATTTTAGATTTAATTGAAAATCGGGCAAATGAAAATTCGCTTAGTCTGCAGGTTTGCTGTGACGGGGGTATTTAATATTTTTTTTCGGACTCCTTGTGATCCTTCCCTCTTATATAGTAAAGAATTACAGTTATTTTCAATAAACCCCTTTTTATATAGAGCATGGAGGTAACTAATTTTATCACTTTATGACTAGATGATTAAATATCGTAAAAAGTAATAATATTTCGAAACACCCTGTATGGAGTGGTTTAATTAACTTAAAACTAGTCCCAATCGATTTAAAATAACTAAAACCATCGAAAACCACACCTCACTCGACCTTAAACGTAAAAACAAAATTATTCAGGAACAAGGGCCCTTCGGAACAAAAAGGGCCCCAAAAAGGGCCTTAGGACGCCCAAAATTTTGGGAACTCATCGGATCTTCATTTCTCATATTATTAGTAACTCACAGGTAAAATTTCATGAATGTAGTCTACAAATTTTGTTGTTTATATGGAGTGTTTTTGTATTATTTTACCTGTACTAACCCTTACGCTCTTATACTGGAAAAATATCAGTAATGTTTAAGGCTTCAGATTATACAGGAGAAAGAGAAATCTACTTGCATATCCCAAGTCATTGCTGAAATGGAGTGGTAACTTGGTTTCTGTTCCTATTTATCTTGCAGGTTTTAAATTTTCGCTCTAAATAAGATCACTTTTAAACTTCTGTTTTGTTTTTCAACAGGAGATGGGGACGATTATCTGAACCTGGCACTCAAGGACGGAGGAGTGATCTTGACGATGAGTCTGGGCAGTGGCAAACTGGACGTGCAGATCAAGCCCAACAGAGTGCGGTTTGACGACAACCAGTGGCACAAAGTCACCATACACCGCAGAGTGCAGGAGGTAGGCTACAGCCTTCAGATCTTCACCATTGTCAATCTTAAGCTCTGATTACGTGTGCTATGCAATACGGTATTGAAATTACATGGCTTACAGTTTAACTTTACAGAGACACTTTATATGTCGTAATAGAAAAAAATAAAAATATAGCCATTTGGTTATTTGGTCTATTATGTAAGTTACGGTGAGTTGTTTATACTTTGGTTACAGCTAGTATGCAGAGTATCTACTTATATATATACAGTGTGTCCCGTAACTCTCTGGACACATGTATATAGCGTTATTGCTTAGGTCAAGACCACATTTCACCATATCAACATGGGTCTGTGGTGCCTAGTTTTTCGTCCGTCTGTTTTTACAAAAAAATAATAACTATTAATTGGTTTGAGATACAGCGTTCAGTTTTTACAAAAGATTTTTATATTATTAAGATCTATCTTTGTGCAAAATTATACTAAAAACTCATTAACCGTTTCAAAGTGGCACCCATTTAAAATATTTGATGCCAAATTTCACAAAAACCTAACAAAAAAATTGTAATAGACAAAAAAGTTAGTAAATTTTATTTAGTTTTCTATGATACCTTATTTGTTAAGAATGGATAAATAATAACAGAGAAATGTCTTCTTTACCAAATGCATGAGTATTTCCAAGAAGTGCATCGTATCAATTTGTAGGAAATTTTATTCTCTTTCAGAATATCATCTTCCACTTTGGTCGATTTCCTCACCATTTAAAAGTTATTTGCAAAAAAGCTAAGCAGCCTCCGAATTTATAGTTGTTAGAAATACTGAATTAGAGATATTTTTTTTTTAAATTGTGTAGAATTAAATCTACAGTTTTAGGCTACTAGGCAGTTTTTATTAAATAATATGTCAATGGAAAGCTTCATCCATGTAGATTTGCAAATAATTATGAAAGTGTGATCTTTTTTAGATTTATGGCAGTAATGGGTTTGCCGGAATGCATCATCTAATCCTCATTATACGAAAACAGTTTCTAAAGTTGTGTTTTATCTGTACCATTAATATTAGTGAGCAAAGTGGTGCATGTATTTCATAACTGTTATTTTCCTAGAGACTGTTGCATTTAACCGGCTCTGTTGCTAGTTCTATAATAAAATAGTGATCAATTAGGGATCATTAAAATTGTCTTTTAACTACTTAGGCCTAGTATGGTTAAATTTACTACAGAAGAAATTATCAATTTGTTATTTTGTTTCAGATATCAGCTGTAACCAGTTTTTGCAGGGTAAGCTTTTTATAGCCTCCTTATCAATTTATTTACTAAAATAGAGTGCATAAAATGCATGTTGATATATAGATAATTGTTTTATGAAATAGAAGAAACAATCCTCAAAATTACTCCAAGCAAACTTAAAAACATACACAGGGATTGTTAAATTGAAAGAAAACGTTTTGTGGTTTTATTTTGTAGCGTTGGGTGTGCATATTGACAAACTTTAAGTTGGCCATAATGGTCCACAGGAAAACCTCTAAAATCACGATAAAAAATTACGGCTTTTCCCAACATTGGACAAATTTTAAACAGTTACCTCATGCATTTTTATGCACATTTTTTGAGAAATTAATTTGGGACCGCCGCCGATATTTATTGGGAGGTTAGTACTTCATTTTGATAGGGAATGCGTTTTCGGCTGCTATCTTGGATCCGCATAGTTGGGTATGATTTTAAATGTAATGATAGTGTTCTGACACATAATCATTAGCCTACAAACTAGATTTTCACACAGATTTCAATACCGAAATTTGTTTTTAAATATATTTTTTGTTTTAAAGATACAGTATATTGAAACGAAAACCGTGTCCATACATTTCTTATGGACGTTTTGTACTTTGAAAATTTTTTATGATTATTTTTAAGATATCTCCAGTTCTTATTAATGCTTGCAATTCGTTTTAGCTTTAAAATATTCAGTGATGTAAGGGCTTTAATTTAAATGATTAATTATTAAACAAAAAATATGGTTGAATGAGCCATATACAGAGTGTACTTCAGTCTAAAATATTAATGTTTCCTTACTTTCTGTTACTGGGATAGTTCGTTGATAGTCTTGATGAAAAAAAGTTGGAGTTAACAACCGAAATTAGTAAATGACATCAACACACTCGAATGGTGGTTCAATTCTACTATATTTAATTTAATTCTAAAGTTGTCTAGAACTTTAACATGGGAATGGAATATTTCATTCCATCGGTATCGTAGTCTAATCTATTATTTCAATACTGATGTTTGTTGTCAGCTGTCAGCTGTGGTGGACGGTGTGTACTCTGAACACTCCAACACAGCAGGGACGTTCACTATGTTGTCCTCCAGCAGAGTGTATGTGGGAGGTAGTGAGAACACCATCGCCCTGCCTGGCTCTCTCGCTATTGTAGTCTAATCTATTATTTCAATACTGATGTTTGTTGTCAGCTGTCAGCTGTGGTGGACGGTGTGTACTCTGAACACTCCAACACAGCAGGAACGTTCACTATGTTGTCCTCCAGCAGAGTGTATGTGGGAGGTAGTGAGAACACCATCGCCCTGCCTGGCTCTCGGATACACGCTAACTTCATCGGCTGCCTCAGGAAGGTCTGTATCACAAGTTAACAATAAAATGTTAATAAGTTATAAAATGTTACAATGATTTTCAATTCTCGTAGAGTCCATGACCTCTCATTTCATTTCTACACAAATAAATATTAATTTGATTACAGCCTAAAATCATACTGAGCAACAAGATTTGTATTAGTTGTAACTTTTGTAAAAAACTTTTTCTCTTGCAATATGTTTTAATTTATTAAATTTCTCTACAACAGGTGGAGTACTCTGCAGACACCCTGAAGCTAAACCTGATAGAGCTGGGCCGCACAGGCAGCAGGTTGATAGCAGTGGCCGGACACATAGACTTCATGTGTCAGGAGGTAGAGGCTGCAGACCCCATCACCTTCACCACCCAGGCATCTCATCTGGTCAGTAGAAACTCTAACAGGAGAGTCAGGGGTTGGGGTTTCTGAATTTAAATAAAACCCCAAAATACAAACAAAAGTTTCCATGGGCACAAAAATGATGGGTTTAGTAACAACAATAACTAGGGATGAGGCTTTTAGTGCTTAGGGACTTATGCCCAGGAGGCAGTGGCTCAGCGTGGAACCAGTGGAGCTGTCATTCCAGGGATCCACTTACTTATTGTTACTTATTATTTACTTATTGGAGAAAATACAACTTATTTGGTAGCTACACAAAATTAAAGTTTGGCTATCTCTGGCCAGGAAAATAATATAACTTAATTTGAAAATAAACATTAAAAAAATTTCTCTGAATTTAATATGATTTGTACGGTATTAAAATGTAATATTTTTTAGATATATTGTAGTTTGTCACCGCGGCCAATTATGCTGAGTACCTTTATGATAGTATTTGTAAAGGTGCACTCAATGTTTCCTTATTACATCAAATCTGCACTCAATGTTTCCTTAATACATCACAATATATAATAAATAAAAGCTAGATTTTTTCCTTTTACAATCCATTGGTGTAATTTCAACAGACACACTTGATAAAAAAAGTATTAGTTTCTTCAACTGTCTCCAAATTACATTAGAGTGAGCTGCATGATTTGATCAGAAGCCATTGATGGAGATTTGTTGATCACCAGAAGTAATCCACTTGAGACAAGCTGCTTATGTCACTTCGACAACCAGCTTTGCTAAAGCTTATTTTATAAAGTTTACTTTTGCTTTTGACATTTAATAGCTGTTGTTCCTCTACAACTTTTTAAACCCAATATTATAACTTTTCAGTAATTACTTTATTTATAACAAAGTGATTTGAAATTCCAGTTTAGAACAGTAGCTCTGCCCATTTAATTAGAGATAAATATGGCTGAGAACTTGTTGGCACATGTATCAGCTAAAAGGTATAGCAGTAATTTTGATTTCCAAAAGTAAAGAAAATCATTGAACTTAATGATAGTAAGTTTTATATTATTACTATTTTAGGAGATAATACATTTCTTCTACAAAACATCAAAATTTGCACTGTAAAGCTTTTATGGAATTATGTTTCTTTTCAACACTCTTTATAAAATTTGATCCTAGCTATCTTTCTTTTTCAATGAAGGCAGTGCAGGCAGCAGGATCATTTATGTATTTATGGTGACATGTGATGTTGCTTGACAGGTTGTGCCTGCATGGGATGCTACGAGGAGTGGGTCTATCTCCCTCAAGATCAGAACTGTGGAGGCCGACGGACTTATCATTTACAGCAGCGGTCCTCGTACCTCTCATGTAAGAAACGCTACTCTATAATTACTCTATAAGAATATCGTACGACACAGTGTCGTGCGACTGAGGTCGTATAGTGGGCGAGAGGCCTAACCAACTGATAACTGGACTATCTATTGTACTTTCTACAGCACTCTTACTTGACGGAATCTACGCCTCAGTAAAATTGGGAATTGAAAAAAAGTTAATTTGTTCATCAGATGTAATCAAGCAATGTGTTCCCCAAGTTATTGAGTTGCACATTGTATATGATTGTTAGGTTGTTATAATTATAATTGTATATTAAATTAAATTGTATGCTTATTTTACCAAGTTATTGTTTTTTTTTATTCTTTTTTTTATGTGTAGTGAAGTGTGAAGAGCTTTTATTTTGATGAAGCAGCCAGTAAGGACTCTATCACGCACAGGTCATTGTGACCCATGTGATATTTTTATTTCTTAATGTATTTGCTGCAAAATAATGTGTATAAATAAAGAATTTCTCTCTCTCTCTCTACTCTTGGTCAGTTGAATGAGTTAAATATTTGTGAAAGATAGCCACGTTCTGATTATTTTAGGAGACTCAAGCAATTTCCTATTTATTGCTTTTCTGGCAACTTTTGGTAATAATTTACACAGCTACTCAAAAAAGAAAATTTGGAGGGAAATTAAATCTCAAAGAAATTATTTTAATGAGCCAATTGTGTTGTAAAACGTAGTGAGAAAATAACTATTTAATTTTAAGCTATATAAATTCCAAGCCCGTCAAACAACCATCTTTATGTTGGATTGGCCTATCCAAAAGACCTCACCTGATTGAGCACTAGTTCAGAGATCATTCCTCAAAATTATAGATACATAAAATTAAACTTTGACTTTTAGAAATTAAATCAAAGAATATGCAATCCTGCATTTGGACCCACAGTGAATGTGTACTGTATTGCAGTTATATGTAGGCTACTTATTTATTTATTACAGTACTCACAGTAGGGAAGACAAAAATCATCAATCAATAAGAATGCTGTGCAATTGAATGAACGCTACGCTATAATTTAGAGAGAGGAGAGTAGATAACCCTATACTTATCCACCAAAGCATCAAAAAATTCAAAACAGGTTGGAGAAAAATCAGTGGCACAAAAGATGAGTTGGACTGTACAATTATCCTGACTTTTTGGTGTATTTTATCTACCAGAAGCTGTACTCATCAATTACAGCAATAATTTAATGATGTTGACTGTTGTAGCTGGCACAAGCAGATCTGTTTGCCCTGGAAATGGTTGGAGGACATCTGTACCTTCACCTGGATCTAGGGTCAGGTGCTGTCAAAGTGAAGGCAACCACTCGGCGAGTGGACGATGGAATGTGGCATGAGATCATGTTGAAGCGCAATGGACGGGAGGGACGACTCACCGTAGACGAGAACGCTGCAGACTTCAGCACTCCAGGTATGTAACTCGATAATCACAAATGAACTGATAAAAATTATGTGAAGTTTTACCTTTTTTTCCAAGTGCTAAATAGATTATACCTTTTTTATATCATTGCGCATTAGATACTGAAGACTACATAATATGTTTGATATGTTGACGCACATTATGTTGAAGTTTACAGTAAGCTGCGTTTTCAATTCGGCTTAATGAGAAGTTGGGGTAATTTAGAGAAATCAGTGGTTAACAGCTACAGACTCTGTCACTGACTTCATCAAACGATGATCATGTTTATCCTACAGCTGGCACTAGGGCTTCTTAAAGTGACTCTTTTTGACACAAGCCCATAAGGAGAAATGAGCAAGGGTTTCCTTTTTAGTGCAGTATGACAAAAATCATGTGTACAGAAAAAATTAATGTGTATTATGATATTCTTGTTATTTTAGGGGAATCAAACCAGCTGGACCTGGAAGGTGGGATGTACATCGGTGGCCTTGGTCCCATGACCTTCCCCCTCCCTCCAGCTCTTTGGTCTGCTGTACTCAATGTTGGCTACGTTGGCTGCATGAGGGACTTTGTAGTCAATGGGAAAGCTCTTGACATCGCTGAATATGCAAGACAACAAGACTTCAGTAAGTATATCACAGGATCATTGTATTTTGCCAATAGAAGACTAAAAGGTAGTCTATTAAGACTAGAATTAAAGGCAAAGCAAACAAAAAAAAAACTCATAGATTGTTTGACACATCTTTCAGGCTCCATCCAACCATCCTGTCACTCTCTGGGAACCCAGTGTGACTCCCAGCCTTGCATGAACTCTGGCCTCTGCTCCGAGGGCTGGAACCGGTTTATCTGTGACTGTTCAGCCACCAGTTTTGCTGGACCAACTTGCGGAAAAGGTATTTCAGAGTTAAGAATTTTCACAAATAAATTTGTTGGATGAAAGGATAAAAATGCAGAGCAAACTCACTTTTAGAATATAGGCAGGATGGTAGTAAGGTTAAACTCCAAACCAGAAAATAATAAAATCTTGAAAATTTTGATTTTAGTTATAGAGTTAAACACTAAATTACACTCATCTGAAAGGGGTTAAAATACTTATAAATCTTCATCTAAAAGGTTTTCAAAGAACTCATGTACAACTCATAGTGTGCTGCTACTCAAAGGAGGATTTTTTAAATGGAAAGGTAGTAATTAAAAAACAGTTTTCTTCATTTTCTGATGTTTCACACAAATAAAAACCAGTAAAAAAATGTAAGATACAAAAAATAAAGAATGAAGTTTTGTTTGTTTTGTGTTTGCAGAGGCAACCACTCTGAGTTTCAATGGGTCTCAGCACATGGTTGTGATTCTACCGCAGGAGCTGAGGTCTCAAACAGAGGACGTGACTCTCAGGTTCCGCACGACTCGTCCTCTCGGTCTGCTGCTGGTCACCAGCACGGACCAATCAGCTGACAGACTACAGCTGGCGATATCCGCTGGCCGTGTGAAGCTCACTATCCGTATCGGGGACAAGGAAAAGGTACACTTGGACCTTCAAATATTAATATTGTCTACTATTAATTAGTTCTTTCTTTAATATTCAAGAAATTTGTTACTTTTGACAAAAAAATATCAACTTCGTTGAATGAAAGTGCTTAATTTTTCAACTACAACAATATACTGTAGTAAAAGCTACAAAGTCAACCATGTGTCCTGTGCAAGAGTTTATAGTGTGGAATCCATTCCATACACTCATGTTTATAAATCTGTTGAGTTTGAAGGTATAGTTGGAAATTAAAAACTTGATTTTAAATCTGCAGATGTTTCCTCTAGTTTTGATTGATGTTATTTGCTTGAGGAAATCCATAAATTGCAAGTAGAATCCATAAATCAATGATATTGAGCTGGTTAATATTGTTATTGTTGACTGCATAGACGATGCTATCTGGTCAAGGGCTGAATGACAACCAGTGGCACTCAGTCAGTTACTCTCGTAGAGCCAGCAGCTTGAACCTGCAGGTGGATGACGAGGCTCCCATCAGAGGTAATATACTGCAGATTGCATGTTCAGGTTCTGTGGTCGGTAACTAGGCTCATTTAGTTCTTATGTTTTCTATTGTAATAAATGTTACCTTTAATAAGGACGGAACTAGTCAAATTTTACTCAATCAGAATAATTTATTCATTTAACCCAGTCATACCTCCAAACTTAAGTTTATCAATGTAATATTAAATATGTGGAAAAGGGCCATTTTGCCTAATGGTGGAGATGTTAGCCACTGGGGACTCAGCCTAGAGGAGTCATCAATGACCAATATTTTTTTCCTGGAAAAAGAATTTTACCAGTTAAATCTGTGTAGAGAGTACGATTTTCAAGCCAAAAGCTGTTATTCTTACGATCGCCAAGAATGTCTACAAAGATTGTGCTGTTGAAAATCCCGATTGTGGGAGAAGATGATGAAGTGTCCGTAAGCGTGAAAAATGCTCACAATTTCTTCCCCAATGTAGAAGATTTTCACAATTTTGTCAGTATTGCAGGAGTCTTTCAAATTGTGTTGTTAATTTGTTTTTTTTATACTTTTAAGTTACCAATTTTTAACCAACAAGATTTTGCCTGGATCTGAGGGTCAACATTTTTTACTCGAACTCGCAGATCCCTGGTATTACTATTAAAAAACCAAATTAAATTATTTATTAGCTTGCTTCCTAGCTAGGATAACTATGTTCATTTTTCAAACAAATTGTAGGAAAAAAGCCAATTTCGTCAATTAAAGAAATACTACATGTAATTTTAACCCCCTAAGCTCCAACCATTGCAGAATCAGAATAGAGAATAAAGGGGCCACACACCATCTGGAGTGAGCCGGTGGGGAGCCACAGTTTCGTGAAATAAGGCCCTGATGTAGACGGTTTCTGTTTAATAATTATTTCCATTGCTTGAATAGAAAAATAAAAATATTGAAATAGGATTATTTCACATCGTGGTTTATTACTCTGTTACAGTAGAGACAGTGTTGGGCAAGCAGAGTACTCTGGAGCTGAGGTCAGTACACGTCGGAGGAGTCTACCACATGGAGGAAGATGTCCAAGTTAGCAGCTCCGTGCCTGTGCCAAGCTTTGTGGGATCCATGCAACAGTTCAAGTTCAACGGCCAGAACTACTTTGAAATTGCTCGATCTGCTGGTGGTTCGTCGACCCAAAAAGGTAATTACATCTCTAAAAACTATTTCTTCTTGATAAGAAATTGTTTTTGTTGTTTGTGATGTTACATTTTTTAATTTTCTAAAATGAAAGGATCCATTATCTTCAATTAGAAATTTGTTTTTTTAACTATGCATTATGTACAGCTCTAGATATTTAACTATTAGACTTCAATTACTCTTATTGTATTCAATCCTAATGTAGGATATTTTCAACTTGGAGTACAATTAAAACTTAATGAACTTAATGTTTTTCCATTGATAATCCAGATAATCTTTAACAGAAGTAGTACTAATACGGGGGTTCAGCCCCACAACTTGTATTACCGAAATTCAAATGTTCCGCCAAGAAGGCACTCTCTAACCCAGGACCTTGCTCGCGCATGCGTAGCATGCACATCGCGTGGGTAAAGTCAACCACCAATTGGTCTTGCCGCGGTCTCCGAAGGAACAACATGGCCCAAGAGTAGAGAACGAGATATGGGGCAAGGCCTCACGTGAGGTACGGTGGTAAATGTTTAATCAGTCTAAATTTCCAAACAAATTAATTATTCTTTGCAGGTTCAACAATTAATAATGTTTAGGTTTATTTCCAATGTCATCCACTGATATCAATATGAAATTCAATTAATAGTTCAAGCTGTGTCCAGTCGTTTGATTTGTAACGGTAACATTCATTGTCTCCTATGATTAAATTTAAGGGTTCAGTCAACACTTCCAACATCATCGATTATGTCAAACTGCCAGCTAGTTTACACATAATCTCCCCTATGTGGCACCAATCACCACACTAACAGTAAGCAAGTACTAAGACATGAGTTACATCCTATGAGCTACAGTATCAACTAATACAATAAAAAAAAGGATTTAACCTTTTTATGATTTTAAAAGTGTATACCGGTAAGGTACATAATAATATATACTAGTGTACATGTTGCTCGAAATCGAGCAATTGCAAAGAAGTACAGGAGTTATTTCAAAACGAATAACAGTCATATTTAAAATTAATTTAAAAGAGTCAATTCAAAGATTACCGGTGTGCAACTCAGACCATGTTTATATTCATTATTATTCGTTTATATTTGTCTGTTCTGTAGCTGCACGATAACGCCTGCGCCGCCTCCTGTCTGTTTCGTTGTCGTCGCGTCGCAGGCATTTAAAAGAAAAAAACAACAAATAAACAAATCATAACTACATAAAACAACGATAAATGCACAAATTTAAGTTACAATCATGCTAACACGATCCGTAATAGCGACATAAAACAACGATAAATACACAAATTTAAGATAACAACCATACTAACACGATCCGTCTTGGGGGTTATGTTTACACAAACTCAAATAGTAAATAAATGTACTCAATGTGTTTCATTGAATTGAAAAATAAATAACATCAATTAAATTATACAGCTGATCAAAATGTAAACAATTATGTTCTCCATAAGGATAACATGGGAACTATCAAAGCCATTGGGGCAGAGCCCAAGGTACTTTTTCAAAAATGTAAGGCCAGTTTGCAAATCTACGCGACACGCTCTTTCCAATAAGACGTCAATGGATAAAATCGGTTAAGAAATGGCGAAGGAGTTCAACCGACAAAGTTTCATGTAGCGTATTAATTATATAGATTTATTTTTTGATGTAGTAGTTCTTTACTATACCAAGAGTAGGCCTAAGGCTTGAGTTAGGCCAAGAAAGAGTTTGGCTGATTAGGTGAGAACTTAAGGTACTTTATTTCACTCCACCACCTATAAAATCCATTGATACAATAAGATTTTTTGAAATTATGAAGCTAGTACCGGTGCTCTTAAAATATATAAGCTCCATTTACAGGAACACGGTATAATCCTGAAATCCACGTAACAGCGAACTTCAGTAAGAGGGACCACCAACTTGTTCATCATCCTGTCACCTTCAAGTCCAAGCACACCTTTGTTGGTCTGCCAGTGTTGAAGGCTTACTCCGCCACAAACATATACTTTCAGTTCAAAACCAGAGAGTCAAGTGGTCTCATACTGTACAATGCTGGGAGAGAGCAGGACTTCATTGCTGTTGAACTGGTAAGCATGGTCAACTTTGTCAAGGTATATCATATCACAAAGCTGTCTGACTAGTGAATACAGCACTGTTGTAACAACACGTACTATAAAAAATGGTACATAGACAAGAGTTCATTTTAGAGTTACAAATTGACCGAGTTACCTTATTTTATCATGACGATTACAATGAATGTATTTCTATGATGCAAGCCATAAAGACATTATTCATTTCATTGACAACTTATATAAGCAAATATACTAGTGGACAGACATTGAAAACTAAATATATTGGAAAATCACATCACCAAAAGATGAGACATTCAGAACTGCCATGCACTCAACTGGAGTTTTGTATATTTATTAAACAAACATTGTTTCTGGTCCTCCTCCCTACCACATGGGTGGAAAGAAAGGATCAAGCAGGTGTCACAAATTAGAACATGCTTTGTCCATCTTTACACAAACTGTTTATTACAAAACTTTTCCAAACCTAATGTAATGACAAATAATTACAGGTGAGTGGGCATCTGCACTACATCTTCAACCTGGGGGATGGGCCAGTGCGGGTGAGGGACAATGCTCGGGCCAGTCTCAACGATAACAAGTGGCACACAGTGACCATCGGGCGGCCGAGTCCCAAACAGCACACTCTCATGGTGGACGACACCTTCGCCATCGTCACCAGTCTGGGCATGAATGAGAAACTAGACCTGGCGGGAATCCTCTACTTAGGTCAGTACTCAGAGACCTTACACTGAGCAGTGTTTTAAAACTATGTGACCCTATTGGGTGACTGCTAAAAATTAGGCTTATTAGGTACTGTTAGTAGCTCGAATTTCCAACCTCCAATCTTCAAGGCAATAAATTACAGAGGAAATTCAACCTTGCATCAGGATTTCCCACTATCTGAGTACCAACCTAGGGTTATGTTCAGGAAAAGTACATCATTATAAATACTGGAATGTATTTAGTTTGATAGATACAATAAAGCTTTATCTTCTGATGTTTCAGGTGGTTATCCCAAAGACATAAACCCTCCTCTACCCAAACAGATCCAATCAAGACACGGTTTCGAAGGTTGTTTGGCCAGTTTAGACCTTAACGGGGAGAGTCCAAACTTGATAGTGGATGCTGTGATTCCCAGCTCTCTGGTTTCTGCTGGTTGTGAAGGTAATGACTATTTAAGTGTACATGTGTATACGATTTTTAAAACAATTTATAAACATTTGTTTAGCCTCAGGATCACATTTTTTACAAATAAAAAGGTTAAATACCTGTTGTAGTGTCCATGAACTGGTTTTTAGTTTGTGACCAAGGTTTCGAACCTAAAAGGTAAATTTTCAAGCTGATGAGTTTGGTTCACAGTGGTGAATCTAGAACAGTCACAAGGTGGCGAGCCGGGAGTCTGGGGGGCTTGGGGGTACCCCCCCCCTCCCCCCCCCCCGAAAAATTTGTGTAAACCAAGTCTCCAAAACGGCAGCTTTATACTATTTCTTTGTCCAAAGTTAGTGTGACAAATTATTTTACGCAATGTGTATGCACTACTGTATTACATGCAGTAAAAAATTATACATATGTATGCCCAAGAGAGGGGCGGTCACCCCCTTCGTCCCCCCTCTGGATCCGCCACTGGGTTGGAAAGAGGATTTTTTCAACCACTTGGTAGACAGCTTCAAAATTAACCTTTAGGTTCGAAACCTTCGGTTATTCATATTTAAAAAATATACATAATAAAATCTTAAGTGCATTTTTTGTACATTTTAACAAAACTTGAATGTACAAACTTGCCTCTCAAATAGTTAACTACATGGACTTTTTCAATCTACGAAGATTATAAACTTGTTTAGAAGAGATAATATTTTGTTGTGTTTGTGACAGGTCAGAGCACCAAGTGCAGCCATAACGTGTGTGCCAATAGAGGCGTGTGTGTGCAGCAGTGGAACTCCTACACTTGCGACTGTGACATGACCTCGTACACTGGGCCTACGTGTTCCGATGGTAGGTAGTGAAGAGATAATCGTAGAAATTGTTAACATTTGAATAGTTGAATATAGTTTTTGCAATGGATTGGGTTATACGAGTATAGTGAGGCATAGCTTCTAATTTTATGGTCATGTTATTCTTCCCTTGCATGATTGCAGCTGAGAAAATAGCTTTGTTTGGGAAAAGGCACATGTGGATCTGCGCCTCTCCTATAAGATTTCTATCTGATTTTGCGCTTTTTGTAGCTTCAGCTTTTGTATTGTTTAAGGTTCTTGATAAAAGTGTTGTAAGCAAATAATTGAAAATTGTTTTCACAGTATCATTCTAGAGTATGGAAAAATTGTTAGATTTGAACAGAAGATATTAATAACCTAGTGTTAAACATTATTAAAATATACAAGCAACATTAGCAGCATAGCTTATGAAATTGTTTAACTTACTCAGTTCCCATTAAGAATTGTTTCTGGAACGTTTATTTAGTCATGATACACCCTTTGAGATGTTTAATTCCTTTGGATCTGCATTTGGAAAGTGGGTGGATAATTTTATGTATGCCTGATGGTTCAGTTATTGAGCTTGACTCTTGTTTAAGCTGGGAGATCAAGCCAGATGTGTTTGTGGCTATAGCAACCTTTAACTCTGAATGCACTTTTTTGCTGTCTTCTTTTCTATGCCTTCAATTTCATTCTCTTCTTTTGCTGACTGATTTTTGCATATTAAATACATTTCTAGTGTTTTAACAGATTTTTTGAGGTCTAAACTTACTCTTATTAGCATTAGGCATTAAGCCATTCATGTAACATGATATTTGATTAAATTAAATAAAAAAATTACTTTATATATGATGTAATAGTATATTTCGTGCCTAGGGCCGAAAATGAGGTTTTGCTGGCTCGAGATAGTTTGACGAAGTCGAGAACTTAAATCGATCGAGAGCTGCAAAACCATTTCGGTCCGTGGTACGAACGCTATTTTTCACCACACTATACCCTATTACCACTATTCACCACTATAATAATGGACACTGATAGTCAACACAACACTACAACTTTAAGGTTATGTAAAGAAATAATTTGAGGAATCAGCAAAAATAAAAATAAATAGTTGCTAGGCAACAGTGACAATAACACAATTCTATTGCAATGCTATGGATTTTGATTTTGTATTAAATTTAAAATGCATTCATGTTATGCAAGTAAGCGGACAGCTGATTTTGCGGCCCCGGCCTGTAAAAACCTGCTCGGTCCCCAAATTACGATGACAGCTGGCATGGCCAGCAAAACGTAACTTTCAGCCACCAATTAACGTATGTAATACAGCCAAAAACATCATAGTGTGGTGAAAAGTAATTAACGTGACTTTGATGTAGGGTCAAAAATATTTTGAAATCTAAAAGTTTTGATGGTTATTATAATCTCTTATTATTTTTGTAATCTCTCATCATTAATATAACATTTTCATTGAATTTACAGTATTTTGTCTTACTTTAGTGGCATGAACTGCTATATATTAACCATACCATGTAAAAAATGTCATATAAAAAATACAAAATGGCGGATATCTAGTTAACAAAGTGATTTTGGAAAAACATTTTATTCTTGATTTTCTCTTATTTTGACCCAAGGAATCACAATGTAAATTATGTCCCCACCTTTTTGAACACCGTGTACATTTCATGAGCCAAGCTTGAATTATTTATGGACACTCAAAAACAAATGTTAACTTAACAATAATGATGATTGTGGTTTCAGAGTCGATTGCTTACGAGTTTGGACCCAACAGAGGTATCATCACTTATGTTTTTCCCGAGGATCGCAGACCTGAAATGAAGAGTGACGTGTTGGCTCTTGGCTTTGTGACGACCAAGGAAGATGCAGTTATTCTTAGGATTGACAGCGGCACCTCCAATGATTACATGGAACTGGAAATAGTTAGTATGGTGTAGCTGTTTCATGAAATGACGGTGAAATGGTTTTTATCTAATTGATACTTATGTCATGAAATAAATATTAAAATATTTAGTTAAGTTTTAAATAAATATTTAATTATATTATCTAATTAATAGCTTATGGCAATCCCAAGCATATTTTCACTCAACCACAAAGATTGATTGTGCATTTAATTCATTAAGATATACCATTTTATAAAAAAATATATACTATTATGCAACAACCTAACAAATTTTAGTATTTTATGTACAAAATGTATTTTGAAATTTCAACTATATATATATTTTAAAGTTCCACCTCTCCTAATTTTCAAGACTCAAGGCCTTCACTTGAAATCACCTGGGACTGGGACGGTGGCGTCGTCGTGTAATCCAGCTACTAGGAGGTCACAAATTGAGGATTTATAGGCATGCACTGTGGATGCGATACTCCCTGGTGTGGATTAACATCCACACTAGTGAGTACTGCAACTATACGCAGTAATATCCTGATAATTGGACCAATTTGTTAATACCAAGGCAATACCTTTGTCTGTCAAAGACCAATCACCATGATTACTGTGAAAAAAACACAACAGCTTAACTTAACTGCTAGGAAATACAATGTGCACAGGGTTGGGTCAGACAATCAAGCCTATACCTAGTGTTGATCTTTGTTCAAGGTGGACGGTAACATATACATGGTGTACAACATGGGAACCAACGACCACCCTATCGGGGACATCAGTGTGAAGGTCAGTGACAACACATATCACGTGGTGAGGTTTACAAGGTCTGGAGCCAACTCTACCATCCAGGTGGACGATTACAACGTGCAGACCAACCATCCTAAAGGTAAGAGTTGATAGATAGACGCTTGTAAAACTAATTTAATAAAAAGTAGGGTTGGGAAATAGTAAATTGATAGAGAATTCCATCGAAAATGTAATAATGATTGCCTGCGTATATAGACGAGGTTTATTATACTATAAACTTTAGCAAGGAAATGTTATTCAGGCTGTTCTCCTTGGTGTTCTCCAGTTGGGGATACTACTTATAGCTGTGAGATGTGGATTTGTTGTCATGAAAATTAAATTTAAGTTACATGAACAACTTGGTATAAAAATCCATCCAATGCTTGTGCATATTATAACAGCTAGTGGTTGGTTTTTAAATCTCAGAACAATATGAACTTCTAATACCATTTTCAAAAATAAGAAGAATGCAGCATCATAAGTCTTGCCACCTACGGTGATAGCTACTTCCCTATAGGGAAATTCTCTAAAAGAAAATCTGTGTCCTAAGCTCCCTCTTCTATTAATTTTAAAACAAGCAAAACATGTCCTATGCTATCCCAAACTCATTAATACTGTAAACTTCCACCCAAGATAGCCAGGCTTTCCCACCGTTAATATGGATTGCACACATATATGGGATATTAATAATAAGGAAAACAAACCTACACATGTGGAAAGGCCTCTCAGTAGTAAATTATTTGTGAGTGCGCTTTGGCCAACTGATCCACCATGTCACCGTCAGCCAACAGTTAATATATAAGCACCAAAAGCACGTGCGACACTACACTTGCAGATGAGATTCTATGAACCAAGCACCAAAGCACCAGTGGATTAACAGTACAGCTACCTCGCTGAAAAATGGTGTGACAAGCTATACACTCATTGAACTATCAAAAAGGTTTCAATTAGGATTGATTGGAGTTTGCATAATTTTTATGTCAAAGATTTATTTTCATTTTGGTTTGTTGCAGGCCACCAGCTAAATGTGTTCAACAGTCAAGCTCAGATACAAGTCGGTGGAAAGTGGAACCGAGGAAAGCAGCGTGTGGAGCGAGCGTTTGCAGGGGTAATGGCAGGACTAGTACTCAACGGGCTGCGTATCCTGGACCTGGCCGCTGAGAGTGATCCTCGCACTGAGGTCCGTGGAGACGTCACACTACTGACGGGGATACGCGACAGACTCCACGAGCCACTGCAGCGCATGCAGCAGGTCTGTACATCCATGTTGAGAATTAGATCTCTCAAACTGTCAAAAAGTGGCTATACACTTAAATTGGGTCACTTATCTTCATTGTTTTTCAAATAACAAAATTGTATTCTTTAGTATTTGCAGTTGCAAAAATGATTACTGTAGCCTATACATGTTCCGTGGTAAAGTGTTCAAATTTCTTTAATATTTAAGTATTATATTTATAATGTTCAAAAAGCCCCATTACAGTTAGAACTTTCTTAATAGGGTAAATTGTTTGTTTGTACCACAACTCTTGACGATTTGTTTTTTGCTTTAAAATACTACAGATTTGAAGGCAACAGTGGCGGATCCAGAGGGGGGGCGAAGGGGGCGACCGCCCCCCCCCCTTGGGCATACATATACATATATTTTTTACTACATGTAATACAGAAGTGTATACAAATTGTGTAAAATAATTTGTCACACTAACTTTGGACAAAGAAATCCATTTTAGACTTTAAAAAACTGCCATTTTGGAGACTTAGTTTACACAAATTTTTACCCGAACCCCCCAGACCCCCTGGTTCGCCCCCCCCTTGTGGCTGTTCTAGATCCGCCACTGGAAGGCAATCACTGTAACCAGTACCACTCCGCTACTCAGACATTATAAAACGTTATTTGTGTTTTACAGACCCCTGCGTCTGGCTACCCCGGGGTGCAGGATGACCTGGTGTTCTCAGGGGCCGGGTCAGGCTGCAATGCTGATGATGAAGACCAGTGCACTCCTGTGTTTGAAACTGGATCTGGTAAGCTTCTATACTCTCTTTATGCTGTGACTATCACGTTGAATAGTCCAATAATTTATCCATATGAAGTTTGAGATACATTAATTTTATTCATTACTTTGCTTGCCCTTTCCAATATAAAATAAAAGCAATACTGTGCAGTTTGCTGTGATGTAACTCTAAACACATATGTCTGACGTTTAAAAGTTTACTAAAGTTCATACCCACATAATATCCCTAGAACTTAGAGACACAATTATAAGTATTACGTCACGTGCTATCCTTATACTGTTATGGGAGCTTGGCTTAAGGAAAAGATCTGACTGAATTTCTCAAAACAATCCCAATAATAGTAGTACTATTGCACTGTATCATTTCAATTTTGGCTTTGCTTAATACGTTTCATGCACAGACTCGAGCTCCATGAGGATGGGCAATCGCTAGATTAAAAAGGCTTTCCAACCTTTTTGGGTCTTTTCAAGCTAAGTACTTATTTGATTTTATTTCAAATACACACATCATACATAGCTCCAACATTCCATGAGAGGTAATTAATGTCTGTCGTAGGGGATGATCTGATCACCCCAGTGTACGTACCTCCCACTCGCCCCCCCTCCACTACCAAGGGACCGAAGGATCGCTCGCCCAAGCCAGACTGTGATGACGAGGACTGTGTGGACGGCTCCGGCTCCGGGGAGACAACAACACTGGAGCCTGGAGGTAGCAGTTCCATCGGCAGCTCATCTACTCAGACTGGTCAGTATACTATGACATTACGTGATAAAGAATTAAATCCTTGGTATGGTGAGTGTTACTTTACTCTGCCAACACAAGCCACTGCACAAGTTTTTCATGATTTACACTTGCAAATAAAATTAAAGTTTCCTGTGGTAGGTATGGTGTCAACACCTAACTAACAATAGTACGCGGTAAATATAATATAGAACAACATTTGTTACTTAAAAACATAAATAATAAATGTTTTTTTTTTATAACTTGAGAAAAGATACAGCTTTAACATGTTCCCTCCCTACCGACCGTCACACTCCTATGTAACTGAGGGATGAGTATAGTTGGTTGGTAGCTAATATGTTAAAAAATCACACAGATTATTAAAAAAAACTACCTAAATACCAGAAGAATAGCGCAATTATTCAAAAGTAGAAGATTTTGGTTTGTCTATAAACATTGTTTTTTCTGGATAAAGATAGCATTAGCAGAATAGTATCGTCAACAAACATACTACTAATTTTGAATTTAAGCTCATAGGCAAGTCATTGAAATGTGCAATGAGGCGAATGGTTATCAAATCGTTGGTTGACTTCCTAAAATATTATAATAAGTAAATTATAATAAGTACTACACCTTGGTATAAGTAATGCTGTAGCAGTTTAAAATCAAAATACCCCCACCGCATCAAATCTGCCGTCCAAGCGAATTTCCATTTGCCTGAATTGATTTTCAATTAAATCTATATACTGTAAAAAAACATTATAGGTTTAACTAGTATCTGGGTTTGCTGCTACAGGGAAGCTAGTAAAGTGTGTTTTTTGGTAAAATAATAATAGCTTAGTACAAAATAAATAAATTTCCCAAGTTTGATCAAAATATATCCATAAACAAGCAAACTACAACATTTTACAATATTCTCCATAAGAATAACATGGGAATTCGAAAATTCTAATTTTTAACATTTTCATTCCAACTAATAACTGTACAAAAACACTTTAATATACTGAATTATTTGTTTTTTTAAGCTCTTTAAAAAAGGTCTTAGAGAGAAATTGGGGAATTTAGTGTTTTGAGGGTCAAAAATGAGAAAAATCAATTTTTACCCCATAAAACCAACATGTACGGGCCATGGGAATGGGGTTTTACGGGGGAAAACAATGACCCGTACATGCTGGTTTGATAACTCATTCAAGTTTATCTTGCCTTACACCTTCAAACTGAATTTTGCACAAAAATTACTAATTAATTCATTTTAAATTGGACAAAAATTACTCAAGTTATCGCATTCACGGACACATTTATAACTCTATTTATATATAGGTTTGAATGGAAAGAGCTTATTGCCTGAGGTCTATATTTAAAAAAATTTTAACAAATTTTTTTTGTCCTCTGGGGACATCAAAATGAAAAATTAAATCGATCCCGGGCCTAGGTCTTTCCGTGCCACCTACGGTAATAGCTACTCTAGCTACTCACTATGGGAAATTCGCTAAAAAGGGGTAAAAATTATTGTAGGACAAACAAAACAAGGGGAGCATAATTTTGATTTGAAGTTTAGGTTCATAAAAGAATAGAAGTTTTTTGTCCTAATCTTTTTTTCTAAATGTGATATAAAGTTTAATGAGCTTTGAGCTAATCAAGCTTAGATTATGAAACTCAACCGTTACTTAACCACATTTTACTAAACAAGAATTCTAGTTCAATTAAACAGAATCATCCCCTTGTTTTTGCTATTGTATTGATAGTAGCACAGAGACACAGGTGTATACCGTGTTGGTGTTGCAGGTGGCTCAACAACAGACACTGACTCCTCGTCTGGCTCCACCATCATCTCTGTAGGTCCAGAGTCAGTGAGCCCAGAGGTGGTGACAGTGGTGACCAGTAAAGGCTCCTCTCACTCCCCTCCCCCCTCTACATCAGAGGGCTCCAGCAGTGCCGGGACCAGCACCAGCACGGAGGCTGGCAGTACGTCCACTACCTCGGTACATCGTCCTGAGCCACCTCCGCCTCCACCACCTCCGCCATCGCCATCCCCATACTACCCTGTGTACCCGCCTCGCACCAACCGCCCACACATATCTGCTAGAGCGGCGGAGAACACCGCTATAGTCATCATCATCATCGCAGGCACCATGATAGCCATCATCATCATAATCCTTTTAGTGCTAAAGTTCAAAAACAGATCGGACGGAGTGTACAAGGTGGATGAGACTAAGACTTACCACGCGTCACAGGGCCAGTCTGCGGCTTTGCTGGCCAACACTCAGTCACCTCCCACCCCTCAAGCCATCAACGGCAACATCAAGAACGGCAACGGTAAAACGAAAAAGAGAGAAATCAAAGACATAAAAGAGTGGTACGTGTGAACTCATACCGATTATTAGTGACTTTCCAAAAACATTTGTTTATACAATTTTAACTGTTGAACTTTGAGTAAGTGAATGGACGAATGCGTTGCAAAGCACAATATGAAATAGATAAGTATTATTATTGTTATGAACATTCGTGTTGTTCGATTTTATAAAAGAATAAAATAAGGTCAATGTTTAATGTAAATTAATAAGTATAGTGTATTTTCAACACTTTTTAGTATCGAAGTTAATAATTTCAAGTTGTTACAAGACTGAATTATATATTTTTTTTTATTCTAAATTACAGCAGTATCTACCGGATATTATTTATTTCAGGTAACAGATATTCCTATTTTTAAAGTGAGATATTAGTTTTATTAATATCATAAATGTAAATACACATTAGACAGTCGGACATTTTTACTTAAACACTTAAGGCTTTAGTAGAAAAAGATATGCTCCTCCTTTAATTTCCTGCTTATAAACTTACCAGCAATCAATAACTTGGAAGTATCATTTACCAAACTGCTTATAATCAATAAGTATACGTTTTGATTAAGACATACTTTTTTCTCAATAAACATTACTTATACAGTAATATTATGCAAAAAAGGCAATAAAACTTATGATTTACGAGTACATTGGAACTCGATGGTTGTTATAGTTATTTAAGTAAAATCATCTGTAAATCACAAATTAGCCTTTTAAGTGGAAATGGTTTATTTAACTGTGAGTTATATGTTATGTAATTGTAAGTCGTAAGCGCAAGTAGAAAGGTGTAAAACTAAGGTTAATAAAAAATGAAGGTGGACCCTCAACAAAATTAATGGCTCGTCAACGCCTATGAAAATGAGTAAATTTTGTTACAATTGAATTGATTTAATTACGCTAACTTAGTGTTCCACCTTCAATCGACATTTAACTCAGTTGAACAAACCTCATTACCTATACACTACTAGTTTGCAAAAAAAACTACTTGGTCATGGATTAATACTTTTATTTAGTGTTACCAAATTCAATAATGTTGATTGTTGTGTTATTGTATAACTGTGTATATAGCCGTTGTACAGATGTAAATTTGAAATCATTGCCACTTTTATTTTTCGTTAATGGTACAGCATTTTGCTGAATATTATGTTTGGCATTTCTTGTTTATTACATGTATAAATAGTTTGTCAACTTATTTGAAATTCTCAAATATACAATACCAAAAACAAAATGTTAAGATTTTTATCCTCTTTTACTAGAGTATCTCTTGTAAACAAAAATACATGCAGTGTGTTAAGTGTGCACTCCACACATCTCCAACCAACCATCCTTGCAGCCACAGCCTCCTCTAGCACATGGGTTGGTAGCGTCACGGACTTCGGGCCCAAGGCAGCGATGTTGTGAGTTCAGATCCTGGTCACTGCCGCACATTTTATCAGTACAGTTCACCACCTTCGTACTGTACCGGCTCACCCCTTGCTTTGCTGGATATGTTCCACGCACAGATCTGTAGTCATGTGGACGGGCAAATGCAAGGTTAAAAGAGGTCGCCATCCTCTAAAAAAAAAAAAAACATGGCAATATCACACTGCCGGCTTATTGTCATAGTAATAACAAACATTTAAATATTAACACTCCACAGACACTCTGTATAAATTACTGCTACAGCTGTTTTGGAAGGCTCAGACTGAGGTGTTGTCACTTTTGTCTCGCCATGCAGCCTTGTATTAGGGGCTATGTAATCCTTGATGAGAACTCTAAATACTACTATCACCAATCATATATTTTTTTATCAATTTCAAATCAATGATGTTTTCATTTTGATCTTATAAAAAAAGCAAAACTGTATGTGTGTGTTTAATTTTTTCTTAAAGAATTATGTTTAAAATGTTAGTGTTGACAACCACACATTGGGAGGGAAGAAAATTTAAAGAAGGATTGTTGTGTTTTGATTTGAATATTGAAAGTAAATAAAATATTATGGGTAATAACATTAACATGTGAATCGTATATTTACACTACTGTTAACTTACAAGACCGTAGATAAATTATGGTAATTGGTGATCAATTTCGGTTGGATACTCTAATAATCATCAGACCCAATACGGTAGGCAAATGACTAATTAGATATGAAAGATAAATTAGATCCCCAGCATTATTTACTGAAACTGTAATAACCAAGAAAGGCTTGTTTCTGTTTTGAACCATGAGATAAAACATGAATGTATTTAAATGTGATTTGTAACTAAATTACTTCAATATTTATTGATTACAGTATTTAAAAAAAATATATTTAAATTTATATAAATATAAATTAGGTAGTGAAGAAGAAAAACTGTATTCAAAAATAATATCCTAAAATGAAATGGTGTCTAGGTAGGAAATATTTCTTATGTACTGTCCAGTGTCCAGGTGTGAAGTAGCATTGTTGAAAGAAATCTAAAACAAAGGAAGAAAAATGTGCTTTTGGTGAAAGATATAGATAGAGATGGATGTGAGAGCCAAGTCTCCAGTGATTAAATATTCAAAAGTCTATAAAATTAACATTTAGATCATATAGAAATATCGATTATAAAGAGACATTAAGAAAGAAGATAAGTATTCAACAAAATTGGTAGTATCAAACTCAATAAACATTTAAAAATCATCATTAATTTCCAACCACCATTTTTTATTTTATATTTTAAGTAAATTTATATTTATAAAATCCATTAATAAAGTGGAGTAGGCTGCAACCCCCAAAAAGTACACTTTAATCCTTTCTTCAGGATTGAACTGGTGACCCAAGCCATTACAAAGTGTGTACTTTAATGAGTTACATGGATGCTTGGGCTCAACTCAGGAAGAAGTGCTGTGTATTTATCTAGCTTTAAAAATACATATAACACTCAATTTTCATCATTAACAATCATTAGAGTTATTGCTGAATCCAGCTATACGATGAAATTTGGTAATAAAGTTCGAAGACAAATATTTTAAAAAATAATGTAGATAGAGCTACAATACTTGGTACAAAGTTACAAGGCATAAAACTCTATTTTATTTTAACACATATTCAGTGATCCAATAACTCTTCAGGGGGACGGCCCACAAGGAGTTGGGAGAAAATCTTAAATGGAATGAATACAATGCCGCAAACCACACTTCAGAAGGACCATCTGTTATAAAATAACAGTTGTTTAAAGATTTAAATTAGTGTTTTAATTTAAAGAAATTGGCTAATTTTGGAAATATTTTAACATCTGCCGTTTTGCGCAGGATCAGCCTTTTGAAGTGTGGTTTACGGCATTGTATTCTACTAAAAAATACCTTTCATTTGATTTGCATATTGACCTATGCTTCCATTTAAGATTTTCTTCCGACTCCTTGTGGGCCGCCCCCCTGAAGAGTTGGATCACTGAATATACGTTAAAATAGAGGTTTATGCATTGTAACTTTGTACCAAGTATTGTAGCTCTATCTAGGCCTACATTATTTTTTAAAATATTTCACTGTCTTTGAACTTTATTACCACCCTGTATATGTGATTATTCTGTCTAAATAAAATGTTAGTTTTAGCATAAGATTTCTTATCCTTATGGATCATCTAAAAATAGTTTTATTGTTAGTTCCACCAGTGCACGTAGAGGTCGTGTTTAGTTTATTTACAATTATTTGTTTTTTGTTTTTTCACGTATTTAACCTCCTTTAACTAAATAAGATGATCTATTCATAAACAATAACTCGTCCCATAAATAGACAGGGTGGTCATAAATTATTGAACACATTTTAAGATCAAATTACTAAATAACCCAACAACTTAAAAAACATGGGAATTGTTTCATTAAACAGCAAATTTAAAGCAGTTTTTTACAGTAACTGCTAAAAATATTTTATAGAAATGTCAGTAATTATAACAATTGGTTATAAAAAGTCTGTAAAAACCACCTAAAATATGGTTGTAAGCTATGTTTTCTCCTCAATGACTTGTGTTGTGGCATTGTCAGCTGGCCAACAATGTACCTTTCTAGACCAGCTGAGTATAACATTTAACAAATCAAATGATATAACTAACCTCAGTATCAAAATGACTAGTGTGAAAGAATTAAAAAGCAAATTGTGTTCTTAGGTTTCATGAAAGTAGATCTGTAATAGGGGTTCTAACTGTTTAAAGAAAGCTCCGTTTACAGTATGACCGTAATTTCCGCGTAATAATTCTATAAAATGGTATTACAGGCAGTTTCAACGAATGACAAGTGTCTAAAAGATCCTCACCTCAGAAGAAAACATAACTTAACTTACAATAACAATAACAGTTTAGGTGATTTTTACAGACTTTTTAAAATTACTTTTTATAATTACTGAAATTGTTATACTTATTTGTTGGCAGTTACTGGATAAAACTGCTAAAGATTTGCTATTTAATTAAACAATTCCCATGTTTCTAAGCCGCTTGGTTATTTATTTATTAATCTTAAAATGTGACCAATAATTTATAACCTCCCTGTATAACCAAACAGTATAAAATTTACAAAATACAGTACAGAAACAGAAACAATACACAATACAACAATATACAGTACAATACAATATACAGTACAAAATAATGGAATCAACCCTAAAATAATATAGAGACAAAGTTTTGTCGAAACTAGCGCCCAGTGTCCAACATGGACTCTAGACACAAAAAATGAGGTTCAAATGTTACAATAGGATGGGAAGTCTACTTATGTGTTGGTTAGTCTATGGTTTTAGCATAGACTATAACCAACACAAGTAGACTCCTCAACCATTGTAAAATCTAGAGCTTGATTTTTTATGTCATCAAACTGTAAACAAAAACTCGACTGTAGAAACACCGGATTGAACCGACATTCTTAAGCAGCTGATCCATATAGGGATGAGAAATCTACTAAGGGAAAGGGAGTATGTTTAATCTATGGGTTTAGCCAGTGACACAACTAAAAAAATAGTTTAACATCGACTGTATCCCTCATTTATAATTCATATTAGTGGTTCAATTTATCTATTAGTACTTTATCTCATGATATTACAGTATAACTATTAGTCCATGCTATTATAGTGTTAGTTTTGTTTTAGGCTATTTCTGTGAGATTGTTTTAATCTAAGTACCTATATTATGCAGTCTCATAAAACATTTTTTTATATGGTCATTCAGATTACTAAATCTAAGTGATGAACGGAATGTAATTGCAAGGCTATTTTATTTACCTTTCAATACTTTATTTAAACAAGAATACAAAATAAAAACACATACACATTTAAAAGTGGACGATACTTCATAAGCTGTAGAAGGTTCCGTCGAGCTTGCGTGAGAACCCAGAGTTAGTTTGAGCAATATGGTTAGCACTGATTCCTAGCTTGACACTGTGGATGCTTGGGCGATCCTTTAGTCCACCGTAGGTTATGTGCTGCGACGGCAGGTGGTTAGACAATGAAGTCTTGTTTTGTCTGTAACATGTTGAAGCATCGATTTATACAAAACAATTAAGGGTTGGGTAAATTGTTTATGTTAATTGGCTAAATAAACAATAAAATTAAAAGCTACAACACAAAACCATCATGACTATGAAGTAAATCCACAATCTCCTTATGTTAGGAAGAGTAAATTGTTTAATACTGTTGAGAATAACCTGATGAACAATTAATCATGAATCTCTGTATGAAATAGTTTTAAATTTTTGGTTAAAATATACTTTTTCACATTACAAACTACCTATACCAGTCCCTACATTATTAGTAAATTTAAATTTGACACCAGATTTTTTTTGCAAAATCTTTACATTTTTTAAGTTGTTCAGCCCTTGGTCTGTATTAAAAATTTGAATCTTATGATTAGGGTACATATGGTTGGTATTGCATACTCGTTTTTATTTATATACATGAAATAAAAATAACAATCATTCAAATTAACAAAAATTTTTGTGTTGTAGTATATTTCACAGTTTTGGTATATTGAATTGTATCTATTATAGAGGATTTATTAAAAGAACAAAATATGATATGACAGCTTAGAATATCTTCATTATAAGGTAAATTTTCTTTTCATATTTTTATTTTTCTAAAGAACAAAATAGGACGTTCAGTCTGCTGAAAAGGGATTCTAGATTATCAACAGAAACACTGGTAAGGGACAATCTTTTTGGCTATTTGTATTGTAAGTTTTAATTACAGTTAAACCAGGCAGAATGATTCACGATGGGACTTGTTAATGAGTGCTGAGAGCCTGGAAATGCATTGCAATGATACTCGTTACCTAACCATAATTAATTATGTTTTTTTTTTTTAAACTTTGGCTATGTAAACTATTTTAGTGCTTTAGATGGATAGATAATTTAATTTAAAATAATTGCAATGTCTAAACTGCAGTCTACTTCAATACCGGTACTTAAATTCTAATTAACTTCTAGTTTGGAAGACAACACTTTGAACCCCTCCATCCAGCAATTTAAATTATTTAGAAAAACATTCAATCAGCTCCAAGAGTATCGAGTTCTCTAGATTATTAGTTTAAGTCCTGTAATTCTTTGAATGCGACCATCGTACCAAGAAACCTCAACATGCGCATGCAAGCTTGCTGGTGGAACAGTGGGCTAGAGGCCGTGAGGAGGAAGGTTCGCAGACTGTATAATGTAGCAAAGTGTACAGGAAACTGGAAAAACTACTCGAGGATGCTCACTGTTTAAAATAGGACAACTAGAAGAGCTAAGAAAGAGTCATGATGAGAATTCTGTCAGAACATGGAAAGTGTTTCTGAATGTGCAAAGCTCCACCGAGTCTAGCTCGAGGCCAAACCAATCCTTTAGGCACAATGCTTAAGGAGGATGGCCCAGAAGAAGTGCTGGAGAGCCTTTTGAGCGCTCACTTCCCAGGATCTTGCAACCGCAGAACACAGTCCAAGATGAGGTGTGGAAAGAGAGACTTAGGGTGCGGACGACCAGGGAAGATTGTGTTTGCGCTAGGGCTGTGATCACCTTTACGGGTATAAAATAGGCTCTTAGGGCATTTCAACCATTCAAAGCTCCTGGTACCGATGGCATCTATCCTGAGTTTTTGCAGGAGGGTGGATACCAGTTGATATTCCCCTTGATGTGTCTGTTCAGGACTAGCTTAGCCAGTGGAGTGATTCCAAAAGCATGGAGGACCTCAAGGGTAGTGTTCATACTGAAGCCTGGAAGGGACACATGTGCTGTAAGGCTTTTAGACCTACAAGCCTTACGTCGTTTCTCCTGAAGACCATGGAGAAATTAGTGGATGGACGAATAAAGGATAGGGTCCTTGTAAGCCGTCCTTTGCACCCAAAACAACATGCCTATCAGAAAGGAAAGCCATGCGAAAACGCCCTGCATGCGCCGGTTTGCAAGCTTGAAAATGCTATCTCGAACAAGGAAATAGCGGTGGCTGCATTTCTTGATATAGAAGGAGCTTTTGACAACACTAGTACTCGCTCTATTGTATCAAAGCTGGTATCAAGAAATGTGGAAAGCAATGTTGTGAGGTGGGTAGGCAACATTCTCGAAAGTAGGAGAGCACAAGCATCTGTGGAACAGTGAGAGAGGTCATGGCGCAAAGAGGGTTTCCACAGGGTGGCGTCTTGTCACCGAATCTGTAGAATCTGGTGGTTGACGATCTCCTGTCCAAGATCAATGCACAGGGCATGTACGCTCAAGGATATCCTGACGACATTGTTGTCCTAATAAGAGGAAAATTTATGAACACTTGCCTGGAACTCATCCAGAGAGGGCATTCATTGTCCATAGTGGAAAAGTGGTGTAACCAGGAAGAACAGGTTTCTATAGTCAAAAGGATCTCATGGTTCACTAAGGACCTGGGATTTAACAGAGAATGAGGACCTGTGAATGAGGGTGCACAATAAACTGTTCCAGCTGTGATGCAATCCAATGGTCTACCTTCTGTTTGACAAAATAAAAGGTCACTGTTTTGAAGAAATTATTAAAAGTACTGCAAAGTGAATTTTATTCTATTTGATAGGCTAATTTGTGAAAAATATCAAGTTCGTAAGGAATAGATCTCGAGAAAAGATTATCTTTAAATGTGTGTTCTAAAAATGTATGTAGCCTACAGTGAGAGAAACTCAAGCATGTTATATTGTGGAAGCCAAATCAAACCTCTGAGGGTCCAAGAGCCTTGTAGGATGTCTCTTTGTGTCAGAAGACTCAGCAAACAGCTCTAGGTTATGACTGTAGCAGCTGGAGAAGTGGATATCCAGTGAGTCCCTGGGTCGCAGGGCAGGTACGTGTACACTGTGGTGTAGGGAGGTCACAGTAGGCTTGTTGTGTAGTACAGGCCATCTCACCATCAGGCACTGACAACACACTGTCTCTGTTGAACAGGGGAGCATGATGGAGGCTGTAGTTTATGGACAACCCTCCTTTTAACAACCTAAACCATGTACCTAGGTGTTGTACCACCATTCTATCATGATAGCTTCATTGAGTTCCAAAACATAAAACTCAAAGTTTTTTTTAATTGCAGGCAAAATAAAAATAAAACTATAACAGAACAGAGATGTTTTCCCTTTAGTTAGTTTTCATAGTTAATAGTTTTCACATGAAAAAGTGTTGTCCAGTGATATTGATAATGCTATTTTTAGTGTAGTCTAGCTTTCAAAGTGATATTTATTGATTTTGATAAGTATTCTATCCATTGAATGTCAAGAATGCAAGATAAAAAATCAATGTACACATGACAGCAGCCTCTTATAGGCATTTTACAGAAGAAAATATAATATTCTGGTATAGAATGGTATAACAAATATGATGACAAATATGGTGATAACAAATATTTTATTTTGAAGGTCTAGATCTAAATATTCAAATTAGACTCAAGATCCTCTTAAATAGCTTAATTAAAATCTTCATAAATAAACTTCCAAGACAATATATTCAATTTTTCATATATTTTCTTAGGAGAAATAATGATTCTGTTTTCAGTGAGTATTGAGAAGTGGAACCATAATAAGTTCAAAGCCATAAACCTCCCTGACTTATGTCAATAACATAAAAACTGGTGCAGAGTGCAGGTAGAATATGTTTTGTATTTAATATTTGATAGTTACAACTTTAGGATTTACAAAATAATATTATAGTTTAGCTTATAGTACTAACCTTAAAGGAATGTGCAAGGGTTGAATGTTTGATCAATGCTATGGATTTTCTTGACCAACCAGTGGTGGTTACACCCCTTACGAGCCAGTAGGAACAACAAACAATTAAGTATCTAAGTTGTTGGACTTAACTTTTAACTTAAAGTGAATCTCGTAGCAAAATCTAGAATATACCTCAGTTTTCAGGTGGAACAGAGTAGACATCTTCCCACAACATCTTTTCTATTGAAACAATTGTAAGTTGATTGTAACTAATTATCTTGAAATCAACAATATAATATTTGTAATTTATTTTATGTTGGGGTAAGGTACACTAAAAATTCCTGCACTATGGTGGTACAGTATATAGTGGTATATCACACACACAGAAACAGAATAATACTCCAAATTAATTGTGTTGATGCATATGAAAGGGGGAAAAGTGACGGATGAGTGAGGAGTGGAGGAGGGTTCATAGTTCGTTTTCAGAACCTCAAGTTTTAGAAATCAAGCATTGATAAAGCGGCTCTTCTATCTATTTTTTTAGAGCATTTATTAATCTCTCAACCTAGTGTTTGTTACAGATATATTTTCTCTCTCTGTATTTTGCTATTAGATCTAACCTTTTTCATTTAATTTTAATCCGTTGAAGATACTGCATTTAATATACAGAGGGGTGCAAAAGTAGGTATACAGTAATGAAACATTTTATAGAAAAAATATATTAATTCATACAAAAACCAAACTTTTCCAACTCATTTGAAGAGTATTAAGACACCTAAATCAACTCATAAAAGTGTTGTACTAGACAAAAACACCTATTTCCTTGTGTGTTGAAACTGTTTGCCTGTTTGTACTGTATACCTACTTTTGCACCCCTCTGTATTTATAATAATTGCCACTATTGCCAGAATATGATAACATCTAAACCTTTTCAAGTCTCCAATGTATAAGCTTAAAAAAGTGTGGTTTGATTTTTTAATTGGTACCTAAATAATATAACGATTGCATGCCTTTGTTTGTTCAGTCCGCTTGTCAATTCCGTTTTTTGTCATTTTTGCTGTTTCAGTTAGAAAAGTTGTCAGTTTAAAAGAGATTGTAAACAATTAACCTATTTATACTTTTATAGTCAACTACTTAAATTAATTGCTCACCAGTTACAGTACTTTGAAATCTACCAAATACGTCTCTATTAAAACCTTGACATATTTAATTGATTTATTTCAGTATTTCAATTAGCAAATACATGTTGGCAATATGTGGGAGGAGCCAAAGTATGATGTTGGAAAAGAGGAAAGAAAAGTTACTAATAATCTTAGTAAACTGATTCAGGATTTGCAGAAATTTCCATCTAAAAGGTCAGTTAAATATGTATTTACTGTATTTTTTAATTGTAATACCATATTACATAACATTTGACTAACCTGAAATAGGAAGTTTATTTTGATCTCTATTATTTAGTTAAATACAACGTTAAAGCAATAAAATAAAAACCTGCTGTTCCATTACGGTTTGAGTTTTGAAACCTCGAATAATACTTGTTGAAATTAACTCAATAATTAATTGCAATATTTCAACAAGGCGTTTCTAAATGTTGCTTTCAGATGGGAAACAACCAATCTTCAAAGGAAATATCATCAATAAATATTCAAATCAAGGCAACATACTTTGATGGAAAATTCATCAACCATAATTAGTTAAACCAGGCAGCCAGTTGATATTTACATATTGACTTGTAAAAGCTTTGGCATTCCTAGGAATCTCTATTTATTTTGTCATGGAAAATATCTGTTTAAATTGTACAGTAAAACGTTGTATTGTTATATTGTCGTTATATTGTTTAGAATATAATATATATTTGAGAAACCTTTGATTCAACATGGCTATTACAGGGCGATAAAGTATAAATCAGACAGACATATACTGTACACCATTGATAAAAGGAAATTTCAAAATGTTTACCATAGGTCTGGAAACGGCCAAAAAGGTTATCACAACAATTGGCAGCCGTTTTTTTTTACCATAAGTTGTAAGTAAGATGGCTACCATGCAACATAAAATTTTCTTTGTGACAGAGAGTTTGCAAGCACTGAGTCTCCTATTACAGTGCAGCGGGGCATCGAATTCGGTATTCAACCACCGACTAGAAAAAGCATAACTTGTTCTTGTTGGCTTTGTTGGCAAGAAATTGGTGACACAAGAAAAATAGATGCTGTCTCTTGTTAACTTATTTGGCTATCACTTAGATGTTTGCCGTGCAGCACAGGGGGACAAATTGAGCATTTGTAATCAGTGTAAATAAAACTTGGACATTTTTTCTTTCTAATGGTCTAAAACATATTAGTTTCTGATTTATACTCTTCGAGATACAAAGTCCCAAAACTGGGTACATATTTTTTAATAGCCCTGTATTTTTCAAAGCATGTATATATTTATAGGTCACGACTGAACACCGAGTCCCTCTGGAACCTAATTGATGAGCTGGAATCACTAAAATTAGAAAATAATTCTAAATCAGTAAAAAATATACCATATAATACATACAGTAAAAGGTTGCTGAATGTCAATACTTCAAGTGAAAAAATGAAAATCAATTGCGAACAGAGATATTGTACAACATCAAATCAAAAGTTTAGAAATGGGAAGCCTGAGTGCAAGCAATGTAAGACTATTCCTTGCCCTGACAGAAACTCTAACCAATTTCAGGAGAAAGACTTTATCAAAACCAAAACTACCAATACATATATCTGCCTGTCATGTAAATCCAAAGGCGATTGTTCAAAAAAGGTTGAAATTATAACCAAAAGTAAAGAGGTCAAAACAAACAGACAAGGCTTGAAAAACAACTTGGATGGTAAAGTTGGTAGCAATAGATTGAATAACTTAACTAAGCAGAACGAAAAACAGGGCACAAGTGCAATACAAAACAAAAAAAACTCTCTAAATAACTCAATAAAGAAATCCGATGAAAATAAAACTTTAAGTAAAAAGGGAAGAGAAAATATTGTCAATTCAAAGGAAAAACAATATTGTAATAAATGTTCCACAAAAAACAAAATATTGGCTGGCAGGAATGACACAAAAATAAATAAACAAAACAAAAATAAAATAATTAATTTGAAATGCAAGTCTCACCAGTGTACACCGAATCCTAATACAGATTTACAAAAAATAATTTTAGATAAGGACAGTATAGCCTTGGATAGATGCAGTGTAGTGAGAAAACTAACAAACTATTGGAACAACCTACTAAATAATGATAGTGGAGAGTGTAGTACTGGTGGCATATTGGATAAATCAGGAGAAAAACAGGGAAATATTCTAAATGTTGATCATGTGGCGTACAGAGTTTGTGATATAAATAAAAACATCCGAGCAATAGCAAAGTCAAGGCATTTATCAGAATCAAACATTAACATAATGAAACGAGTTGATGATTTGGATTCCAAAAGATTGTTTGGTGCAGTTCAGAGTTCAATTCATCAGCCTACTAAACTGCTTACTTCTAAACCTGATTCTCTTGAAATTGGAAAAGAGGATACCGATGATACAAACACAAACATTTGGGAGAACAAGGTGCAGGGATGTATAAAAGAAATTGATAATTTGTTGCAATTATATGAACCAGAGATTAAATGTGAACTAAAAAATATATTGGATACATTAACATCATACTACAATCATAATGAGTTATCAGACAACAGTACTCTATTTCAATCGGTTTTCAAAAAGTTATTATTTATAATGGTTTCAATTTTAAAATCTCAAAGTAACTTGCACCTTCAAAATCTCGAAATGTATATTGATGAAGTAGTCAAAGTAATTTTACAGACTACAGACAATGTGGACACTAAAAATTGTAAAGTTTCAACAACAATAGGGAGTAAACAAACAAAAGAAACGTTTGATGGACACACCTTGTCAACAATAAGCAACAATAAGAATATGGAAATAGACCACATCTCCAAGAATGAACTTGAAAGTGTCAAAATTGTAAACGATCACACGATAGCAAAATCTTTAGAATTTATCAGACATAAGAATGATGAGTGTACAGATGACTGTCAGTTACCAGAAAAATATAGCGCTTTTACACCGATAACACCAAGAATTGGTTTGACTCAAGTCCAAAATGCATTACGATTCTACTTGATTTGTAGGGAGATGTTATGGTCAGCATATAACTACCGAAACTCATTCACAAACTGTCATAATCCACAGTTTAACTATTTTTGCTATGGTCAAACGGAGGAATATTTCTTCATCTATGAGGAAGAGATCGTCTTTGAAGGAGAAAGTATGAATGATGATGATGATTCTCAGTTTGATGCGGAAAGTGACTGTGGAGAAAATAATATAGGGTTATTAAGATCTTCTGTAGTTTTGATTGGAAATCTTTTTGAACATTTCAACCTGAACTCCCTTAACATTATTGTTGGAATGATTTGTAAAGCTTTAGTTTACATTTTGATTTGGAGGTTATTCATAAAGGAGATATTTTCTTAAGTTGACTGTCATTCTCTCCTGGGACTTTTTGTAAAAAAATATTTAATTACATACTTGATTATAACTTGGCTTTTTTTATTTTTAATAATAGTCCTTTGAATCAAAGTTTTAATGTCGTCAGTGGGTAACAAGATTTTCTCCTGATATTCATGCAATGTAAACAAGAAGGAGGGTCTTCTAGTGACTCTCTGACTAAAGTTTAGTACTAAGTGCTCGCCTAACAACCAAAAGGTCGCTGGTTTGATCCTATCCTGAGAAAATTCATAGTAGCTTTTTGATGGTTTGAAACTGGACCCTTATCAATGATAAGGGATGGCAGCTGGGGCTGAAAATTTAATAATCGTGACTAATGAAACAGCTAATCTTAGTCAGTAACAAAGCTACATAGAACACTCATTCTTCACTCCTATTTGGGTATATAAATACGCACGTAGGTGGCGTCACCATCTCATTATAATAATACTATCTTTCTAATTTTTATTTCCCCACCCCCATCTTATTATAATAATACTATCTTTCTAATTTTTATTTAAAAAAATTATTGGTTTGATTTAACAATTACTCAAGATGGATTACACATAAAGTTTGAATTTTTTATTGAAAAATCTATGTTACTATGAGATTTATACAGACTATAGTTCGGCTACTTAGAAAGCGACCTCCTCCAGCATTGGTTTAGCATTAGCGCGCAGGTCGTTTTCTAAGTGGCCGAACTATAATAGGAACACTATAGTTTCTAATGAAATTCCTTCGTAATAGCATTAAGTTACTTGGAAACAGTATATAAGAAAATCTCACAATGTATAGGAGAATATTTGGATTGTTTCTAAATAAGTGAATCTCACCATGTTTAATTTACAATCCCATCTTTGTAGGAATCCAAAGTTTTGACCTGTTTGTATTTCATCAAGTTAGCTAGTGTCTACTGTCTATGTTAAACATTGCTAACCATATTAATATATAGATTAAAGAAACTGAAAATTTGGAACTGATTGATACATACAACAGTCACAATACACATTGTAAAAATCTGTTGTAAAAATTTAAATACTTTGTACCAAGTAGCAAATTTTTTCTGAATAGATCATTCATTCATTTGCTCATTCATTCATTTAAACTTAAACAGTGTCCAATAAACAAAGACTGGCAGCCTCTTGAGAGACTAACAACTGTGCAGTGTGAGTGTGCAAGCACTCATGTCCTTACATGCACCTTGTCCTGTATGTGCATGTGTACACATGTACCACTGACACACGGCCTTGGCTCACGGTGTATTGAAATACACACTTCACCACTATATAGTTCAGTAATGTTTTGCTACCGCCATGTAAAATACTTGTGTGTATTGGGACCTCTCTTATACCACCATAAGAGGAATTTTATATGGAAATGGTTTTAAAATCAACTTAATAAATTTAATATAATGATCATTAGTAACTTCTAAATGAAATCACTTCAGGAAAAACCACTATGAATTGAATACAAACATAGTAGTATAAACTGTGTTTCCCCAACAGTATAACAACCAATATCCATCAAAAGTGCATTTGCTATCTTCATGAAGAATTGTGTTGATGAGCCTTAACTCTTTATAATTTGCCAAAATGCCAAAATTAGGAATAATGAATATAGCTGTTTAGCAATCATTTAAGAAGCCTTTACAATACACAAAAGAATTAAATACAGACCAAAAGCAGTGCTGCGGCAAGCATATATTCTGGCGTCCACCGCTAGAAGTGCTGTGTAGTTTTGCCACACACTGGTGCAGCGTCAAGCGCTAGCGAGCGTTGCCATGACGAGTTTACAGTTGGAGCCAGAATTGCCAACTTCTGGAGAATTACCCGGAATCCGGGTGTTAGGGGTTTGTTCTGTTATTTTCCGTGTTTTAAGAATTTGAATTTCTGTGGATTTTTGAAAAAACTGTCTTTTTTGTTATTTAAAGTTACAGGATTTTAGGATACTTAACCCACATTTAAATGAAAAGTGGGTCTGTTATGTTGGTAACATTTAGTTTTCAAGGGTGATAGTGCAGGTAGTAGACGGTGAGTCGACAACAGCAGCAAATCGACGAAAATTGAGCTTGCTCTAGCGGCACATCGCAGGACCTTCCTTTGACAGTCTATATTTACTATACTTGTCTATGCCTTTACCAACGCTTAAAAAGAACTCATTTTTATAAGCTTGATTTATTTATTTTTATTTGAAGAATCGTGTTTTTATTGTATACTTTGTGGACTTACGTACAAAACTATATTAAATAATCATTTATTTAATGTATCACACCATTCATTGTTGTGTAAGTAATGAAAAGCTATTAATATAGCTTAAAATCAAAATCCTTATTATATTCATCTAGAAAACAGCCTGTATTATGATAACAATCAAATTGGCTGAAAAAAAACATTATTTTCCTTTTACATAATTTTTTTTTTTTGTCTTGCGGTGCAAACCAGGGAATATAGGAATACAGGTAATATCATTCAATTTTTAATTAGTTGAATAAACAACAGTTTTGAAATGGCTAAAGTTAAATTGAGTGCATTGGTTTCATTAAATATTTTACTGTCTTGTATTAAGTTTTTTTTTAATATCTCTTGATTACTACTTTGTTTAAAATATGTGTAACATGTAACCTGTTATTCATGTAAGCCACTTTACTCAAACTAAATGACTACAAACTAAAATTCTTTGCATTTATTCCACTGCTCATGACCAGATGCTCTGCGGTGAAGGGTGCATCTGAAAAATACGAATAAGGTGTAAATAATATATTAAATTAACCCTTAGAGTGACAGGCGAGAAATAAAAGTAACGCTAAAAAAATGCCGATGATTTTTCCCGAAGGTCGCGCTAAAAATGCCGTGCGCGATCTGGCGATTTTTAGGTTAAAATTTCGTAAAAATCGAATTTTCGATATTTCGACCAACAAAAATCGATGTATCGCATCTAGTAACTTTCGACTCAATGTTAATATATGGGTTAAAAGAATCCGAGTATCCATTCGGTTGTTGTGACAACTGTTCGATCATTACGAAACGTCCGGTCAGCCGGACGTTGGCACTTTTGGCTCGTTCTAAAAACGTCCGGTCAGCCGGACGTCGGCACTTTTGGCTCGTTTTAAAAACGTCCGGGGCCGGACGTTGGCACTCAAAGGGTTAATATACGCGTAATATGCTTTAGCAATTACTTTAGCAATACCAGTTGACGATTGAAATATTGAAAACTTAAATGATTATTAAGCAAAAGGACTTCTTCTTTATACCTTATCTATTAATCTATAAATATAGACCATTCTAAATTATGCCTGCAGATACCCAAGGCTGCAGTTTGCATGGGCCCGAGACAACCCCAACCCCCTTCCCACTTTGTGTCCCTTCCCAACCCTTCTCGTAAGGGAATTTTTCTCTTCCTTGAGCCCTTAAAAACTTAAACGTCTTGCACCAAACCGGACCTCTTTACTAAATCTGTCCTTTCTACCTTTTGTTTCTTACTCCAGAAGAAAGAAGCTAAAGCGACAATAAATCTCAAAGTAATGTTTGTGAAAATTAGGAACGCCAAGATAAATAAGTTAGCAAGTTATGAAAAAACCTTGATAAAAATGAGTATTTAAAAATAAAATGAAGTGTAGTTCTTATACATTTTATGAACAATATAATTGAATAAGGTCCATAACATAGATTCTGTTGAGTATGCAATATGTAATATGAATAATACTAACCTATGTTAAGCCACACGTCTGGCAGCCCTAGGTCTTGGTGAGCTGACCGCAATGCAGCTCTAAGAGCAAACATGACAGAGATGGCCAGACAAATGGGAGGCTCGCCTACAGCTGTGGACAAGTCAGTGTAGGAAATTTACATCAAGGGCGCAGCTCAACAAATTAACAAAGAATAACACAATTTACTCTGTAATTAAACAGTAAGTAGAAAATTGTTCTAAGCTCCAAGCAAGAACTAACACTGCTTGTAAATGTATATTAGGTTGGATTGAATATAAATTTAGCACACCTACTTTTTGATCTGAGAATTCCGAGTGGGTTGTCTCCGTTTTTCAAAATGTACACCCTTAAATCCACAGGAATGTCCTTTGCCCCAGGAATCTTATAAGTCTGAAAAATAGGTTACACATAGTTACTAAGAGAATTTCAAAAGGTTTTTACCACAAAACGGCCGTTCCTCCAACATTTCAGATAGTTCAGTTTTGTTACAAAAGCACCTTCAATGAAAACAAGGTAGATCTTATATAAGCTAGAGTTCAATAATTTTCCACTTATTATAAGTGCCCCATATGCATATTGTGACAGTTTGGTTTTCTGAAAGTATGAAAGTTGCTTCATCACTTAACACAACCTTCTAAATAAACTTTTAGTGTCTTCACACTGAGGGTGTGGATCAAGTTTGAGTATCGGATTGATAATTCTAGAATGTCAGGAAGGGGGGGGGGGGGACAACGGGACATACACTTTAAAAAATTCTCTTTATAATCATGAAAAACACATGGTGTCTTACTTTGTTTTTTTCATAAATTCAATATTTTAAAATTATGTAATTCTTTTTTAATCGCCCTGAATCAGCGAGCACATATTAATAATAATAATAGATAGGACACGGCGTTTAACCAAATGCACTGAAAGTGTGGCCAAATCCGCCATCTTGGTCCGTCATACAGCCTGAATCCAAGACCCGCGAGCTCAGTTCGCATTAAAAACCCCGCGACAAATACACGATCATAAACAACATTAATAGTTGACAAAAAATTCTGAAATTTTGCACACTTGTAGATATGATACTGAGGAAAACGATGGTGTTAATATAAAATTATTAGTTACTAGCTGTGTACCCGTTCTACGCACGGGGATCTTATAATATTCAGTTGAAACCTTCTTATATAAAGAACAGCAGTTGGTTTGCATATTTTAAGATATGCTGGCCAAACTATTATACATAGCTTCATTTTATGTTGTTTTTTGTTGTTCCGGATCGGTATGACAATCAATAAAAGGTTAAATTACCTCTGTGTCTGCCGGTCGATCCTATAACGGTAGGCTTACTTTTATTTTTACTATCTGATCTCGTTTGCATGGCTCAATCACGTCCTGGTTGAAGTTCGTTCGCTACGCTCACTCACCTGTATGTTGGAGCTCGTTCGCTGCGCTCACTTTCCTTCAGGTTAGCTCGTTCGCTACGCTCACTTGCCTTCAGGTTAGCTCGTTCGCTACGCTCACTCGCAGTTGGAGCTCGTTCGCTGCGCTCACTTTCCTTCAGGTTAGCTCGTTCGCTACGCTCACTTGCCTTCAGGTTAGCTCGTTCGCTACGCTCACTCGCCTCCAGGTTGCAAATTAGCTGTTGTCATAAATGTAAAAGAAATAATAGTGCTAGTGCTGCACCCTGTTGGTAATCCTTGTAACTTTAATGCTATTGAACATCACAGAACAGAACCAACTTGTTTAATTGAAACAGCTGTTAAGATTCAATAATTTCATTTCTCATAAGGTTAACATGGGCTTCCAGAAATTCCACGTCAAAAATCGACAAAAACTTGATTTTCAAGGGTTTACTGTTAAATATCTAACTGTCTCATATTCGATGAAATACGTCTAAAACCATCTCATATATGTATAGTATTTGGAAAATAAGTTTCAGGCGGGACAGTGCTATAGTTATTGAGGAGTAGTTGTAATAAAGTGCGTATTTTAGCGTTACCAAGAGAATGAGATAGACAGACAGACAGACAGACAGACAGACAGACAGAAATTGAGATAAGGTTTGATTCGGTTTCTCTGACCTATGAAATGTAAAAATAACCAAAAAGTTCATTATTCTAAGCAATGTACAGACAAAACTCTAATTTTATTTATATAGATGATAGTAATTAGGTTATAAATATGTTTAATACTTATGTAGTTTAATTTTTCAGATTCAGACATGAAAAAGTTGTATTGCGAGGAAATTTTTTTATTTTTTGGTCAGAGTAATTTCGTCAGCGGGAAAGTTGTGGATAAATAACCAAATTTAACTATCCGATTCACCAAAAATTTTTATCATGTTCGGTTTTCTAAAAAATCAGGTACAAAAGGGATCCATTGCCGCTGCTCCGCGCCACGCCCGCTGCGCCGCCGGGCCGTCGTCTATACATTTAGCGTGCAGTGTTTTAATGTTTTATACTGTTGTACTGTAATATTGTATATATTAAAGAAATTTTCAAAAATATTGTCTATGTAGAATTTTCAACCGTTTAGCACAACTTTTTAAGGACTAATTAGCTTTCAAGATAAACTAAAGATAATTCTGTAAGTTAAATTAAACTTCCCAAATATATTTGTAAAACTACACTCAATTTATTGTCCCAGAAAAATTACAGTTTTATTTGAGATGTTGCCTGATTTTATTTTTGTGAAGACTGTCGTTACTTATTTTACAGTAATAGCGAACTCAAAATAATATTGTTTCATATCCTGAGAAATATGTACTATTTGGAAACAAATTTACTCCTACACATTGTCCAAGTACTTTGTTCGTCAAGTCCCCAATTACATTGTTCTCTACACTAATATCATTAACTTTTATATCTACACTATTCTCATCATGCATTGCAGACGACTAGCGCGCTGCACACGCCGGGACTACTGTCGGGGAAATAAATATGTGCTTGAGTTTGAGCCTAAATATCTCTTGAGATTAATAATCCGATTTTGTTGAGACAAAAATTAAATAGAAACTGGTTTAAATACATTTTACGTGGTAACAATTAAAAAAATTTCCGTTTACCAGAAAAAAATTTATAGTTGAAAGATTCTAAAAAGTACCGGTTTTTAAGAAACTCTGCACTAACACTGAAGTTTAAAACTTAATTGTAAACAAACCAATAAGCCAATCTTTCTGAAATTTGTATGGCTTATTGGTGGATTTGTTGTTAACAGTTCAATGCATTTTAAAGTTTTTACTCAAGATAGTTTTTATGCTGATGTTTATTTTTAAAACGTATGCTAACATCATTAATAAGACGCTAAAAATTTCGTTCAAAATACCATTGTGTTTGTCGTGACACAAGAAATAACACCAATATGACAGATTTATAATGCGAACAAAGGTGTTTTTTTAAACAGATATATATTTGTAAGAAAACTTTCTCCCGCAACTGGCAGGCCGATTGGCTCAGTGGTTTGTTCACAATTAAATTTTAAACTTCAGTTTTAGTGCCGAGTTTCTTAAAACCCGGTACTTTTTAGGATCTTTCAACAATATAAATTTTTCTGGTAAACGGTTTTTTTATTGCTACCACGTAAAATGTATTTAAACCAGCTTATATTTAATTTTTGTTTCAGCAAAATTGGATTATTCATCTCTGAGATATTTAGGCTCAAACTCGAGCGCACATATTTATTCCCCCGACAGGTAGGCTAGCGCCGCCATCTTTGTCCGTTTCGCCGGCTAGTAAGACTGCCACGCTCCTGCGCTCCGAGTAGCGGTTCTATTTTGTTATGTGTTCGCTGCCCTGAATAATAAGTTTTAAATATATTGTTTAGTCTAAAAGTAGTTATTGCAATATTGAAGCTTTATCCTAGAGAAAAAGATAAAATATATCAATAAAAAAATGTGAAATTGACTTGTAATTTACCAAAGGTAAATATAACCATATGGTATCCTAGAGAGAACATCTACCTATCTACTATACAGGGTTAATAAAAAGTCTGGAGACCCCCTATCAATTTTTTAACGGCCCATACTAGAAAAACTAAACTCTGCACACCTTTATGGCATGTTATGAATTACTTTTTTCCACCGAATGAGTCTTTATTTTGAAGGTCTCGATAAAAGAAAACCAACAACGCAAACTAGGGGTCTCTATCTCAACCCTGTAAAAAATGGCAGTCAATTGAAATTCTCAGAAGTGAAATTTAACTTACAGCTTTCCAAGTCTGGAGACCCCCTGTATATTTTGTAACGGCTCACACTAGAAAAACTAAACTCTACACACCTTTATGGCATGTTATGAAGTACTTTTTGAGCCTAATTGCTACTTGGTTCGCAAACTCTGACTGGGACGGGTGGCGTCGTCCTGTAATCCAGCTACTAGGAGGTCACGAATAAATTGTGGATATTTATAGGGATGCACTGTGGGTGCGATGCTCCCTGGTGTGGATTAACGTCCGCACTAGTGAGTACTACGACTATCCGCAGTACTATCCTGATAATTAGACCAATTCGTAAATTACAAGGAAAAATGTGGTTCGGATTCCACTATAAACTGTAGGTCCCTTAGTTGCCATTAGCTGTATGGGCTATTAAACAGCTGTGTCTAAGAAACATGTCGGCCTTAGTCACTAACAAGACTACAAGATCGCGCCACTCATCCTACACTCATCCTTCACTCATATTTGGGTTAAAATACGCACATAGTGGCGTCCCCATCTTAACTAATTGATAATTGATTGAATTAATTGAAACCCAAAATGGGGGATTTTGGGGAAACTCAAAGATTTGAAATGTAAAGCTCCATCGAGTGACCCCTCATTTTGAAGGTCGTGATAAAAGAAAACAAACAACGCACAAACTAGAGGTCTCTATCTTAACACAGTAAAATATGGTAGTCAATTAACATGTAACGGAAGGAAAATAATTGTAAGTAAATTCTGATTGAAAGATTTCAATTGACTGCCGTATTTGACTGTATAATTACGCAGTTCATAAAGAGAAAATGATCCCAAAGTAAAATAAATAGGAAATATCAAGAGAAATAGGTTATCCAACCTATTTCGACAAAATGAAACCATACTTTCAAAACTTTAGGACAGGTATTAAGAGAAACTCCACTGAACAATGTGAGAAATGTTCTGATACGGGCATATATTGTGACTGACAGATAACACGTTAAAATACGTTAACAAACTTTCAATGGTGTTGCTGCTTTATATCCTATTCAAAGCAGATATTATGGCTGTCTAGTTGGTAACCCAGAGTTTGTGGGTAAAAAATGGAGCACATAAAATGGTTGATATCACCCCCACTTTTCAGGATACTCTTCAGAGAAAATTTGTTGGTTTAGGGGGAAGTCTCAAATCAAAAGAAATAAAATGACCCAACTTAAATACTTAACACAGGTTATCAGTAAGACAACAGTTTTCTTCAATTCTCAATACTGAAAAAACGTTGTTGCAGCATGTTAACTCGAATTGAAGCAGAGCGTTTAGCTTTCATCAGAAGTTATAAGTTAAAACTGGGAGCAGAAATAATGACTCGATGAACCTTGACGACCCAAATAGAGACATTTAAAATAAGTTTCTTACAAGTTTTCAAACAACTCTAAGATGTAATTAGAATTACTCAAATTTAAGCATAACGTTTTCCTCAACGTTATGTTATGTTTTATACTATGCGGCTCATTGAGCCGCACGGGTTCTCTAGTAAAATTAATTAGGTATTATTAGTTCAGATACCAGTAACAATGATGCTTGAGAACATTTTATGCAACTGTAGAACATACATTTTTCAAGCAAACTCCTCTGCGTTTGAATGCTTTCCCCATGATTGGTAGGATGTTTTACCTGTTAGTGACTGTACTTTAGGAACTACTTCACCCAACGTTTCCCAACCAACTCACCAGAGTTCTATTGGTCAACACTCGTCCAGTTACATGGTCGTACTTCACTTCTTCCGATGTACAGTAGCCTAGACCCATCATGAAAGCTCCTTCTATCTGGCCAATGTCTATGTATTGGTTCAAACTTTTTCCTGCATCCTCTAAAATATCAGCCCGCACACACTGAAACCAAGAGATTCTTCAACAGCACTTCAAGTATTTCACTAACTTTACACATTCAAGATGTGCAACTATAAATTATGGTTGAAAATCAGTAGTCCTATGAAGTAAAAGTACAGAAACCACGCCATTTTTAGCTGCAACATCTTCTATATGAGCCAGATTAACAATAAAACAAAATACAGTATTATTTAATATTTTGTTAAATATTTAATTTTGTTAATATTAATATTTTGTTAATTATCATGGTTATTGAACTATAATAATTTAGTGCCAAAACTTAAATTGATCATTGATTTTTTAAAGGAAATTATTTTAGACATTATCGGGGATTTAGGAAAGTTGTAGCAATGTCAGTGACCATACTGAATAACCACACACATCATCATATGATATGATCGATGTTCAAACTAGTGAGCCAAATAATTGAACCAACTCATCTTAATCAGGTGCACTAGTTTTGAAAATTGAGCATGTCAAGTGAAGGTTACTTCTGCACCTAAGAAAATTGAGAAAACACAATACACATGATTGAATGTGGAATCATTACAATAAACCCCATACCTAAACAATATAGAATTGAAAAACAAGACTTATTACTAAAACAATACTGTCATTACTAAATAAATATGCAAACAATTTTAAGCTATTATATAAGACAGTAAAAATATGTAATTAAAAAATAAAAATGTTATGAATGACTAAATTTGTTAATTTCAGAAGAGCTAATTATTTGGTAAAGCTTATATTTTATAGCAGTTGAAATTATTTTCCTAGGACATTATAAAGACTTAATAGTAAAGATTATGAATTAAAAATAATTATAGGTACACTTTGGTTTCTTAGCTAATAAAACACTACAAAATCGCCAAACCAAATCAACAATTGAAAACCCCTACACTAAATACTATTTCACAGTAGGTCCAACTGCAGCATGCAGAAGTTTACTATGCAAGAGTCATTTTGAGTCCTCAAAAAATCAATACCAGAACTAGACCGATTTAATAGACAAAACCTAAAATCAAGAGTCATGCATAGTTTCTTGGAGAAATTCTAAAAGGGTACAATTAAGACCATACTGTGGAACTGAAGATTTAAAATATTTTTTCCTGAATTCTTATCTTATCTTAGGCTACAGAGGTAATCATTTCTCTGTTGTGTGCCAGGAGGAGAATTAATAACAATTAAGAGAGTTAAAAAATATATTAATATGAATACTAGGCTACACATATTCATACCTTATGCTCTCCAGTTAGAATATCAAGTTCAACTTCCAAAACACAAGCACCGAATATTTGGTAACTCTTTAGGTCTGTTGTTGGTGAAAACCTATGGAATTAGAAAGTTTATATAAATATAAACATAACAAATTTTAAGAAATTATTAAGAACATTAGTGTGTTAGAAATGATTTTTATCCTACAAAAAAGTATTTTAAAGCTAAGACTAACTTTGTAAAATTTTCATTTTTTCATATTAAAACAGTTTACCTACTCATTTTAAAGAAATATTCAAGAACTTTTAATAACTCGATGTCAAAGTTTTGTTGTATTCATTTTACACTCATATTTAATTTATTTTTACCTGGAACATAATTATAAACCATGGTGTTGTCAGCTTATGGTATATATTTAGTGACTTAGTAATGGGACTACATTACACGTGGCTGCAAGCTGCACCAGTTTAGGTTTTTTCAGTTTAGGTATTTCCAGTTTGTACTCTTTAACATCCTTGTACAAACACCTTTGTTACTAATGGGAAAAAAGGATGTATTAATAAAATAAACACGTCTGCCTTAAAAAATAAGGTTACCAAAGACCAGGGCCGCGTTAAGGGTCAGTGGCGCCCTGGGCAAACCCAAAAGCAGCGCCCCTCTTATATATATATATAATATATATATATATATACTGTAACTATAAAGGTTTTGACCACAGCAGTGTAGGGAGGGGAGGAGGGAAGGGGGGTTGACTCATCAGTTTGCCGAAATTCACTGCAGGTAGGTTGGGGTGAGTGCAATGAACTTGACAAGTTGCTGCTATGCGAATGCCTCTTGCCCTGCACCAATCCTAATGCACTACGCAGTGATTGGATTACTGTTCAGTACAGTACAGTTCATTGCATTACACACGTATTGAACGAGATTCTACTAAGAGAGAGAGAGAGAGAACAACTTTATTACAAAATCATCAAGATTTGAAATGGCGTCAACAATTAAACAAATAGATTTCAGTACAATAACAAAGCAATTATTGTAACAGTTAAAAGTCATTCAAATCAAAGTCTTTCCAATTTAAAAATTCTTCAACGGTGTAAAAAGGCCGAGAAGATAACCAAGTTTTCAAATGGGGCTTCATTTTTTCAGCTTTGGAGTATGTTTTTTCCATGGTTCTACTATAGGCCTATGCATATATATATTTATACATTAGCGTGTTTTTTTTTTTACCAGTTTTGTTTCGGGAGGGAGTTTTCAATTCCGTATCAATGGAAATACTGGTTAAAAACCAGTCATTAAAACGTTCTTCACTCACGTTCTTTAAAACTGCTTCTTGAGTTTGTTTTCTTTGAGCCAACCGCTTGCGGCTCTCGGCTCCACTAGGTTTTTTATGCATTTTTCACTGTTTATAGGCCTACTTACTTGTATCAACACCTTCTCTATTTATTTATTACTGGTTCACTAACTGTAGTGTGAGTGTCAACACTGACTTTAGGTTGTGTTGTGACTGATTTGAAGACTGTGGAGCAGGCACAACACGAACACAACCTACTGACTACTGAGGGTGGAGTACTGTACTGGACTGGCGCCGCGCGGTAGTTGGTACCTAGTTGTGATTGTAACTTGTGGGGATGGGGTCGGGACTGGGATGGAGAGGAGGGGCACGTGAACCGTAGGCCTGTAGACTACAGCTGGCCTACATGCTATTCCCGTAATTTGCAGACGTCACCTAAAAAATCAGCTGATGTATTGCCATATAAGTATATATTTGTTTTGATTTGATTGTTATTATTTTTTTTATTTTTCTCAATGGTAAAATGGTGTTTGCAATCTGAGTGACGTCAGCATATGATGGGAATAGCACACCTATGTATTTTCCTTCCACCACGCAGGCCTCCCTGCCTCTGATAGTATAGTGAGTGCGCCCGGTTCACACTGCTGCCTGCCTTTCCCTGACTACACGAGGTATAATCTGAAGGTCGAGTATTTTCAATTTTGTTGTATTTATTTACTTTTGCAATAAGGGAAAATCACTTAACTACAAGTTGAAATCACCCATTTTATTTTTGAAATCCCGGCTGATAAAACCCTATTTTTCCTAGTGCGGGCGGTGGTTCAGGGCGCCCCTCGGGCGCCCCCCAACCACCGGCGCCCCTGGGCATATGCCCAGTCTGCCCGTTTATAAAAGTGGGCCTGCCAAAGACACAGAAAAATATACACTTAAAATATTAAATGATTATAAGTTAACAGCTATAAGACTGATTAAGTTTGGTGTTTGCCATATAAGTGATTGATTTATCATTATAGTCAATGAACCTCTTAACGTTTCATGTATAATAATTTTCAAAAAGGATCTGTCATAATGTTTCTAAAAGTTCACAAGAGATTTTGATAATGTTCCTCTAAAACAAATAAACAATCCAATCACCTGCATTTTTAAAGTTTTGAAATTTTGCTTGAAATATCCAAAGGTTGATTCATAAATTTGTTTCTTTTCTTTATTCACTTCATTCGGTTGATTTATGTTGATTTCATATCTAATTGTTGGATCGAGAACTATCCCTTTGTTAGTTTGTCTTTCAATGAACAAAATATCCACTCTTCTAGCGCTTCCCTAGGAATGACAGTGTACTTCTTCATGGACTTCCCCTACTATCTAAGCAATGTTGAATCAAGAACAATGGCAAAATATAGTTAACTAAATATAGTTTAAATTTAGTTAAAAATGTTTAATCCATGTCATGTACCAGTAATAAATCTGCACCAGTAATTCAATATTTTTGAAACTGGATGATTTACAGATGAGGTCAACCGTCTTTTATATTAGCAATCATATTTTTATATTCACACTTACATTTTGGAAACATTAAGATTGACGCCAGCTTCGTATGCTGATTTTATTGTATCTTGCCATGTTGGATTTGTTAGTTTAGCTCGAACCGGCTCCAATCTCTTCATGAGTTCAATACAGCACTGCTCTACCGCCTATATTAGAATGGTAATGGTAAAAATGTATTACTCTATTAAGAGCTATTTTAGTACCTTTATTAAGACCATTAACTATAAACAACAGAGGAGTATGGTACAGAGGAAACTCGCTTATGAGACGACCGTCCTTTTTCAGCTCTGGATTGCTGTGCCAAAAATACTTTTGACAATCAAGGAGGAGCTTGAGCGGCGAGCACTGTGCAGAAATTCCTATCGCATTTTACACAGGGTCATCTTCCTACACTGTGAGCGTTGTAGTACAAGGGGGTGGTATTAGACTTTGCCCTAGACACCAGTGACCAGCACTAGACACCACTTAGGTGTACCATTGAGTATTGAGTGTTTACTCTGTACTTTACTTCTCTGTGTATAAACCCTAATCTTGGTATAGTAATTATAAATAATCAAAGTATTAGCTAAATAAGTCACCATTGGTCAAGGTGTTTTAGTGAGGTTTAAATTTAGCCTCAAGGATTTGTATTTATATAAAAACTTCACAGAGATTTAAATTAAAAGATAAAATTGGAACACTTTAACAAGCTAGATGTAGCTTTGTTTCACTTTGAGGTACAGTGATCATTAATTCCTCAGATGAATCTTTTTTCAACGTTCCCATTTATAGTGTTTCGAGTGAGATACTTACATAGCAGACACTCTCTGTGGTGAAGCTGCCGCCGGTCACTTGGTTGTTGGGGCAGATCAGGGTGTTGGTTGGCTTCACTACAACACAGTCCAGAGGTATTCCCAACGCTGAAGCACAAACCTGGGCAGCCTGTGTGTGCAGATTACATGTCTTTCAAAGCACAAAATATATTTACAGTAGAACCCCGGTTAACTGAAATAAAGAGGGGAGAGCTGTTTCGGATAACCAATTTCTTGGTTAACCCATCATATGCTAAAAATAACCAATGTGTATTCTCACAGTGTGTAGAAAAAATGAATTTAAGACGATGACCATATAATCCTGTATTTTATTTAAGCTAAAACAATGTTACAATGGGTTAGAAAACACTCTAAACTAAAGAACTGAAGTTACTAAAGCTAAGTTACAGCCCTGTATATTATTTTATGGAACCATTTCGGTTAACCTGGGTTTTGGTTAACCCGAATTCAGTTCACAGGGGTTCTACTGTATGCATTTTTGCATGTTTTGTCATTGAAATTAAGTGTTTCGCCCATCATATGATTAAAGTACCAAGGTATAAGTGCAAAGTGTCACAATAATATGTAAAATAGAAAGCAGTGTCAATGGAACTTGTTCTGTTTACACTTCCTTGATGTGTGAATCAATTTGATAGGCTACAGTATTATTTATATGTAAAATAACAGTTTATTACAACTGCAGTATGTTTTTCATACGGAATATGTACATTATTTGTTTTGAAGCAATGTAGGTTTTATTTAAGTTAGATAGCAATATTCTTCGATTACCCTCTGCATTTTAATTTTACTCTACTCTATACTTTTTTGTTGAAAATCAAACCAATGACTTTGAAATCAAATTTAATGATACATCTGTATAAGCTAAAATATAAGTCTTGAGTTTTATTATACATTCTATTAAATCCATAATCGGTTGTTGATTACTGTTGGTGTTACCTTGGTGTCAATGCCTTGTCCTATCTCCACTCCTCCATGAGTGATTGCTACTGAACCATCATTCCTGTACACAGACACCATCGCATGGTAGTTACCCAGGGTTTCCATAGGGAACCTCATCGGCATCAACGTTATCCCCCTCTTCTTCCACAAATTGTTCTGAAACAAATACGTTTTACTTAATGTAGGCTACATTACAAACTTTAGTATGTTTTTTTTATAATGGGTATCTTGATATATTTGTGTATACCAAATAATATCAATGTTTTTCTTAAAAAAAAAAGAGGTTGGCGAGGGCGATCTCTTTTACCAAGCATTTGCCTGTCCACATGGGCCGCAGTGGCTTGTGCGTGCAACGTATGTGTTAAATAGTTTTGTTATAGTATAATATTTTAAGCTGAATGAATATTTAGTATGCAATGGAACAATGATTCAGTCTAATTTAATAATAATTTGGTCAGCTGGTTTATTGGTTTAAAAATAAATGTAAAGGAAAGAACATGAGTTTTATTAGCAAAATAATTTAAACTGTTAATTTTGAACATTGGTGCCGAAACTTTTGCGAATCAACTAAATGTCGACTACTGGAGCATTTACAAGGTCCAAAGTCAAGAAGTCTGCTATAAAATCTCAGGATTTTGATGGTAAAAATAATGAGGCAGTAAGTGATAAGAATATTCCTTTGTCGGTAAGATCTCATAAAACTAGCTCAAGTAGGAGTAGGAATGAAAGTGTTTTAGAGGTTATGGACGAATTGATTAAGATACAGGAAGAAGAAACGTCCCTTGTTGTATCATGTGCTAAAGCAAAGGCGGCGGCGGAGAAAGCAGAGGCAGAGGCAGCAGTAAAAATAGCAGCAGCTGATGAAAGACTTGCCCGAGTGGAGGAAGAAGCCAAGCAAAAGGAAATAGAAATGAAGAAGAAGCTACTTGAAGACAGACTGTCATCGCTTAGCAGGGGATCGTCAAGAGTCAGTAGCAGATCATCTAGGACTTCAATTTCTTCTCTTCCACGACCGTTGCCCACAAAGGAAGCTGTTGAAAAGTGGATGCAGACAAAGGATCAAGCTGAAGACATTAATAAAAATAACGTTTTGAAGCCTTGTACTAATGTTCCAGTAAATATTATGAAGAGTGTACAGCAGGAGGTATCCTTGCCGCATCACGAAGTACAGTCTAGTTTCCAGCCTCGAGAAGAAAACTGTGAAAATCCTCGAGAAGCAAGGACTGTAGCTTTCAGCGAAGGAAGGAGAATTCCTCGAGATGTTTCGTGTTTCCCTCGAGATTGTCAACCTGATAAAATGATATTTAGAGAGAAGATGCCGGCGAGAATATTGTCAGCTCTACCTAATTTCAGCGGAGATCTAGACCAATGGCCCGCTTCGATAGCTGAATACAGGCGATCTACTGAAATTAATGACTACACTGATTTGGAGAATCTTCAAAGACTTCAGAAGTGTATTACTGGAAAAGCTAAAGAAATGATATCAGCACTGTTGATATATCCTGAGAACGTACCAGAAATTGTTAATTTGTTGGAACGGCGTTTCGGAAGACCAGATATAATTATTAAAAATCTCATAGCAAGCGTGAAAGGTCGACCACCAACTAAGGACTACAAGCCTGACACTTTGGTTGCTTTTAGTGACATGGTAAGGAACTTAGTAGTTACGGTAAAATCCTTGAAGCAGGACCACTACTTGTTTAACCCACAACTTATGGAAGAGCTCACAGAAAAACTGTCCACCAACATGAAGCTCAACTGGGGAATGTTTGTCACTTCACCACAGTCTCAATTGAAACAACCAATTGGCCTCGACAGCTTTTCGACGTGGCTCTCTTCTGTGGCGGATGCAGCAATTATATGTGCTCCCAGTACATCTACTAGTGGAAACTTTAAAAACATGTCATCAAGAAATGAATCAAACTCCAAGAACTTTGTATTAGTACAACATGAAGGTGACAAGAAGTTTAAAAAACGTATATGTGTTTGCTGCAAAAAACAAGACCATACATTGACAGAATGCAATCAATTCCTAAAGTATGATGTAAATAAAAGATGGGAGACAGTCAAGAGTAACAGTCTGTGTTTCAATTGCTTGAAGACTAAACACCGAGCGATGACTTGTCGTAACAAACTTGCTTGTGGAGTTAATGGCTGCACCTATTTCCATAATAAACTGTTACACGTGACCTCAAAAGAAGAAGGTGCTAATAAAGAGACACCTAAATTGGAAATTCACAGTGAACATATGGGATTTCAAGAAGAACCTGTTGCAAGAGTGTTGTTGAGGGTTCTCTCAGTAACATTGGTAGGAAAAAATGGCAAGCAAATTGAAACATTTGCTTTAATTGATGACGGTTTAACTATTTCTGTCATCGAAAAGGGATTGGTTGAAGAACTCGAAATTGATGGACCTACTAAACCTGTATCTTTCTCCTGGACAGATGGATCTGTTTATACAGAAAAAGAATCTCAGACTGTAACACTGACAGTTATAGGAGATACAGGCGAACACTTGACTCTAAACAACGTGAAGACTTTGACAGCCTTGCAGTTACTAGGGGTGTGCGAAGCAGCAAAAAATTTTCGATTCGAAGCAACGATTCGATTCAAAAGATTTTCGATTCGATTCGATGCAACTCGATTCGAAGCAATACGGTATTTTTCTATTCATAATTGTCAATTGAGTGGATTAACAATAATTAAAATGTATCACATTTGTGTAATACAAATTTTTGTTGATGTGGTATTAGGCCTATTTCATACTTAACATATGAATTTTAGGTGAAAAAATATTTATTTTCAATCATATGTATTAGAATAACTGCTGGAAATACCAGTGAGCTGCTTTACTTGCCTATTTCATAATTTTTACTTGAATTGGCTCAACTGCAAGAAAGAAGAAAATATTTTTTTTATCAAGACATTCATTCTCATTTTAATAACTGTTTAAATAACTAAATAGGTGCCGGTAGCTAAATTACAACAAATTTGAATGGAACTTAATATAAAAAGACCATTAAAAAAGAAATTTACATATCACAAGTTTAGGGCCTGTGGACCGGCTTCAGGACTGCAAGCAAGAAGAAAATAAAAATAATATGTTTCCACCATGCAATATGTATCATTCATTCCCTGCCTCCTAACCTCCTTAGTATAATAACCTCACACTTACATTATTTGTTACATCATCATAAATAAAGAATTATTATTGGCATCAGTAGGCCTACAGCTTTACATAGGCATTATTTTTATAGGGCCTAAAATAGTAATAGGCTAGAAGCAACATGTCAAGTGGAGAACTCATTGAAGAAAAGATATTGTGTAAACTAATTTCCTATAAAACTCAAAAACAGTAAATAACATACAAACATTGTTTATGGTATAATTAATAAGGACTAAAAAATGCATATCATGTCATACAGTAGTATAGACCTACTGCAAGAGATTAAAATCCTAAAACAACTGATTTTGATAGCTAATGAATGAAAAGAATTAAAAATCCATAAAATAAAGCCAAACAATATCACAACTAATTAGGTACCCGAAAAGTAACTCTTAAATAATATATAGAAGATTAAAATAATATTAAATCAAGAGACAAGAAAGTTAAATGCTATCTTCTAGCCTAGTGCCCTTGGCAACACAGGTCAATGTTTTTAAACTACCCTCAATGTTTTTGGAACAGCAGGGCCTTTTTCTCTTAAGGAAGGGTAGTAGTATGTCAACAAAAACAATGAATCAGTCTCACCAGCCAGGCCCGGGCAACGGGCAACGATGTGTGAATTCAAGGTCATAGACCCTCCCCCTCCCCTCTTACACCACCCGGTTGCTACCCAGTTGCTTCAATTGCTGACAAAATGCAAGTGATGAAACAAGGAAGTAGAGACAAAGAAATATATTTCTTTATTCAAAAACACAAAACTGTTAGAGATTATTTTCAAAGAAATTAATTCAATGTAATTTGTGAGTTGTAAATATTGTATTGGATCTTAGAAATATATTTTTTTAACCCCATCTAACCAAGATACAGATCTGTTCACTATATCAGATATTTATTTTGTTTATAATTTATTATGTAAAATAATAAAATATATTTTTAATTAGGTATTGAATAAACAATAAATGATTATACTAGTATGTCTGGATAAATAGTCTTTCTATTCTTTTGACTGTTTTCTTTGCACTGTTAGTGTTGCGTCACGGCTTTTGTCTTGTTACTCTTATCAGTAGACGACTAGACCTGGCTCTGGCTAGTGGCAGTGCGGCAATTGCTCTGTTGTGTCTTTATTCTTAAAGGTCGTGAGCCAACTTAATTTTTAATTCTCATTTGAACATTTTAATTCCTCTGTAATAATAGATATAATAATATAAGAGTGTTTCTTTGGAAATAAATTATTCTTTTTTTTTTCTTTTGCCCCAACAAAAATTCGGGGACGGGGACCGGCAGACACCTAACAAAAATACCAAATGAATCAGTCTATAACATTAATCTTACTAGTTACTTATTTTTAAAATGATTTTGGAGTAACCTACCTTGTTTTGGCTAGGTTCACAGTAGTAAAATAGTTCACACACTGCTTACATCAAGACAAAAAACAAACCTCTAATCATTTGCAATGTCAAAACAAAAAAATATAAAACAATTAAAGCTATATTTAATGCAAAGAATGTATTAAATAAGAACGCCTTCGAAAAGGAGACGCAACAGCAACGCGCTCCTGTATTGCGGGTATTGCATTGACTTTCTGCAGGCGTTTTTCGTATATGGATACTGACTCCCTCGTGAATCGAATCGTTTTTTGACCACCACTGAATCGAATCGCGATTCGATGCATCGAATCGAATCGAATCGAAATTTCGATGCATTTTCGATGCATCGCACACCCCTAGCAGTTACCAATACAGTCTATGAATTCAGAACAAATGAAAAATAAATGGTCTTATTTACAGGAAATCCCTGAAGAAGTGTTTCAGCGTGGTCGTCCACGACTACTGATTGGACATGAACATGTACATTTGACAGTGCCTCTGAAAGTAATCATTGGACCTACAAATGCACCGATTGCTTTGAAGTCGAAACTAGGTTGGACGATAAATGGTCCTACTGGAAATGTAAACTATCAAACTCGTATAGACAACGACTTTGTTTTGTTTAAACATGAAACAAATTCAGATATGTTGGAGCTTAACTCACTAGTTAAAGAAAGTTTTGAGAGGGATTTTATCGACTGCCCGATTAAGGAATCCAATAAAAGTGATGAAGAGGTTAGAGCAGAAAAAATATTGGAAAATACCTGTTCACAAACAGAAGATGGTTGTTGGCAAACTGGTTTGTTATGGAAAGAAGACAAACCATGGTTACCAGAAAGTCGTTCCGTTGCATTGAAGAGATTTAACTACGTTGAAAATAAAATGAAAGAGGACCCAAAACTATGTCAACAATATCATCAGAAAATAGCAAGTTATGCTGAAAAGGGATATGCAAAAAAGTTAAATTTGGATGAGGTGAAGAACAAAAGTGAGAAAACCTGGTACCTTCCTCACTTTCCTGTCTACAATCCCAGAAAACCAGTCAAGTTCCGTTTTGTGTTTAAAGCTGCGTCAAAATCACATGGAAAGAGCCTGAACAGTTGTCTACTACCTGGACCAAATTTATTCAATAGCCTGATAAGTATTCTGTTCCAGTTCAGAAAACATGAAATCGCATACGCAGCAGATCTGCTCATCATCTTATTCAATTTATGTCCATCAAACCAATTCTGAGAAGATACTGGAGAATAGTCTAAGGGAGGATTACGATACAGCTCAGAGCCTGGTTGGTACAGGCAAGTGCTGTACTGTGTTAAGTCAGCCAGTGATAAAGTGGATCTTTGGTCAAGTGTCTGAGTGTGACCAGATGTCTACTGCCACCAAGATTACATACCACAACTGTAGCAGGGAGAAATGTATCACTTTGGACAGAAACCTCGCTGAACCTGGCGGAATGTTATCTGAAGATGCACCTAAAAGAGGAGGATCAGTGTTTATGCAAATTTTAGAGTTCACAGAGAGTCAGAAGGCTTCGTCCCAGCTTGAGACAGAATATGCAAACATCGACCAGAAGATCTGGACAATTCATAAGGACGCTGACAAGCACTACTCCCTGAACCAAAGGCTAGAGATCAGACAAGCAGACGTAGAAATGGCGAAGACCAGGATACAATTGTTCATGAGAGTCAGTGAGTGCAAGAAAAAAGAAAAGAAGTTTTCAAAAAAGGTTAAGCAGCTGGAAGCTAAAGTAAAAGATGTAAAAAAACGAAGAGAAAAAGAATTAAAATCTGCAGAACAAGAAAATAAACTATTACAGAAAAAGGCAGAGGAAAGCAGAAATAAGTGGAAGGAAAAAGAGCAGGAGTTTGTAACGTCAAGGTCAGAAATTGAAGAATTGGTAAAGAGCATTGAAAACGAACAGCAAGAAATCTAAAAATGTGTGGCTACCAATGAACAACTGAATAATAAAGAGCTTGAAAAACAAACCGGGCAAGCAAATCAAGCTCATACAGATGTTAAGACGCTCCATAAGCAAGTAATTGATCAGAAAAATATTTTGTCAAAAATGAACAATGAAAATACAGTAACACAGAAAGACAAAGCAGCATTAGAGAAGGAAAGTGAGATGCTGCGGAAAATGATAGAGTTGCAGCACAAGATCATTAAACTGAAGTCAGACTCTGGCAGTGCTAAGAATACGCTGAATGACTTCTTGAAAGCTTACAAATGGATTGAGACGGACAGACAGTTTTTTGGTCAGCCGGACGGAAAGTACGATTTCAAGACTAGTGACCTTCACCAAGTTCAGAAGCAACTGTCTATACTCAAGGAGACGAGGAACACAGATTCAAGAGGCATGTTGTCAAAAGGTTAAAGAAGCTACCTATCCTGGCAAAAGTGGCAAAGTCAAGATTGTCGACGTCTGAACTAAATAAAGAAATTTTCAGAAGACCTACCAACAAATATGTAAAACTGAATGTTTAAAATCTTGTGGCCCGGAGAAATGTTAAATAGTTTTGTTATAGTATAATATTTTAAGCTGAATGAATATTTAGTATGCAATGGAACAATGATTCAGTCTAATTTAATAATAACTAGCGCACATGTTGCTCGAATTCGAGCAATTGCAAAGTATTACAGGAGTTATTTCAAAACGAATAACAGTCATATTTACAATGAGTTTAAAAGAGTCAACTCAAAGATTAACGGTGTGTAACTCAGACCATGTTTATCTTCGTTATTGATAAACCTAAAGCATTCCGGCCGGTTTTCTCCTTCTAAAAATGCCTCGCTTTACAGACAACACAGGTCATTGATAGAGGGCCAATTGAGAACGAAAAGTAGATTTGGGGTAGTGTTAAGTAAACTAATAGTTGAGATTGTTAAGGGTCAGGTAATGACTGTGATGAGTTAAGCCTATTACGCGCCACCGTTCTGTAGCTGCGGTCGTTATCACGATTACACCTCCTGTCTATTTTATATGTGTCGTTGTCGTCGCGTCGGTGGCATTTAAAAGAATAAAACAACAAATAATATAGTGACACAAAACAACGATAAATACACAAATTTAAGATACAACCATACTAACACGATCCGTCTTGGGGGTTATGTTTACACAAACTCAAATGGTAAATAAATGTACTCAATGCGTTTCATTGAATTGAAAAATAAATAACAGCAATTAAACTATACAGCTGATCAAAATGTAAACAATTATGTTCTTCATAAGGATAACATGGGAACTTTCAAAGCCACTGGGGGCAGAGCAAAAGGGACTTTTTCAAAAATGTAAGGCCAGTTTGCAAATCTACGCGACACGCTCTTTCCAATGAGACGTCAATGGATAAAATCGGTTAAGAAATGGCGGAAGAGTTCAACCGACAGTTTCATGTAGCGTATTAATTATATAGATTTGGTCAGCTGGTTTATTGGTTTAAAAATAAATGTAAAGGAAAGAACATGAGTTTTATTAGCAAAATAATTTAAACTGTTAATTTTGAACAGTATGCAAGGGGTGAGCAGGTACAATGCAAAGATGAACACTTATAAAAAAGCAGTGGCAGGATCCGAACCCAAAATATCCTTCCTTGGACCCAAAGTCTGTGACGTTACCACTGTGGGGGTTGGGCCACCAAACAGTATTTAGTTTTTTCCTTTATTTGGTCCAATAATATTATTTAAGTACCGAGATCTAAAATTAATATTTTGCCAGTAGTATCATTATGAAAGGGAGGAAATTTGACATTTTCATGCAAACATATTTTTTTCTATATCTCAATATTGAAAATTACAGCTTCAAATTACAGCAGGAAATTACAGCTTTGGAATTACTGCTCATTCTATAGTATACTTTTAGAGATAGGTACCTATATTTTGGATTCTTCCAACACCCAATTTATTTAAATATTGTAGCATAGTTTTATAGTAATAGTGTCTTTTCACCCTTACTTTATTGAAGTCCTGAACACCCTTCTTCCGTGATTCATAGTCTGATTTTTCCTTTAGTTGAGAGATCAAATTCAGTACGGGATATTTGTTGTCAATGTTGGCTATTCGAACATCCAGTGGATCTCTCCCAATCTCATGAGCTACATGTTCCATGATTGTCTCAGCAATTGTCACTGCTTCCAGGGTACCTTGACAGGCCCAACAATAAAGATGTTTATACATACTATAATATCTGAAAAACATCAAGTACCTAGAAGTTAGAACTCAATTGAAAATATTAAATGATCATAAGGTAAATTCCAGAACCTTCATTTAAAAACCATAAAACTTGTAGAATGTGTTGTACAACTTAAAAGTAGCATAGATATGTTTTAAAATAGTGCTTAATATAAAGCATTTTAATCTGACAACCGATTCATCATATATTATAGCTCTATGCCGAAAGCAAATTTTATTAACGAGTAGCCTACTAGCTGTTCAAGTGGGAAAAGATACTCAAATTATCAGGTGGGCATCCTAAAAAGAGTGTAAAGCATCTCAGAAATAAAGTTAGCCTCCTAGAAATCATTTTGGCTTCTTAGAAATCCAATGTACGTCCTTTGTTCCTGGGTTAGTCCCGAGTTCCTTAGGATATCCAATTAATCAACTTGGCATCCCGGAATTTAAACTACCTTTTCTTGCATCAAAATCTTAGCAACTAGGTATTTTACACTCTTCATACCTTCATTTAATTTAATGATTCCGAGTGATCCAATGACAAAATTAAATTTAATAGTGACATATGGAATCTATTATATCTGAAACCTAAGCTTTCATTTAGGTATGTTCTGGAGGTATACCTGGGCCTCGGGTCCACGCAGTTGTAGACTTGTCTGTCTTGACATTGTACAGCATAGTGGTCCAGGTGGATGAGTCATACACACTGCCGATGGCAGGAGACACAAACTCAGAGACAGAGTCATTTGATGAAGACCCTGCATCATTGTACACGTTTGTTGTTGCATACTGAATCTCTCCTTCATCATTTACACCTACCTGAAAATTATTTGTGGTCTATAAGATAGGAAGTCTACAACATTATCCAAGGTCAATTATCATACCAAATTATAAGAATGATAAAAGGTATGATAAAGAGATGTGATTTAAAATGTCCGAACCCATCCTGATTTCAACAATCCTGATTTCTGCCAGCTGTGGATCATGCCATACAACATGACAACAATTGTCTTAAGAATCATCATCTTACCTGGTAGTTGAACCAGCAAGGCCAGCGTTTGCCAATTGCCTCCATGACAGTCTCCAGCTTGGTCACTATCCGTACAGGTCGCTGCAAAAGGTGAGCTGCAAGTCCACACGCGCCTGCTACAATATTGCTGCGAGTCAACTTTTGACCGTACCCTCCCCCCACTCTACGTAACTTCACATTGATCCTGTGGAGCAACATAAACTTGTTAATGCTAATGATTACTAATTGTTGAAGGACCAAAGCACAAAAATATGCATGTTTTATATGAATTGTAAGTGGGTGTTAACTCTATGTTCTAGTTACAGGACTGGAAAACCTGTTGCTTGTAATTGGTCACTATCCTAGTCAAGAACTACATTTATATTCTCAGTTTTGTAATTATATAGACCAAAAGAATGATACTCATATTCTGGTTATCTACATAATATCGTATGATTAGTGTAGGTAGTATTAAATTTACATAGGTAGGGTCTACTAATATAATACAAGAGGTGAGAGGCAGATAAAATGAGTCTGTGCTTGGTATCGGCCAATCACGGTTATCCACATTTCTGCTGTAGATAAAATTGCCGAGCTATTTTGACAGAGGCAGTTGTATCATTCTGTCCTGATTTCTTTCCTACGTTGATCAAGTAGTATGGACAATATTTTCCCTAACTAAAAACATCTCCCGTTGTGTTTGTTTTCTGCACGGAAAATTAGGTGTGTTGCTAGTCTAGTGTGACATGGCAGTATACCTATCATCATTTACATATCTTCTTTCAAAATGCCACTGGCATATGTTGTTCACTAACAACAACAAATATGCTATCAGCTACATGAATTCGTATTTAATTTATTCTTGAACAAAACATAGAGTTTCAAAGCATCAGTTTTCCAACATCTAAGCGCTACAATCAACTGCAATATTGCAAGGGGTTACTGACTTATTCTCAGGCATGTTGAGTACCAAGGCAATAGTCTCCTGGACTTTCGCAAGCCACTGTGACGTGCAATAAACATCAAGTTCCCCTTCCACCGGCACTACCACACATGACATAGTCTCCATGGTGAAGTGGTACTGAGTCTCCAGCTTAAAATCTCCTTTCACCACCTTCTTGATATCATCTGCAATCCAGAAAAAAAATCCTTAATAATATATTGTGTAACAGTTTTTAAAACTCACATTGGTGAGTTCATAACGTATTAATAGGGAATTAAATTTGAAGATGCAGTACAATCTAAAGATCTAACTTTTTAATGTCAGTATAGTAGCTGCAATTATTACAATTATCGTGACACAATTAATTATAGTCATTGTCACAAGTGTAGCAAAAAACAACTCTACAAAATGCATTGTCTGCAAAATAGAGTAATATACGAACAAGATATTTAAAGTGCATCATGAACTGCTTTAATGTAAATGGTTTGTACTGTATTGAGGCATGTAAATGAAATAACATAAAATAAAATATTACTCGACAGTATATCAGAGTAGAGGTTCTCAAATCATGGGTTGTGACTCTATTCATACATTAACCAATGTCTAACAGTAAATAAACTTATCTGACCTTTCCTCTTTGTTGCTTTCCCCTCATATGTTTGGGTGATTCTAGAAGTAATTTTATTTCTAACAACGTCCCTCACATCTAGAAGTGGCTTTTGTATTCCTCCATACAAAATATGTACTCTTTCTGCAGCATGGTCCGCTAGTTCTTGGGTCTTAGCTACTATCACTCCCACCGGTTGTCCAGCATACAAGCTCCTCTTGGATGTAAACAGCTTAAACAAATTTGAAATTAAATTAGAATCATTGATTGAATATAACATGAATGAAAGTTCTTGCAATAAAATATGATATTTTACACACTGAGTAAACCGGATTACTGAAGAAAATATTTATTTAGAATTATAAGATAATATTTTTCTTAATAATTGTAAAAACTGCAATACATTTTTTGTTTCCCCCTTTTAGGCTTTAGTTTTCAATTTTAAAATCCATTCTATAAGCTGTTAGGTACTGCTTTAAATGTTTACTGCCAAGTAACAGCACTACCTATTCAAAAATTAATTGTTTTAATTATTATGAGAGTTTTGCTTTACAAAATAAACGAATAAATAAAATAACAATAAGATAAATAAGTAATTTAAAAAAGTAGTAGAACAAACATAATAAAATAAAGATGATAGACTAATTAATTGAGAGGACACAGCTAACTCACCTAATGAAAGGTTGCAGACGAGTCAAAGAACACAAAACACACACATATGTGTTCTTTATGTTTATGTGTTTATGTTATGTGTTTATGTGTTCTTTGACTCGTCTGCAACCTTTCATCAGGTGAGTTAGCTGTGTCCTCTCCATCCTATAAATTTATTTAATTCAAGCTAAATGCTTTTTCCTAAAAACATAGACTAATTAATTGGTATTCTAAGTTTACCTATCATTCTAATTGTTTTCACTCATGTAACTGAGGGATATTATAGATTGGTCCCCAATTTATGGTGTAAGATATAATTTCAATTTCATTGAACTACCTGTTCTGTTTCTGGAATGAATGGGTCTATTGGTGTGAATGTATTTTCTCCAGGAATATCCTTTGCTGAGTAGAAAGCTAATACACCCGGTATTTTCTGAAAAATATCATACAATCAAAAATATTTAATTAAAAAAAGAAAAATGGATAGACATCTAAATTTTAATCAACAAATGATGGATCGTTTGCTATTAAATTAAACATCTAAAGTTTCTTAAAAAAAATATTTGGACATACCCATATGGTCAATGATACAACTTTTTTTTTTGTCCTAAGACGCTAGGCACGAGCCTGGGATTGTTTTTCACATTACTTCAGGCTAGACCTAGGGGTTGCGGCATTATCACTTAGATAAAATCCATTGGTGACTTGGCGTGGATCGAACCCGGGACCTCAGGGACTGAAGTCCCACGCTATAACCTTTACGCCAGCTCGCTCCCCCCAATGATACAACTAGAACTAATTCACATGTAAGATGATGAATAGGTCGTAAAAGCTGATTAATTTCAATATAATACTGGAATCATCACCAGTCACAATGGAGATTAAATAATAGAGTGAACATTTCTAGTTGTATACTATCCAAAAAATACTTAATCTTTTAAAACACTTGCAGAATCTAATTATTTCAAGCCCTTTCGTTTGAGTTTTAGAAATATTTTGGGATCAATTCATACCCTCTTTACATCACGTGTTTTTCCTCGATATTCAGGCAAAAGATTTATTCGTTTTGAAGGGAAACCAGAGTCCTATATGTATAAAAGGTACCAGTCCAACCAACCCATCGTTGATTTATTTTAAAAAGCATGTTAGCATTAAAATGCATTGCATTGTGCTGTATCTGCAAAGCTTGAATTTTTCTGACCTCACTTCGTACTGTAGCCAAAGACAACATTTTCTACGGAGTAGCCTAAGTGATTATACCATACATAGAGTCCGAGTACAGCTGATTTTGTACTGAATAGCTACTGAATACCTACAAGAGCTTCGTTTGCATCCAGGCCCAGTAAGTCTGCAGGTCCCAGCTTAGTGATGACTAGTGCTGCGTAAACCTCATCTCCTGTGGTTGGAATATCAAACACATATTCTGCTTCACCTGTTCAAACCGATACATCTATACTCATAGTATTGGGTCAGTCAAACACCCCAATCAGCAGAACCAACTCCTACAATAAACAATTAAATTGATTTACTTTGTGATTATTTCATGGGCTCAGGAACTTTATCGATTTTCATATTTTCAACAATTGCATTAAGGGTTCAGTAGACACGGTAATCCTTCCAGTTTGCAAGGTTACTTAATACAGGTCCTATAGGGTCGCTGCATTATCACATAGATAATAAAACCCAATGGTGACTGGTGGGAATTTGAGTCTATGGTACCGTGGGGATCGTGTTCAACCACTATACCAGCTCGCTCCCCATTTGTATTGGATAAGGATCTAATAAAATCCAAATCACTGTTGGAAAAAATAAGTTTCATAATAATCTTACGTACAGTGACTTAAATTCAGACATAATACGTAGATCAGCCCTAAAGCTTGTATATTTGTACTTTTAAAATTGAAAAACATGATAGTGCAACATATCTGTACCAGAACACTGCAGAAGAGAGTCCAACTTAGGGAAAGGTTGGTAAAGAGGTGGTCTGGAACTGTCAGTGTCAAACTCTTGCTGGCCTGAGGACAGTGGTCGAGATATATCCTCCCCACCACTGCGACAATGAGGCGACACCGCATCAGGCGTGACACTTAGCACAAACTACAAACAGAATTGCCGACCTATTTACTGAGGAAATTAATAATTTTCAGTAGCATAAAGAATCATGCGATTTTTTTAAATCGCTACAAAAAAAGTACCTACTAATACACAAAACAACTTTTGATAAAGGTAAAAACTGTGGCATTATTTGTGAAGGGAGATCTTCAACATAGAGTCAGTTTTCCTTATCTAAGTGATCTAACTTTTTCTGGATTCTCTGGATTCTGGATGATAGTTTTTCAACAATAATATGTGTTTTATGATTGAACAACCATGGAAAATTAGAAAAGGATTATAAAAGGAATAAACAATATTATCAATATTGAGCTTCTAGATCAGAAGTCATAAACTTTATGTTCACAACCAGTTGTTTGGAAAATGATCAAGTGGTTCAGTGCCAGATTGTCATCAGCTTTGCTTGAAATCTTGGAGAACGTGCTGGTAAGAATGTATAACGACAATTCAGACATCTTAAACTTCTAGCTTTTATTACTGCTTGCTGAATACTGTATTTATGGACTCACATAGTTGAACCACCTGTATAATCCTATCTCAAAATGTAAAATATATGAAGTTGTGATGCAAAATATGGTATTGAAGCAAGTACAGTACCCTATAAAAACAGGCCTGAGTGAGCTTCCTACGGTACTCTGGATGAGGCTCGGTAGGTCCTAGGTCAGGATGAACCTCTCTCTCCAAGATATCCAGAGCTCCTCGTAGAGTTGCTGGCTCCAACAAGCTCCGACCTGCCAGATAATCCTCTAGCTGAGCAGCGTGAATCTTTATAACACAGAAGCATTCATTATCTCAGTTGTGTTCCTTGAGAATTTTTTCCAAATTTTTTAACACTGTAAAACTTAAAATAGTAATAATATTTAGGTTAACAAAAAATTTAAAATTTGTTAAAATCACAGAGTTTTTCTATGTCTAAGTAGCTATCAAAGGTATCTGTACATTCTCGCAAGAATATATCCTATACGGTAATCATTTTCAAATAAAATTAAAACAAAAGTACGGATCACGGCTAAACTGACTCAAAATCAAAACATATGACTGAATATTGGAATTTTAAAATAAGTTTTGCAAGTTTCACGATGATCTTCCATGACCCCATATACTGTAACATCTTTATACACAGTACATTGTTTAGAATTTTTTAAACTTCGGAATTTCAGCTATTTTTTTTATCAAAGTTCAATACATTTTCCATTGACAAATGGTAAAATTTGGAAGTATTTGGTTTTTATTTAGTACATTCCAAAAAGGTGCTTCTTGCCGATCAATGTCTATATTTGATTTATTAAAATAAGAGACACAATTGTCTCAATTCAATTTACCTTTGAATCCTAAACACAAATTAGAGTAGGCCAAAAGGCAAAATGTTGGAGTACAAACACTTGAAGTACCGGTATTTGGATAGCATTCTTAATACATGTACAACACATTTTTCATTTACCAACTACCGGTACTACTATTTTATACAATAAATTGAAATATATGGTTTATTGGTTTATTACCTACTAAACTCAAAGAAAATGTTACTAAAAACTTTTCAAAACAATAATTCTGGTTTTTTATGTGGCCATCTTTAGATATAAGTGTTACTTTTCAAATATGAATAATGTGGTTGATATAGCAAATAAATATAAGATCTAATTATGGTTGTTGTTGTTGTTACAAAACTTGTTTTTCGCTTTGTGATGAATGAAGTCTCATTAAAAATACTATGACCAAAACCTTTTACTTAAATAAAATCATTAGGCTATCATCAATAATTCATTATCAATTGAGATAGGGAACCCACCCACCTAGGTGTGTATTTTCCCCCAACTATGAATGAAGGAAGAGTAATGGTGTGAATTAAAAATATAAAAACCAACTATAAAATACTTACAAATTGAGCACTAATGTTTCCAAAAATAACACGTGGCTTCCCAAGAACTAAATGCCTGTTCTTTTTGCCGATTTTGAACAAAAATCCTGCATTTGTTAAAGCTAATGCATTCTGGGCTCGTGGGGCGATCTGAAATAACAAGCAATGTTTGCACTTACATTCAAAATAGAAGATATAGAGCGAAATAAGTGTATTGAAAACTTCATAAAATGTAAATGCCTCGGACAACTTAGCTCAAACTCACAAAGCTGCCCTAATCAATATTTTTTCCAATAAGGGATTCAATCTCTCTTTCAATCTTTCAAATAAGCAATGGAGTATTAATAATGGCTAGATTATACTTATAATCCAAGTTTTTACACCTGTTTGATGTAAGTTAATAAATTACTATAAACATTAGTAAATGCATAGATACCTTGTATGATTTGTAGATGTAAAAGGTATTGTCGAGTGATGGGAAAATGATCTGCAAGATGACTTTCTTGTACATGTTGGTCTCTAGGTATTCAGGCATTGATATCACACTGATGGTCCCCCGCTCTCCCCCTGGGATGAATAAAAGTCATCTAAGGTATGAGAAAAATTAGAAATTTATTCTATCAAACAAACAATCCTTGCTTGCAGTTGTACAGCATAAGGATTTTGGGAAAGCAAAGTAAGTGTGATATAAATATGATACTTTCTTTTTAATTCTATGAAAAACTAATTAGTTTCAAGTTTATGCATACTATCCTACTGTACAGCATAATAATCTTACGTAATAATAATCTTAAAATGAGCCAAAATAGTCACAATTTGATAACATAAATTTAGATTTAAAAAAATATATTTTCCATTATAAAACTACTAAGGAAAATTTGCTTGGTTTTAAGGGTCGCTTCTAAATAATATTGGTGAAATAAAGAGTTTGCCCATTATTAGGTAAACAAAGCTAAAATTTGCATTTAACTTAGTTTAGATTTGGCAACTATGAGATCATAAAGAGCCATACTTTTATTTGGACTGAAGATTATGAATCTTTGTATTCAAAATAAACAAATATGAAATTAACTAATTCCTTTTTTTACTCATCAACACTGTGTTAAGTGCTAAGTTAATCAAAGCAAAATCCTTAGTACTTACTGACGCTGAGCAATGCACCAACAGTTTCAAGGATCAAGAAGATGTCTGATTGGAAAGTTCTCCATTGGTGTTTGATGGACAAGTTTCCAGCCAGAGTACCCACCTGAAAAAAGTTTTTTTTATTTCAAATGTATTTTATTTGTTATTTTGATTTTTGCTACAAGACATGGCAACATTTCAACTACTGGAACGGAATATTTATTGACCCATGAAACCATTTAGGTAGCATAGTACAGTAGAATTTAAATTCATGCACCTGAATCTTGCTTTTAATAACATGGATGATGGGCAAATTTCCAAGGGCGGTTCTTGGGAACCATATACATATACACTAGGAAGAGGCCTACTGGTACTGTACACATTACGCCCAAATCCCTCGTAATTTTTTTTTTCTTTTAGATGCACAAGAATTACTACATTATTGTTTTTTATTTATTGCTATTTAAAGGAGGGGATGAAACATGTTGCTATACAAATAACATAAACAGCACAGAAATATCACTGTACAAATTTATGTGTCTGTCACTGTCAATAATGTCAAAAGAGTTTCTAAGAAAGCGAAGAGAGAGGTCCCACAAATCCAAGAGATTCAGAAGAATAGAAATGTGTTCAATGAAGTGATCAAAGGGTTTCCAACACAAAATCAACCAATCCAGCTGATATGGTGATTCAAATTACTGTACATCCAAGATCCTTTAGTTTGGCGTTCATACTCATAGAGTTGTAAATTATATAAAAATCATATTTGCCCATTTTTCTTGTACCAGATTTTGAATAGTATATTTCACTACTAGTCACGAAATGGTACTTTCGTGACGAATATTGAATGATACTTTTTATCACGATGAAAAAAACTACTTCATCAAACTTGAAAACTTATCTGATATTCCGTAATCTATTCATTTTTCTAATATAAACACAATACAGCTGTACAATTTAGTGTAAAATTCAGCTGATTGTAACTTTGTTGATGTCAGGCATATTGTTTGTGTAGTAATGTTTATGTAGCAAAAGTAATGTTTATGTCAGGAAAAGTCAGCTGATCACTATTTGTTTTTGGTGTATGGAAATTGAAGTTTTTCAAAGATCTCAGCTGTATTGAAATGGGCTATTTTTGAATACAGAGTGATGACATAGTTATTTGTGTAACTAGTGGTGAAAGTGGCACTTTGCTGCACACGAGAGCAATGTTTACGCACGAGCCGCAGGCGAGTGCGGAATGATCTCGAGTGCAGCAAAGGCCTTTTTCACTCGTGTTACACATTATACTTTTCCTACAGTCACTATAAAGCATATAAATAATTAGTCTTTCAAACACTATACAACACGTTTTTAGGTTCAGCTGGCAACACAAATGGTGCCCTAGAGAAAGTAGTACCCGCGGTCCGTATCACTCCGCTATTTTTCCTCGGCAAGAAATGTGCTCCACGTTTTGAGAATATAGTTCCGTATGTTTTTGTAATTTGAAGTGGTTTCCGCGCCTAAAAAAATGCTTTAAAGGTATTTTCTTGTTTATTAAGATCGTAGGAACGTTTTAAAAACGTTTAAAAGAAAAGTCCAGAAAGTTCAGAAATACCGAAACTATAAACACGAAATGACAGGTTAAATCTTAGTTATAATAGTCAATCAGCTGCTCATAGTATTATTATCTTTAAGTGTTGCCAACCTATTTCCAAGCTTACACGGATTACGTGCATAATAGAACCACGCTGTTTTGTGTTGTTTCGTTGGAATCCTGATGTGCGGCAAAGTATAAACCGTACGGCAAAGTATAAACCGTACGGCAAAGTATAAACCGTACGGCAAAGTATAAATATGCAGCAATTAACAGCTTTCTGTACTATAAACAGTACAAGGAAGCCAACTTTGTCGGGTGACTGTAGGAAAAATATGTTACTGTATTAAACAAGCTGCACCACTATTTTTGTTTGTTCTGTAAGAAAGTTGAAAGAGGTTCCAAACAAAAATATTTATTTAGCCTACCTACTTACAAGATTTTTCTAATTTCTTCTACCATGCACTATGCAGTACTTTTACAAGTATTTCAAGCTGTACTTTGATTTGATTCTGAATTTACTTACATTTCTCACTGGTGTGTTAGCCACTTTTTCAATATGGCATGCAACTTGTTGAAAGTAAGAGAAATATTTTGGATTTTCATTTGCAACTGATATGAAGAAAGTAATGGCATCTGATAGGGTAGTGTTTGCCCCAACATACCAGGAACCAGAATAAAATGAATGAGCTTTTAGAAAAGCCACGGAACTGACATCGATAAATACATCAGGAGATGGCTGGTCTTTCATTATCCCTGAAAAACAACATACATACAGGTTTAAGTGACAATATATTTGCTACAGTGAACACAAAATAACATATGTTATTCCGTGTTCACTGATTTGATATCCATACCCAGGGCCGATTTAAGTAGTAAATGGGAATTTAGGTTTGTTTAGAGCGCAAGGAAGAGAAAAATTCCCCCGCGAGGGAGGGGGAGGGGCACAATCATCTCTTCGGCCCATATTACGTCACACAAACAATTGTCTATACTGGAAATGACCAGAAAATAATCATTTGATTGTAATACACATGGGTGTCATATTTTTTCACCTGCTTCTTCTAAGTGGAATGGATGCTTAGATGTTAGTTTTGATTTTCTGTGGTGTACAATTACAAATCAAAGTAAAGGATGGGAAGGTTCTGATAACAATTTATGTTTTGAAAGTAACGGTGTGAATAAAAAATAACTGTGAATAATAATCCCAGTTTTCAATAGTTTGAAACTGAACCCAATGCCTCCACTTTCCTCTTAATGGGCTTTTAATAATTAAAACTGATCCTGGCTTAAGAAATAACTGGTCTTTGTTAGTAACAGAGCTACACAATAGAAAAAATAATGATAGTCCTTTAGATACTGCTTGTTTTAAAGATAATAAAAATGTTTGGTTGATGCATTTTAACATACAGGGTGGTATAACATTCAAGATTAATATGTTAAAAATTTTTTTAGAAAATACAAACATTGATATTGTGTGCTTAAATGAGCATTTTCTGGATACAGCTAATGTTAACCTCCTGAATACATTGGTTAATTATAAACTAGCAACATACTTTTGTAGATCACAGGATACTCATGGTGGTACATGTATTCTTATTCGGCATAATTTAGCTTTTTTAAACAGAGATGATTTAAATATTTATTTTGAAGAAGCTGTGTTTGAAGGTTGTGCAATAGAAATACCTAGCCTAAGAAGTATTGTAATATCATTATATCGTACACCAGATAGGGCTAATATTAACAATTTTCTCTGTAAATTAGAAGCTTTGCTATTGTTGCTAAGAAAAGAACTAAAAAAAAAACAAATTTATATCGCTGGAGATTTTAATGTTGATACATTAGATAACTGTAGGTACCCTACTCACAAAGATTCGTTTCTTAACATAATTAGGCAATTTGGATTTAAGGAAACTTTTTTTGAGCCAACACGGATAACACCTACAACTAATACCTGTAGGCTATAGATAATGTATTAATTAATATGAGAGTTGAACAACACCAAACTTTAAATATGGAATTAGGAGTATCTGACCACAGAGCTTTATTTATTACATTAGATAGTAATATTGAATTTAGTGGTGACTCTGTTGATTTTAAGAAACTAAGCTATAGTAGGTCTTTTTCAGCCAAAAAAATTGATCAGTTTATGGCTACTTTAAATGAGGAAAATTGGAATTTTAGTGAAAATAATTCAGTTCAATGTAATTTTAATGATTTTTTTTCTAGATTTAAGATGATTTTCGAGAACCATTTTCCACTAAAAACTTGTAAAGCAGGACACCGAAAAAAACAACAGAAAAAAATGGGTAAATTCAGAGATTAGAGAATTAAGTGTTAGAAACAGAGAATTGCAAGCCTTAGCAAAACAATCTGATAACCATGCCTTTAAAGAGTATTGTAAAGTTTTTAAGAAAAATTTCAAAGCTGTCTGTTCTAGGGCGAAAAGAAATGCAAACACCTCTTTTATAGAGAAAGCAGACAATAAAAGTAAGGCAGTGTGGTCAGTTGTTAATGGAGAATTAGGTTTAAAGGCAACTCAAGAAAATAGCTTTTCAGACATTGTTTTCCAAAATAAGTGTTTAAAAGATGGAAATAAAATAGCTGATATTTTTAACAATAAATTTACTGACATTTGTTTAGAGAATGAGATTTCACCATCAAGGGAAATGGCAGTTAGATTTGCAATGAAAAATAATGACTGGAGTCAAAGTTTACCAGTTTTTCACTTCAGTCCAGTAGATGAAAACCATGTTAATAAAATAATCAAATCATTGAAGAACAAGCGATCTTCAGGATGGGATGAGGTTCCTTTGTTTTTATTGAAAAAGATTGCCAATCAAGTTTCAAAACCATTAACAAACATTATAAATCAGTCACTCATTTCTGGAATATTACCTTACCAAATTAAATATGCAGAAATAAAACCATTGTTTAAAAAAGGAAGTAAATTGGATATTAACAATTATCGGCCAGTGTCCTTGCTTCCTGCATTTTCAAAGGTTTTTGAAAAAATAGCTAATAAACAAATCTTATCATTTTTTGAAGACAATAATTTATTTATCAAGGAACAATATGGATTTAGAGAAAATAAGAGCACAGTTTTAGCGATAGCAGATTTAATCAGGTGTGTATCAGAGGGCTTGGATGGATCGCAGACCACAGCTGGTGTGTTCTGCGATCTATCCAAGGCTTTTGACTGTGTGGTACATGATATTCTTCTTGATAAGTTAAAAGTTTACAACTTCTCTTCTTCCGCATTATCTTGGGTAAAGTGTTACCTATCTGGTAGACACCACAGAACTGTTATAAAAAAAAATTATATGGTTTTTAAATCTGAATGGAGGAAAGGAACGCGGGGCGTGCCCCAGGGCTCAATTCTTGGTCCTATTCTGTTTTTAATCTATATAAACGATTTAGCACAAAATTTTGATTTCAAAATTGTTCTGTATGCAGATGATGCTACAGCCATTCTTAAATCAAACAACATTTTAGATTTACAGCAAATTATTCAGAATTCCCTAACAGATTTGCAAGTGTGGTTCAAGGCCAATGGTCTTAAATTAAATAGTAGCAAAACTAATGTAATCAATTTTAGCACTACACGAAGACAGGAACAAAATCTTAATCAAATAATATTAAATGATGATCACCTTCCTATTGTAAAGTCAACAAAGTTTTTGGGTCTCGAGGTTGATGAAAAACTAAACTGGAAAACATATATTGATATTTTGAAAAAAAAAATTAAATTCCCTTTGTTTTCAAATGTTTGTTCTGCAAAAAATTACTGACTTACAGACGAGATTGATTGTATATCATGCATTGTTCGCTTCTTCAATGCAGTATGGTGTTGAACTTTGGGGAGGTAGTTCAGGTATGGAGTCTGTTTTTAAATTACAAAAAAAGTATCTTAGAATCATGACAAATTCTAAACCTAGAACGTCCTGTAAATCTATTTTTAGGGAACTCAAAATTTTAACACTACCATCTATGTACATTAGTAAATGTCTGTTTTATGTCAAATCTAACTTTAATATGTTAATGGAAGATCAACACATTCACAATTAATTATCAGACTAGGAACAGAAGTGATTTCCAGTTTCCTGTTCATAGATTAAGTTCCTTTGAAAAGTTGCCACAGTATTTTGGTAAAAAATTATATAATAAGCTACCAAACAGGATAAAGAATATTGATAATGATCATAAGTTTAAGAAAGAAGTTCAGTCCCTGCTGCTAAACAAAGTATACTATTGTGTAAATGATTTCTTATGTGACACTTTGTAATATGATGTAAATATGTATATAAAATTAAGGCATTTGATTAATTTTTTGCCAACAAAACAATTGTATCATGTATATTTTGCTTTTAGTTTTTAAGATGTTGACATGTCACCTGTTTTACCAGCTGTGCTGGGGAGGAAAATGTATTGTGACAAATAAAGAATCTGAATCTGAATCTACACAAATGATCACACTCTATCATACACTCACCCCCTTATTCAGATTAAAACACACACTCAAGTTAGTGTGTTAGAACAGTGACTGATGGTAGTAGTCATTATATTACCAAACTGGCTTTCTTAGCTTCCGTTAGATTAAACCAACCTCAAGCTCATCTCTCTTTCCATGTTTCGGTTTAAATATGCATGGTTGCTTCTTCATCTTAACTTAAATGGTGATGCAGTGAGATTGGCAAATATAGATTACAAAACTGATTGATTACCCATTAGTTTATCCCACCGTGAATATAAGAAGAAGAGATTTTACTATTTTTGCCTAATTAGATAGGAAATACACATTCCAATTATCACTGTTCTTACACACTAACGTGAGTGTGTGTTTTAATCTGAATAAGGGGGCGAGTGTATAATTGAGTGTGATCTTAACACATTTTTATTTTCATAAACATTCACATATTTTATCGTTATATCATAAATAGATGAGTTAATTGAAAAATGTTCATGCATTTTAAGACTAAATACTACTGGTCTCTGTTGATACTTACCCTGTGCAGTGTTTCCCCCCACCAGCATATACTCTCTGCCATTCAACATATCAAAGATCTCAAATATTTCTTCTACTTCCACCACTTTGTACCATAGCCCTCGTCCTGATGGGTTCATTATTTTTAACTTTGGTTGGCTTTTTTTCTCTGAGGTTATCAAAGAGTTCTGTTTTGTTCCTTTCTTTCTTTGAGAGATGTTTACAGGCTTACACAGCCTGGCTTTTTCCGATTCTTGACGTTGGACAAACTTTTTTTTATGAGTTTTCAAGAGATCCTGGGCAAAATATTTGTTGAAGAATATTTTATGTAGACGATGTAAAAATATTATTTATGGAATCATACAGAGAATGAATTAATAAACTATTTTTAATTTTAATTTGCTTCCAATACTGTACATATCAACCGGTACCAAATTAAAGATGAAAACGGTCAAATTCTGTGTATGAATTAGCAACTAGCTGTTATACAATGTGCTACCAGATTGATCGATTACCTATTCTTGGCATACACAGATCTCTGGTTTTATGAGTTATGCATTTGTCTCAAACACAAGACTACAAAAGGTTGCAGTGGAAACCCCATTAGTTTGGTTGTATGTTCTTGAAAACCCTTTAGAGACTTACTTATAAAAAGCTAGGTAGAAAATTATTTTGATCAATCCAGAAACATATAGTAACTCTACATAATACTGCATTACCTCAATGTCCAAGACCTTTTGTTCCAATTCTTGAGTTTTGTCTGAAGCAAATGATTTAAAAGCGTCTAAAATCGGTCTGTAGCCTGTACATCGACATAGGTTTCCTGAGAAGGAATCTTCAATTTCGTTCATGGTAGCCGTTGGATTTGATTGCAGAAAGCTTCAACAGAAAAATAGACAATAGTTACAAACTGAGGTCTTAACATGTGAGCTGTAACACACCTTTGTATCTGGAGGATGAGGATATCTGCTCGTGGGCGTCCATCAATAAGAGCTGGGGGAGGGGTGGAGGCCGAGTTATCCTATGAGACCTCACCAATCACATTTATTATAGATTGTGCTGTAAAAACATAAAAGTAAAACAAAGAGAAAGAAGGTTGAGGCAAGAGATATAGATAAATGGGGGCATTGTGATGAGAAGGCTTAGTACCACTTGAGGTACCTGAGGCCACAGCAGTTAGTAGTAAGAAAGTAAAGTTTTCAAATTAAAAAACCCAAAATTATGTTGGAAAAAGCAATAGATTAACAAAGTTTGGGTACAAAATACGTAAAATCAACAGTTTTTACCTAGATTTTTAAATGTAGTGCGGGAGGATCCCCTGGCCCCTCTATATATGGATTATTCTGTACCCCCAGAACCCCCTTATGGAAAACCTAGATAGACACCCATGTATCTGCTAGTGAATGTTTTAAATATGTAATGATAGTGTACCTTCAATAGTATAGTCGGGGCGCTGAGGGGGTTTGAGCATGCATAAAAGTGTAACGAAATTTGACTTTTGATTGTTGCTATGGGTACCTAGTAGATAAAGAAAATCGATGTTGTCGCATTTCTAGGTGGTTAATAACATGGGGGGGAGGGGGGGAAGTTGGGGGGCCACCCGGGGGGCCGCCGCGCACAAAATAGCTTATATCTCGTGAACCAAAAGTCATATGAATACGTTAGACACGCCAAACTGTGCAGAAAAATGCATTCTACAAATAGAGTATGTAGTAGTTTCACAGAAATTGACGAGAAGTTACTAAAAATTATATTTTTTAAATTTACGATAAGTATAATCAGGAGTATAATGGTTTTTGTTGTTGTTTAGAACCATTAATTTTTTAATTGACAACTTTTGAGAGTAGTACACTATAGGTAAATAGTACTTCTGTATAATGAAACTATTGCGGTACATAACTTAACAGCTATACAATCCTCAGATCCAATAAACATAACACAAACAAAGGCGCAAAACGCGTCGCGGTCATTGTTCCTGCTGCCGTAACTATTAATGGCGAGTACAGTTCAAGCTGAGACTTATATTACACTTTTTAGAACGATGGAGATTCTGAGGATTCATTTTCATATGTATAAAATAGTATTGAGGGACTATTATGTATCGAGAAATATAGTTTGTAAAAGAAGAGAGTTTATACAAAATTTGGTAGTTGAACGTTTCCATCACCTGACCAGGCTGCACAATTGGTGCAACAGCTGTTTCGGCGATCGCGTAAAGGTAGTGTAAACGATACGAGTAGAAAATGTTAAATACAAGCCTTAGCGAGTGCCTTAAAAACTTCTACGAGTGTCGTTAACACTATTTACGCGAGTTGTGTGCATTAATTAACCTGCAACAGTATTTTAATTACCAAAAACCACTACTCAAAACTTAAAAAGAGAGGTTATTTTTTCTTTACCCCTCATTGTCTCTGACAGTAATGCAACGAATCATCGCACCAATCGTTAACAATTAATTGACCTAAACAGCTGAAGTTATAGTTGAAGTTCGAAGCATTATAATTTTACTTCTTATCTCTTAATCCTTGACCCTATCTGGGTACCAGTGGTGGTTATATTTTGGCCCTTTTGTAGTGGTACCATATAATTCACCAGAGAACAGTTACATGCCCATGTAAGTAGATGTCTATTATACATCTATTATATATTATGTTTCAGTGATAAATGTAGAATATAATAATATAAAAATATATATTTTTCAGCAATGCTTTTAGGCGTAATAGCAAGAGGTTTGCAAATTTTTGGATTATTCAACTTGGAAATGTCTAAATCAACCCGCAAAAATCATAAAAATAATGTTTTTTCCATATTATCCAAATGTTAAGGTTGTGTAAAATATGATTCCTTACGTAGAAATATCAATGTTTTTTTTTTTTAATACGCATAAAAATAAAATTATAAAAAACTACCAAACTATTTTAATTACCAAATTGTATTTAATTGTTGTATAATTTTACTTAAATAACTTGTCAAAATTCAAATTTAGCTCTATGGCAAATGAAAATTGTTATAATATATGTGTGAACAGTGGCCTACAATTTTCCGTGATAAAGTCAGCATTGACATATGTGAATGCAACAATGCATCAAGCCTCCCTCACTTCTAAGAGTGCTGAGCTAGTATGAAGATATAAATTGTAAACTGCATATTTTAATATAAAATTTTTTTTAAAGTGCATATATTTGGAATAAATTAGTGAAATTTGATTAAAGAAGGATCCGTCCTTGTTACAAACATTATAATATATATATATATATATATATAATAATGTAATAATATATATAACATTAAGGCTATATATAATCACAAGATTAAATTCAAACGCCGCTCGATCACCCCACCTGAGATAAAGATCCATGCAATATAACCCCTCAACCTAAATTAGAACTATTGTAATAGGCCTAGCCTAAAGCCTAATTTAGTAAATTCATTTGCCACCCTTTGTAATCTTTTATTGTGAACCCTTAATTTCTTTTCTTTTACCATCGATTTTGTATTGTAATGAAATAAATTTAAGTTTAGATACTGTACAAGGAGTTTCCATTGTATTCCTAGCTTGTATTTGTAGCCTTGTTACACTGCATAATTTAAGAGTAAAAGCTCTTTCTAAAAATGTATAGTTAAATGTAGTTGAAATCAAAATTTCCTGAGTAATTTACGTCAGAATGTGAAATGTTAACATTTTTTTACGAAAACATAATTTTTATGACCTTTTCAAAACTACATAAAATTGTTATAACCAACCTCAGATTCGGAGATGTATAAATTGTAGGGAATTTATTGCAGTTTCAGATGGTGATGGAAACGATCCACCACCAAAATATATTTTGAACTCTCTTCTTTTACAAACTATATTTCCCGCTACATAATGGTCGCTCAATACTATTTTATATATATATATGAAAATGAATCCTCAGAATCTCCATCTTTCTAAAAGTGTAATATAAGTCTCAGCTTGAACTGTACTCGCCATTAATAGTTACGGCAGCAGGAACAATGACCGCGACTCGTTTTGCGCCTTTGTTTGTGTTATGTTTATTGGATCTGAGGATTGTAAAGCTGTTAAGTTATGTACCGCAATAGTTTCATTATACAGAAGTACTATTTACCTATTGTGTACTACTCTCAAAAGTTGTCAATTAAAAAATTAGTGGTTCTAAACAACAACAAAAACCATTATCCTCCTGATTATACTTATCGTACATTTAAAAAATATAATTTTTAGTAACTTCTTGTCAATTTCCGTGAAACTACCACATAATTTATTTGTAGAATGCATTTTTCTGCACAGTTTGACATGTCTAACGTATTCATATGACTTTTGGTTCTCGAGATATAAGCTATTTTGTGCGCGGCGGCCCCCCGGGTGGCCCCCCAACTTCCCCCCCTCCCCCCCATGTTATTAACCACCTAGAAATGCGACAACATCGATTTTCTTCATCTACTAGGTACCCATAGCAACAATCAAAAGTCAAATTTCGTTACACTTTTATGCATGCTCAAACCCCCTCAGCGCCTGGACTAGTACCGGTATTTACAATATTTTACCTGTACATACTCATGACCCATCCCGGTGTGCAGTAGCCACACTGAGTGCCATAGAAGTGAGCCAGTCTGGTCTGAATCTCATTGTATCCTTTCTGTCTGCTGCCGATTCCTTCCACTGTGGTTACTTCCATGCCGTGACAGGCGTAAACCGGGAACATACACTAAAATAATATGTGTTATGTTTTGTGAAATTGAATTATACATATCACAATTAATTGTGCATCTGTAAAGAATAATGTGCCACTGGATTACTTATAAAAAAAATAGTATTTTTATGCATATCCTTTCACTTTTCTTACATGTTTTACATACCTTCATTGATTTTCATCTTATGATGGTATTTTACTTTGTATACAATTTGAGGGTGAATTTATAAAATAAAAGAAGATCAATTAAAGAAAAATAAGTTTTACCTCTTGTTATGACTTGTGGTAGTTTATTAATAACAAACACTTGATATTGTCTTTTGTGTGTGGACGTTGATATTTTCTGTGAAATTGTGCCTTTTGGGCATTTAGTACTGACAGAGTGACAGGATTTAAATTTGAGGCAATGAACTAAATTCACTTTTCCAGCTTCATCAATATTTATAACTATCATCTCAATCAATATCACAGCAATTCATTGATACTTAAGGTTTTCACCCTTGAGATTTCATAAGCAATGGATATCTCCATCTAGCCAATTATGTTTGGGACATTAACACAATAACATTAAATTGTAATTTGGGTTTATACTCCACCAAGCTGGTGGCGGCTGAGGGATTAGGACTACATAGGTGGGACCTGCTCACCGACCTGGCCGTCCTAATCCCTCAGCCGCCACCAGCTTTGGCGCGGAGTATAGTTAAGTTAAGTTTCCTAATCATAATACATGCGAGAAGAAAAAAACAGAAAGACTCTAATTTAAGTTACAAACTGATTAAACTAACTGATTAACTAACGAGTCATTCTAAAGGATTTGTTGGTATATCACTGTTCACTGTATGTTCTGTATGTACCTTAGTACCATAGGAGCTGCTATACCCCTGTTTCACGACGGAAAGAAAACTTGGAAAATAATAATGTTGTTTTTTTTATCTGTATAAAATAGTTACACATCTATAATTCATTTCAGAATAGTAACTCAATACTAGAGAAGTAAAATTATTTTCTTTATATTTAGATAAGGGGTTTATAAACTTCCTAGGCAGCCATTACGGTGTTAGCAGTGTTTCTTTATATTTAGATAAGGGGTTTAAACTTTCTAAGGCAGCCATTACGGTGTTAGAAGTGTTTCTTTATATTTAGATAAGGGGTTTAAACTTCCTAGGCAGCCATTACGGTGTTAGCAGTGTTTCTCTATATTTAGATAAGAGGTTTAAACTTCCTAGGCAGCCATTACGGTGTTAGCAGTGTTTCTTTATATTTAGATAAGGGGTTTAAACTTCCTAGGCAGCCATTACGGTGTTAGCAGGGTTTCTTTATATTTAGATAAGGGGTTTAAACTTCCTAGGCCGCCCAACGATTACATAATACCAATGTGATCGTAGCATCCATTGCAACTTATGTAGGCCTACCATATAACAGTGAAATCTTTCTTTATAAGTCTTATTGTTTACTGTGTAGGATACACGGTAAATTTTTTAATTAGCATTTTAAGAGAGGAGAAAGCAATCTAAATTAACCCCTAATGTATTTGCGAATATGCTGATAATAGACCCAAAACATCCTTGAACAGTCCTAGTGTATATTGGTTAACACTTAACATAATGGCTAGCAATAAAAAGTCTTACCGAATTGACTGACACTGTCATCTCCTCACCAGTGGCGGGATGTATGTAGTGCAGGGACACGACGCAGACACCACAACCTCCCTCTCGACACATGAACTTGGTACCCTTCAGTCTGGCATACTGTCTGATGTATGTGTTGAGGGAGGTCTCCACTGGCACTGAAGTCACTGAAACACCATTGTCGCCTGTCAAATATTTTTAGTTAATACCAATACCGTTGTAAGATTTGTTTTTGTTCTTGGTGACATTAGAATAAGGATTTTATTTTTTAATTGGTGCACGTTTTGACCAGGGCCAAAACCACATATCAATTTACAAAGTAATGTCACTGGGTATCGTAGATAGTATGTTCAATGGCTTCAGTGTTAGTGATACATTTTTTATTGTGGGGATGCTCACAATCACCTGACTAACATAATGGATGTTCACGATTTTAACACAATCGTGGGAGAAGCTCCACATTTTGTCGCGATCGCAGTAAACGATAACGGTGTCCTCACGTCCACGGAACATGCTCACGATAACGTAAAACGACGACGGTGTCCGCACGACTGCGAGATGTGAACGTGGATGATTTTCGCAATTTCGCCGAGATCACAGGTGACAGGAGTCGCTTACGGTTACACCACAATGGTCGGAGATGTTCTAGATTTTGCCACAATCATGGAAAACGATGATGTGACCGTGGACGATGTTCACGATTTCACCGTGATCACACCTTCCACCGCATAAGACAAAGCCGATGTGTATTTTATTCAAATTTGTAAAAAACCCATACAGAAATTGATGAGCTAAAAGTGAAACTCGGGAAACATAAAATTCCAATGGATAATCAGAGAAAACGCTGTTTCTACGTGTCCTGCCTCACTACACTGCACCTACATATTTATTACAAGACCATCAAAAATAATAAATAAAACCGATTTGGCCTTTTCTTATTGGCCTACAAATGTACAATAAAGTGTTAAAATGATATGTTAACCTACTGTTGTGGCTAATCTTGATTTAAAAATAATCCTAGTTTTAAACTTACGATATAAAGATGGGTACCTATGCCTTAAAATCTTATCCATATAATATATGTTAACCAAAGTGATATATTATTCATCCCAAACAAAACTGAATTCCTTTAGGCCACTGAAACCCTGCTTGTTTGTGGGCGGGGGGTATTTTATACCTCGTAAACCACCACGAGCTCATGGCCCGCACTAATAAATGTATAAATGTGGACCCTATTGGCATGTATTTTTATAAATCCGGTCCTGGACAAATAATTAAAGTGTGCTTATATACTATATTGTACCAGCAAAACGGCAGGCGCATGTTGTAGATATACAGCATGTCGTATCCTTAAGTAATATGTACAAGTAAGACAATACATAAACAACTTTTGAAGTAAATGAACGTATTTATGAGTTATTATGGACTTAATTTGAAATCATTGGCAAGTCAAGTGATCTCAGTATATAACCATACTTTAATAATGAGTTTAATTAGGGTGATTGTTGTTCAGAAAATTGTGAGTTTGAGGTAGCCTAAAGTAGACAATTAGTTCTGAGTCTATGCTCGATTTTAATCCACTGGCATTTTCGTGTGTACAAGTTATCTCGTAATTAAAAAAAACTTACGTGAATGCAATTCCCCGTTCAGAATAAAACAGGCAGTTTCATCGTTGTATCTGAAACATTTCAAAATTTTACTTAGGTTTTATCACAATCGTAAATATTTCCGAACAGCAATCTTGCAAACTCAGATAACCTTCAGGTTGAGTAGTTTTTCAGTCTCATGAATCCTCAAGTATTGGAGTATTATGTTGTAGTTGTTTTATACCATTCCAGTATCAACCCCGTGTTTTGTCCTCATTCGGATCATAGAATCTAGATAGGTGTACAATTGTAATCTAATATACTATGTATTGTAAGTACAATAGAAGTATGTTGAATGACATCTATACATGTCGTTCAAAGAGGAAATTTAGCTGAATGTTCAAGACTGAACATTATAACTTTTTTTAGGACTTGTAATTTTTGATATAAAATGAGGTTACTAACCTGTCGTCAATCAGTCAATCAGTTTTTCGTGTCTAGTTCATGTTGGTGATTAATTAAGTATGGTATAGTATAGTTTGTTTTATTTATCAAAAATTGGTGAAACCCATCGCAATCGACGGTTACTTTCAATGTTTACGACAATTATTCATCCCACTTAGTTGATATCAGAGTGATAGTGGTAAGCCATTAAAATATTAAAATGTTAATTTATTAAATGGGTAAATATGAGTATAAAATATTAATATGACTATTGCGTAGTTTACAAAATATGGTTGATTTCCTCACTGCATACAATATTTCCGATACTTGGTACGAGTTAATATCACAGTACTTAAATTACTTGCTTCATCTCCTTTTGAAAACCCCTTCGGTTAGTATTCGAATCGTGACGAATAATCGCCATCTTTTTAGTAAACACAACAAAAATTTGTATATTTAAATTTGTAAATTGTAAATCTTAAGCTAACATGCTATTATTATTAATTAGTTAACTGTTGCAGTTTGTTTGTTTATAGATTTATTATGATAAAACTTGGAAAATTAATTATTTTATACTAAGTTATTGATATTTTACTAAAAAAAAAACACACTATAATAACCTACCTATAGCAGCAAACCTAGGTACCTGTTGAATCTAATTTTATTTAAATACAATTAATAAAACATCCAATCAAATGGAAATTTGCTGAGTCTGAAGGTTTGCTGTGGCAGAGTTGTTTTACTTATAAAATAAGCTTAAATTTTTAGATTTTATAGTATCACACTATTTAACTAAATGGGATAAATTATCATAATCCTTGAAAGTAACGGTCAATTTTCACGTGTTTCACCTATTTTTGATAAACAGAAAAAAACTAAATATACTTAATAACAAATAACTAAAAAACCGTTGGGTTTAGAGAAAGATGGTAAATACAAAAATGTGTATTTTTAAATGACCTACATTTTGTATACTTATCTTTTTCCTGTATCTCTAATAATAAAGTCACTATAGCGAAAAATACTGAAATATGCCGCCATTTTCCAATATGGCGGCCGTAGCACAGCTTCAATTTTAGGGGACTTTTAACATGTTCAAAAGGAAGGTACACCCAACATTTGTACCAAATTCCCCGGTTGTGCTAATTTTTTTTAGGTTTATGAAATTTTTCTCTTATTTTTACTGCACTATACAGACATTCAATTTGGTGAAGAAGAAACGAAAATATTGAACTACGGAATGAAGTACAATTTCCCAATGAAGAAGAAGAACAAAACAAACTACTAGCTACTGAAGTTGAAGTAAATGTAAAGTCACTCAGAGATGTAGACCATTACCGTTCGGAAGGACGTGATAGCCAATGCTTTCACCAGCCAAGGACCCATAGATCCCAGTAAAAATAAAGAACTGAAGACATGCAACAAATAAAGAAGAAACTGGAAGAGAATAGGCCCTATCTCAATCGTTGTGAAAGCAGACAAAAGTTCCATCGTAGTCTTTAAAATTAAAGAATAGATAAAGAAGACTGGAAATTTTACCAAAGAAAAAACTACAATGAGCTAACAAAGAAGATTATTTGTCAACGCATATGTACCAAAAAGAACTGTCCGGTGTCGTGAAGAGATGCACCATAGTGATTCCCGAAGAATGTCGACAGAAACATCCTAAATTCCAAAGCACCTGAAATGAAAGGGATCCCGAAAATACACAAGAAGAATGTGTCGTCCATCAGACCCTTATTAGTTAACTTTAAAATATGCTCCTACCTACAATGTTTCAAAAATGTTAGCCGGTACTTCCAGCAGTATTGGCTACATGTCCGTATATAAATGTACAACATGTGTATATCGACGACCTTCTGATGAAATGATTTTGACATCCCCTGGACGCCCGAAGATGGCTTCGCGAGAAGTCGAAACTAGTTGCGTCATCGTAACAACATTTTTGGATTACAAGAAGCAGGCATTTACAAAATTTTTTTATTCAATGTAATCCGGAGGCTACCAACAACTGAATGGTATAGTTGCCACTGTCAAAAATTGTCGCTCTTCTATTGATTGTTGAAATTTAATCTCCCTTTATGTATTCAAATATGTTGCCTATTTTTCCCAATAAAATAAGGTGTTTTACCCAGCTTACGCAATATCCCTATCAGAACATTTTGCGTGGTCCACTTTAGTTAATAGTAATGATTTCCCGTATTTTGCATGTCTAAAGAAAATTATTATGATGCAACATTTTGTTCCGAAGGTCTGCAACTAAAACTACGTAATAGATATAATGACATGGGATTGGTTCACGTCAGTTTCTAAAAATAACGGAACCGTCAAAGACATGCGAAGACCTGCGGAAATGAACTATTTCGTATATTTAGAATGATGAAAATGTATTTTTATTAAGCGAAACTAAATCCAATAATATATGTACTCTTAAAAAGCTATATTGTAATGTAGTATAAATTTAATAAACGTATCTCCCGCGGTCATGGGATATTATCATCTACAAGTATCACACGCAGTGTTTTCTGTTTCAGGCTTCTAATTCTAATTCATTGTATACAAGCACACGGACTTTACATAAGTAGGAAGATAATTCGTTTTACTTAATACACTGTGCAATTACGAGTATGTATAAAAACAGCTTGAGTGTGGACAATACGAACAAGACTTCTGTAGAAGCTATGCAGCATCTACTCGTAAATGTAGAATTATTAGAACGAATATTCCTTTGAGGAACCAAAAGCTAATCCATCTTATCCTCGAAATGGTTAGTTTTTAACTTGTATGGGAAGTTTTTTTGCTTTTGCACTAACACAATTTTAACGAATATTAACTAAGAAAATCTAGTTGTCTTGTTGGCTATTCAACTATGCACGTTTACTGAATAAGTTTACCTTTTTCTCATTCATTAAAATCAGGTATTAGACCTACTAGCGTAAAAGGTAGGCCTATATCTATACTTGCTGTTAAAAACATTGAGATTTGTAAATCAATATTAATGTTATTTCAATAACAATAAACTAATTCATAAAGGAAAATACGGATAGGATGGACAAATATGGATAGTTACAGTGTACATATAAAATAGGCTAGCCGGCTGTTAAATCACACACATTCAACAACTAACGACTAAGATATGCTACTATCGGCATATACGTGTCACGGTGGTAAACTGGCGTGATTTACTGGTTAAATACCGGTATCGCTAGTTAATGCGAATAATTGAAATGTTCTTATTTTATTATGGTTGCATTGAATTCCTCATGCCAAAATTAACAATCTTATTTGTGTTGAATCTACTTTAAGATGTAGCATTTGGTTAAACAAGCTGTTGAGAAGGATATTTTAGCCTTCAACCGGGACATCTAAAAATTTTATCTTTTGCGATGGAAGGATGGGTTTTTACTCTGCCGTAATCTATTTAACCTGTGTTTAATGTAGTGTCGGCGATCAACCAAACATTTGGGATGTGATTTTTCGTACCTAGGGCCGAAAATGATGTTTTGCCGGCTCGAGATAGTTTTTAAAACGATCGAGAGCTGCAAAACCATTTCGGTCCGTGGTGGTTTTTTCGCTATTTTTCGTGGCGAAAACGTGGTGAAGCGTGTGGTGAAAACGCTATTTTTCACCACACTATACTATATTACCACTATTCGCCAAAATAAATAATGCACACTGATAGTCAACACAACAACAAATTTAAGGTTATGTGAAGACATAATTTGAGGAATTGAGCCAAAATAATGATAAATAGTTGCTAGGCAGCGATGACAAAAACATTCTATTGCAATGTTATGGATACTGATTGTGTTTTATGTGTTTATTATTTAATATGCATTTATGTTTTAAGAAAGTAAGCGGGCAGCTGATTTTGCGGCCCTAGGGATGTAAAAACGGGCTCGGTCCCCAAATGACGATGACAGCTGGCATTGCCAGCAAAACTGAAAGTTACAGCCACCAATTGACGTTTGTCAAACAGCTAAAAACATTATACAGTTTAAAGCATTGTACCGTAACTCCAAACGCCATAAACATGGCTCAAATCAGTTTAGGACGGGGTTGTGCTCGTTGATGACTCTCTGGAGAGGTAGTGCTTTAAAGGAATAGGTATACTATAGGACTGAAGCACGTCAAATGATGAGGGGTATAAGGGTAAGGGAAAACGTATTTTACTAAAAATGAAATTGACATGTGCATTTTCTATTATTCTGTCATGATAAGGATGGATTTCAATTATGTCTTTGCACATAGTGTACTCTATGCAGCTTACAAATAATAATTTATTAAAAATTCGTAAACAAGAATTTCACGAACCAATCATGTATGCCAACACAATAGTCTGCAAATTGTTTACATTATACAGAGTGTCCCGGAACTCTCTACCAATATTTTTGAGCATTGCTCCTGGGTAAGAAAAATACCTAAATATCATATTTAAATTGTCCGGAAGTCCTTAGTTACTCACACAGCCGCCATTTTGTTTTTTTCAGTTATTAATTTTTATCTAAAGAATGGTTTAACATACGAAATGGAAACTTTGCACAAACATTAATGACAACTATACAAAACTAAAAAAAAATTATAAAGATTTTTCAAATTCATAAAACAAAATGGCGTCCATTTAAAATTTTGTTTCTTAATTATCTCAAAAACCGTTGATTCTATAAAAATCTTAAATTTCCGCCATTTTGTTTTGTGAGTTTGAAAAATCGTCATAATTTTTTTGTAGCTTTGTCTAGTTGTCATACATGTTTGTGCAAAGTTTCCATTTCGTATGTTTAACCATTCTTTAGAAAAAAATTAATAACTGGAAAAAACAAAATGGCTGCTGCGTGAGTAACTAAGGACTTCAGGACAATTTAAATGTGATATTTATGTATGTTTCTTACCCAGGAGCAATGCCCTAAAATATTGGTAGAGAGTTCCGGGACACCCTATGTAGCTAAACTAACAGATCTGTTGCCATTTTCATCACCGATTAAGGATGATTCTATCGTTCGATTCGGATTCGGCTAGTATTGAATTGTATGTGAATGAGCTGAACTGACCATCCGAAACTGACCGAGTATAGCTGACTATAAAACGAATAATGGATCAACCGACGAAATTACTCAAGGCATACTACACTAAGGCGAAATGAATATGTATCCAACCAAATAAAATAAAAAATAAAAGGGGAGTCATTTTATAAATTGGACAATACGTTTGAAACTACATTAAGATTTATTTATCAAACCTACTAAAAAACCAAAATAATTTATGTGACCAAGTTTCGTATTTGAGTGTATTAATGTTAACAAAATCCAGTAATAGTTTGTAAATTTTTGGTTGTAAAACTTTAGTAAAAGTTGGGAAAAATAACAATAAGTCAATACTAAACAACGAAACATTATTATACCGGAGAGAAATACACCTTACGGTTGTCTTTCCATTTTAAGGTTGAGGAGATCCACATTCCACATGAATAAATCTATAAGTATTTGGATTTAGTCTGTATTTACTTACCCAGCTGATGTGGCCATGTCTGGCACGGTGGCGGACATAGAACTACCAGTGTCTACCAGTGGACGTGAAGTGAGCTATCGCAACTTACCTACAATACGACGTCTAACAACCTGGGGAACGAACCACATAACTCCCCCCACATTACATTTATTGATAATAGTAATTATGTAAAATATTACAATTAAGATAAAACCTCAAACACAACCAGGCCCATTTCATAATAAACTACAAGTTACAAGTTACAACTAGTAACTTGTAATTTCCTTTAGATTTGCATTGGGCGATCAGCTGATTTAGGCTACTAATAATATTAGTTTGTACTTTATTATGAAATGGGCCCCTGGTGTCCTACAAGTTTCGTACTAGGTCCAATTTTATTTATCATATAATAAATGTTGTGCCATATAAATGAAACTTATCTGAAGTTATATTATTTTCTATTGACACGACCTTATTGATATCCGGCCAATATAGAGAAGAATCCGAAATTAAATATTTTGAAGGAGCAAATGAACTAGAACAATGCTTCGTGGAAAACCATTTGGAAACTAATCTTACTAAAAAAAATTATGACATTTTCAATCGGAGATCAAATAAGAAAAAGATATCAAAAAATATTTTCAAAACATTTTCATATTTTATTGATGATCAATATATATGTAGAAGAAGTAGAAACAATCAAATTCCTAGGACTTATAGGCCAAAATTTAAATTTCAACCCATATATTGAGCATTTATGTAAAAAGAACTTTCCCAAATTATTTATTACCAAGAAGCTCGTCTATGTTCTGTAGGGAAGACGTATTACTGGACTGTATATCATTCGTTAATTATTGTTCACATTAGATATGCAATACCCATATGGGGCTCAACTTCATCCAAAACTAAACAAATATTTCTATTACAAAAGTCAGCATTAAGAATTATTTTAAATTTAAACCACACCGGTTTCTGTAGCACAGCATGCACGAATGTTGATTTTTGGTATGTTTTACTGGGTAGGCCTACTAGTTTCCTTTTTAGTCTATGGTACTGGTACTACTCATGTGCAGAGTTTTAGGGGAATTATTTCCACCTAAAACCACAGAAAATATAATACTATAACCTATAATACTATAGTAGTATGTTTTATGTGCTAAAAAACGCCTAATATATGACTGGATGCCTAATATACATTTTTAATGCTGTAGATGTGTAGAATAAAGTTTAAGCTGCCTCATGATTTACCTTATAAGAATACGGTACAGTGAGTAAACACTGCCCAATATGTACTTGGAAAAAGCTAATTGGATTGTTTAAAGTTGCTTTCATATTAGCGATGAATTGGGGAATGAAAACCACATATTAATATAAATTACTTTGAGATTTCAATCGAGACGGGATTACATGATTTAACGTAAACAAAATTGTCTGTTTACATGTCAGTAATGGGGGACCGAGCCTTGCTGGGAATCACTAAAACAATATTGTAAAACAGGCAATTTATAATTTACTAAAACATTTTTATTACAAATCATAGACATTTTATAACTGAAATAATAACAATTCTGTAATGTAAAAGTATGCAACTAAACAAAAATAAGATACACTTTTATGATCTTGCTAGTTTAAGTGCTTCTCACACAGAATTTTTCTCCCATCAAGTCATTGAAACCCGTTGTTTGACTTTACGCCCACCATTGACAGCAGATAAAAATCTGATAGAAACAAAATCATATTACATAGCCTATAGTTTCAAAATGGCTTGAGACAACAATTTTTTACTACTACTGTATGTGTACTGTGAGGTACTACTACACTACTAAAGAAATTGAGATTCTGTCTGTTGTTTTTTTCATAGGGATTTAGCATACATTAATAGTTTTATGCCAGTTATACCCCCAGATGTAATTAGTTTTGTTGGAATGCCTCCTCAGTACTTCGAGAAACAGTATTTGAACGGAATTATGTTCTCCTACATCGAGTAGGCCTAATCTCCAGGGTAATCTTTGCTTAATAGTTAACCCTGATGTTTTTCCCTTCGTACTGAATTTTTTAATTTGCTAGTGTAATGAGGATGGCTATAAACACATTTGACAAGTCTTTTGTCTACTTTTTCTTTGTCATTTTGTTCAACCAAACTAGTAGGGCAAATGTAATTTTTTTAAATTTTCAAATGAGTTATGTAGCGAAATAAGAATTTTCCTAAGGTAGTGGATGTCGTCAATCATATTTTTAGGCCCATAAGTCCCTAATTCCAAAATGTAATCAAAATCCTTCCGCTGGATTTCGAGATATATATTACAGACAGACAAACAAACATATTGTTCAAAGGTTTATTGCGCACATTTTCCATCACGACCCCTCCAGTTTTTTTTTACTGCTACCCTCTGTAGTGTATTAAAACTTAGGTTGGGCGTTTGTGTATTGTTAGTTGTAATTTGTTAGTTAAGTTTTTTCACCTGAGGACGGGATCAGATTCCAGATCCCGAAACGTTGTGTATTGTTTTTACCATCGTGATGGAAAATGTCCGCAATAAACCTTTGAACAACATTAACTCACCATCGCCATCAATGAACTTCAAACAAAGAAACAAACATAGCTCGTATTAGAGTAGAGGGAGAGTACCAGATACAAGAATTCCTTAAATAATGATATCTTAGACTTAGTTAAAATTGTGTTTTTTATGCAATCTACATACTTTAATTTCCAAATATTTCCAAAGAACGACTGATGACCATTCAAAAAAGCTCGGTCTGGACACGAAACGTATACTATGACAGTTTTGTTTTGAAATGTTCATATTCACTTAAATTAATTTCCTAATCAATAATCATGATATTGTAGAACATGTCAATTGTTTTTGTGAATATTCTCATGTAATTGGTTATAAATTGAAGCCAACATAGCTGGGGCAACCCAAAGTGAGGTAGACCTAGTCCAGCCACCAAAACCTGACGTTCTTTAGCATCATTCACGGAAACGTGTATCTATTTGCGGTCTTGGCTTCGTCAACGAACATCGTTCCCTTTGACAATGGTGTTATCAGTGTGTGTCAAGTGACTAATTTGTACCTCAGTGCTTTCCTTTGTTTTGATAGCACAAATGTCAGATAATTGCACACACATTGCTATCTCAAAGTATCTAAGGTTTACCAACATGAGGAAATATGAGTTAGTTAATTGTAAAGTTTATTTCCCACTAATTTCCTCGCTGCACAACTTTCTTACATTCAATTTAGCTTGCCTTTCTAGGATCGATAACCTGCTAGTAAAGTGTTTCCCTGTAGATTTGTAGCATACAGAAATAGAAAATGTAGTTTTTCTTACCGTTTCCATGGAGACTATTCAAAGTCGTCGGAAGCTCTGCCTAATTGTTTAGAGCTGAGAAATCATTTAAGTCAAATTACCAATACGGCAACATTTCAGTTACACCCTCTCTTTGTAGTAGATATCTTTTTATGAAATGTTACCTTATTATTTATTCAGTTATTTAGGCTATATGTGATAAAGAGACAAATAGACAGAACCATGATCATTTTATAATAGTACTAGTAGAGTTTTACCTCAGCTTTTTTTGACACAGGTATAACTAAAAATAATTGAAAATAAAAATAAGTTGGGTATGACTAAGTTATAAAAAGTTCCTTTAAGCTACCTAATAATAGCATAGTAAATACGTTTTAGTACATGAAATAAGTGATATACCTAATCAGTGGTATCCCAACAGTGTTAATAAACATACTGTTTTATATGGGCTAAAAATGGACTACTACTCGGCTAATATAATCTATTTTTAATAATCTCGTTTCGTAATGCATACTCTGTAACATATTTTGTTTTTTGTTGTGATGCAGACAATAATAATAAGTTAATATTCCACTGCTCCAATTCAGAACTTTGAAAACAGGCAGGGAGAAATGAAGGCTAATGAAAAAGGCATTTTTCATTAGCTCTGGAGGGAGATTACGGGTTGCTTTTACTATGATTGCAGAACCTGATAACATATTATCTATATTCATCAGTATCACCTTTGAAAATTAACCTACCACACAGTTTTATACATGTTATATTTATTTTTTCTTTAAATTTTAACAAATTTTCCATATACTGTAGTGAATAAGCAGTTTCAAACTGTTGTGTGGCAGTGTAAAATAAAAAGAATTTGAAATATACTTTCAACTTCCCCCATGCTTTTGCAGCAACTTGATAATCATGAGGTTGTGATAAAGGTTTCAGACTTTTTGGGTTACTGTAGAAAATCAGTTACACATGCAGTTTCATCACTGATTTATGAAGCATTATGATGATTCTATAATCATTGTATTGTAAACTAATAAACAAAGTCACTTGATTTTTATTTGTTAAATTTTATACTTTATTCATCAAATTCAACATGATGTAACTTAACAGGTATGACTACCAGAAACTAAATCATTGAGATGGATCGGAAAGTCATTTAACTTTTATTATTTGTTGTTTTATTACCATATAATATTAGTATGATATGTTTATATTTTTATCTTAAAACTTTAGGAAATGATAAATCTATAATTTAAAGAAAATACTTTATTTTAAAGATACTACAATCACATAATCCGCTCTCAAGAATCTATTAAACATTATAAGATTCACAAACCTTTTAGCTTATTTGAGTGTTAATAGTAATTTAATCATCAATTGGGTACCAGTTTTGTTAAATAAAAAAAACTCATAATTATAAGTAGGTACTAGTTCAATTAAAAGTAAGAAGGAGGCACTATAATAGGTATTTGTCTACATCATCTCCTGTGCTTAGAAGTATCTTTTCACCTGTGAACGGGGCATCTGAAAAATATAAATAATATTTACTGTATGTTAATGAAAACAAGCTGAGAAAAAAGGTTTTATAGAAACATGCTTGCCTATAAATATATAGATAGATAGTAACTACAGAACAGAGATGTAAAATTATCTCAAATCTAATGAAAGATATTACAAAATTTATATTTAAGTTGAAAATAATTACAGCGGTAAAATTTAAAAATTATATAGTTTTAAAATTGCAAACATCGTTTTCAGAAATGTCTAGTTTGCTGTAGATAGACTTAAGTAAAAGAAAGTATCAAATGCTTATGTTATATTTACTGTAGATTTTTATTTCTACCACTGAATTATTTATCTAGATGATGGGCTGTTAAATGTATTTGTTATTAATGATTTTGTGAGCTCACTCAATTTAGTCACAAAATCGATGTGCTTAAAAAGTTATAGGCCTATTACAAAAAAATTAGGATTGAACAAATCCCCCCCCCCCCCTGAACTGAAATATCTCCAGCATCCCTATTGTTATTTATTACTTAAAAGTATGGTTGTAAAAGTCTTCTTTATGTCATTTTTTTAATAGTTCTCTTAAAATTAAAAGAAGAAAACTCCTACGAGATATACAATTGGTTACCTACTTGGCCATGGTTCTTTTGTGTTATTCAAAAAATTTAACAATTCTCAAAATAGTTAAGGTTGGTCCTAACTAAAGAAATTGCAACGGTTGAAATAAACGCAAATGCTGAATTAACTATAATATAACTTAAGTGATAATAAAAGTGATTATAGAATTTTTACATAAAAACATTGTCGTTTAAAAGAACTTCTTAAGGTAATAGCAACAATTTTGGGCCAAATGAACCCATTCTCTTTCGAGATTATACAAGATATTTGTCTTCAATTACTAAGAAAGAGCCTAAGGTACCAGGGGCGTCATTTGGGGCGGGGGGGCAGGGAGAGCATTTGCCCCCCCTGGATCCTGGGCTAGGGAAAAAAATATGCTGTACTAGCCAATATACAAATATTTTCTCCTGTCAAATCCTAAAAAGCACAGCAGACAAAAATCTGTATATTCTTGTACAGTAATTTGAAACAAAAATTATTATTGTTTTATTGTCTTAGATAGCACATTTTGAGTTTACATAAATTAGTAGTTTTGTTATTCATTTACTTTTTCTGTTTGGTGCTGTACGATAAACCACTTACTTCTAGTTTATAGATATAGCCTACATAAAAATTCAGATTTTTTAGAAGCATTGCTTTGTCATTTACTTTTATGAATTATTCAAGCATTACAATTATACATGTGTATAAATTTTAGGTAATTTATTTTGAACATTGTAGACTACCAATTTAATATAGTTAAATAGAACCTTTTGTACTTTTGTGTCAAATTATTTTATTGGTGATAAAATTTGATTTGCTTTTAAGTTCTTAAATACTTGTATTTTATTTAAAACCCAAGATAAACTGTTATAAACTATAGGCTATGAACAACCGTATTCATTGCTAAATGTTGTACAAGAGAAATTGGTCATGAATCTAATAACAAACATAATATTAATACATCATGGAACTATTGATCACGTTTCTTAGATGACTAGCTTACCAACATAAAATTATTGTGTTTCTGTCTGTTGTCAATAATTGTTAGTTTCATTAACTTTCTGCCTAAATTTAAATAAATTTTACTCATAATTTTTTTTTTATTTGAAGTGCTCTTGACAATTAAAATAAGCTTAAACCCCTCTTTTTTTGTTTCAAAACTGCAAAATTTTCAGGGGGGAACCCCGGACCCCCCTTGTTTGCTGGGAGGTATTCCATACCCCCCATGCCCCCCCGGTGTTTGCCCCCCCCCCCAAGGATTTGGTGAAATGACGGCACTGCAAGGTACCCAATATAATGTAAAGGGTGGGGCAGGGAAGTATCCCTAACTTTGAAAGTACATTAAAAGACAACAAAACATGTTAGAACCAAACTTTATATTGGGATTAAAAGGTTACACCTGGGAGTTTATTTTAATATAACTTTACTTGGCTTTAAACAGCATATACCGTATCCTGCAAGTGGTGTCCCTAATCGTACACTACTGTATTCTGGTTCTGGAGTTTAACTCTGTGAAGCATTTGTTGTGGAATGCGGCCAACTTCAAGGTGAATTGCATCCTTCAAGGCATCTAGGGTCTTCCCTTGAACTTTCAAATGTCTGCATTCGTTGTTGCCAGTCCCGTTGTGTGAGTTCATGAGCAACTACCTTCTTGTATAGATGGAGATGTAGGTCCTCACGGAGAATATGAGGCACAGTACGATTAGACAACGCCAGCACGGATGCATTCTTACAGAACAAAGAGAAGACTGAAAAATCGATCTTATGACAAGGTCAATGTGTTCAGGAGTTTGGACGGTTCTTTGAGCTCCAAATACCCATCAAAATGCACCACCACATACACGGAAGTCCTTCATCCACACCAAAATGTAACAGCTTTGCGGCAGGCCATCCAATAACAAGTTCGCAGTGCACGCCAGCTACACAGCAACAATTAATAGACTGATTTTTGAAAAAAAAAAAACATCTCGAGTGCAAAAGCATATTTCTCACTTGAACAAGCCATGTCTACTACTGACAGGGATATGCTTAGAAAATCCCAAAGCAACAGGGTTATTTGAGACTAACCCCATTCCTCCAGCACACCCCCACTGGCCACTACTCACAGTGCCTGCCCTACCCTGTATAAGTAATATTTCTTTTTTACATCATTACTCAAAATTATTGATTTTGTTATGTAAAGCCATAAACAAATTTGTTTAAGCTAATCTCAAAGATTGATGTTTTTGGATTGGGAGACCCTGTGTCCTGTAAGCTATGGTACTACTGACCCATGTCTAGCCACTCGTCTGGGAGACCTAGGTCCTTCCTCGCAGACCGTAGAGCTTGTCTGATGGCGAACAATACAGCATTGGACATACACAAGGGTGGCTCTCCAGTGGCTTCAACATACAACATGTTGAATTAAACATTTCTGCTTAGAATATTTTTACACTGAATACACATCAGCTTCAAATTAAAATTAGTTTGTCTTGGTAAAATAGTTTGTGTATTCAACAGAATTCAGTAATTTAGATCAGCGTAATCCAGTAATTTAGTGGCTCACATCAACTACGACGATTTTGATTAAAGATTTGGCAACAAATTTAGCTTGGGGTTAGAATGTCTAGTTATATAGTAGCAATATAGCAATATAGTTTATATTATAGTTTATATTATAGTTTATAATATAGTTTATATATAGTAGCAATAGTCAAAGGTAGTATAGACTCTCATAATACAGATATCAAGAATCCAAACTCAGGTAATTCTGACGAATAAAAATAAAATCCATTAAGAATTAGAATACTGTACAATATGTCACTTTTACAAAATACATGTTTCTTCTATCAACGAATAGTAAGATTGTTTGCAAAATAACATATACACAATATAGATTTTTGTCACAAACAACCAAACTCTAGAACACAAAAACAGAATAAATCTATTTATTTTTATGTTGAACGGTCTATTTTACAGGAACAATTAATGGTACCACAGCAATTGTAATAAAACGAATTGCTCATATGGCTGTGTTCTGCTTCGGAAAAATTCTCACACAACATCAACATAAAGTTAATTTTGTCTTACCTTTAGATCGTAGCACTCCAAGGGGGTTGTCACCATTTTTTAATATGTATGTCCTAAAATCAATTGGTATATCCTTTGCCCCTGGGATGTGGTATTTCTGAAAACAAATTTATACTGTATTAGTTGCAGTGTTTATTAATTTGATTTTGGTTCTATTATTTTTATTGGTTGTCCATTTTTGATTATTTTGTAATTAAAATACATAAAATTACTACCTAATTATATTTGAATCAAAGCCATACTAACAATCATTTTCTTCGAGTGTGGTTTTATTGTTGGTGATGGTACTGTAGATTTATTTTTTAAATTAGATTATTGCAGTTAAAATTTGAATTTAACAATCGACTGATGGAAAATGTATGCAATGATTCTTTAAACAAACAACAATAAAAATCACATTCTTCCCCTGTGATGGTGAAGATATCGAAAATTGTGTTCCATGATCGGAAAAACTAATAGTATCCCTACTAGGGTGGAGACAAAATCATTGTCACCCACGATCACAGAGAAATCGTGAACATCTCCTGTGATCAAGGGGACATCATCATCGTCGCCCGCGATCGCAGAGATATTGTGAACATCTCTTTTTATGAAGGGGACATCATATTGTTTTCATCCGCTTTTGCAGAGATATCACGAACATCTCCTGTGTTTAAGGGGACATCATCATTGTCACCCACGATCACTGAGAAATCGTGAAAATCTCCTGTGATCAAGGAGATATCATCGTCACACACAATCACAGAGAAGAAATCGTGAACATTTCCTGTGTTTAAGGGGACATCATCATTGTCACCCACGATCACTGAGAAATCGTGAAAATCTCCTGTGATCAAGGAGATATCATCGTCACACACAATCACAGAGAAGAAATCGTGAGCATTTCCTGTGTTTAAGGGGACATCATCATTGTCACCCATAATAAAAACAGAGAAATTTTGAACATCTCCCACAATCAAGGGGACATCATCATTGTTATTGGTGAACGTGGAGAAATCATAAACTTCTGCCGCAATAGCTTGGAGTGCTTCATTTTCAGCCGCAATCACAGAAAATTGTTTATTTGAAAAAACTTTAAATGTTGTTTAAACATTTTTTTGCAATTCCACTGTGACTTTTGCTTGCAGCCCTAGGCCGTGGCCTAGTTGACCTAGTGGTAAATCCGGAACTGGACATCACCATTGTCTTTCGCAAACGCGGCTAAATCATATACACTCTCACAATGGTCATCATCCTATTCTGCGATCAAGGTTAATTTATATACACTTAGTGATGGCTAGGACATTAACTCTGAATTCCGCAATTGTGGCTATACCAATAATATCCCCGATGTCTACAAGGTACTAACCAGTGTCCTGTTGGTGAGGTTGCGGCCAGTGTGAGGGTCGTAGATGATCTCCTCTGAGGTCCAGTAGCCCAGCCCCATCACGAATGACCCCTCTATTTGACCAATGTCCACAAACGGGTTGAAACTCTTACCAGCATCTTCCAAGATATCCACTCGAATTATCTGTAGAAAATAAATTCTGATTTATGTTGTTAAAATAATACTTTCAATTAAATAAGTAATACTTTTATTGATTTAGTCATACTTTTTATATTTTCTTTATAGTAAATTACAATGAGGAACTGCATAACAGAATTTAACCTAGATTTTCAATTGAATCCTTTAACACCTTATTAAAGAACACATTGACTACATTTGTTTACTATTTTACTTTTAGCGAATTTCCCATATAGGGAATAAGCTATTACCATAGTACTCATGGTAAGACCTGGATCCACCTGGTAAGACCAATTTAATTTTTCGTTTTGAGGTCCCTAGAGGCCTAAAACACCATCCGTTCAAATTCATATATATATTTTTTTTATTTATATATATATGTGTCCGTTAGCGCGATAACTTGAGCAAAAATTATCCGATTATAATCGGACCATGGGAACGGGGGTTTATGGGGGGTTTTATGGGGTAAAAATGGGGTTTTCCCATTTTTGACCCTGAAAACAAAAAGTTTGCAATTTCTTTTCAAACCGTTTTGTAGAGCTTAAAAAATAAATCACCTAGTATATTGAAGCGCTGTTGTATATGCCTAACGGTCACGGAGAAAATTCAAAAATAGTGTAATTTAAAATTCCCATGTTATTCTTATGGAGAAAATGAAAACTGTTGTAGTCTACTCGTTTATACAGGGTGATTGATATAAGTGTGCCAGCCGTTTTATTCGAAAACCATAAGAGATATCAAAAAAAGTTAAATGGTAAGTGCCTTGTATTTTTTATTTAAAAAATTGTAGTCAAGTCAAAAAAATTATTTTACCCGCCATTTTTCCAATATGGCCGCCAACTTGAATTTTTCTTACGGAACACCCTGTATTTTATGATGTATTCTGGTAGAAAATGTAATTTTAAGACGATTTTATTCTTGTGATTTTTTTCATAAACCTAACCGTTTCAAAGATAATAATGGTTAAAGTTTTGAAATTTCTGCATGAGAAAGAGTTTCGATAAAGGCCAAAGCAAGCATGCCAGCTTCAAAATTTCACAACTTAAATCATTATTATCTTTGAAACGGTTAAGTTTATGAAAAAAATTACAAGAATAAAATCGTCTTAAAATTACATTTTCTACCAGAATACATCATAAAATACAGGGTGTTCTATAAGAAAAATCTAAATTGGCGGCCATATTGGAAAAATGGCGGCTAAAATAATTTTTCCGACTTTACTACAATTTTTTAAATAAAAAGTCCAAGGCACTTACCATTTAACTTTTTTTGATATCTCTTATGGGTTTCGAATAAAACGGCTGGCACACTTATATCAATCACCCTGTATATTGACTAGCTGTAACCCGCGGGCTTTGCCCCGTTTAACTTCTTAATTTTCAAGATGATCTCGTTCGCATGGCTCAATCACGTCCTGGTTGAAGTTCGTTCGCTACGCTCACTCACCTTTATGTTGGAGCTCGTTCGCTACGCTCACTCACCTTTAGGTTGGAGCTCGTTCGCTGCGCTCACTTGCCTTCAGGTTAGCTCGTTCGCTACGCTCACTTGCCTTCAGGTTAGCTCGTTCGCTACGCTCACTCACCTTTTGGTTGCAAATTAGCTGTTGTCATAAATGTAAAAGAAATAATAGTGCTGCACCCTGTTGGTAATCCTTGTAACTTTAATGCTATTGAACATCATAGAACAGAACCAACTTGTTTAACTGAAACAGCTGTTAAGATTCATTAATTCCATTTCTCATAAGGTTAACATGGGAAACTCCAGAGCCACTGGGGCGGAGCCTATTGGACGGATCACGAAATTGATGGTGTATAAACCTATTCCATGAAATTCTAAGTACCAAGTTTCGTGGCAATCGGTTCAGCGGTGTCTGAGTTTATCACTGCCAAACAAACAAATATATTTATATATACGGTATACAAACATCCTCTTTTATACTTATAGATAACATTTGGCAAGTTTATTTATTTCATCCTATCCTATTGACGTATGGTCAAAAAAAACTTGTATACCTTTCCCGTAGTAGCAAACCTAAGCACTTGTTAAATCTAATGTTATTTACATTGGGAATAAATATGTCTTATTTATGGAAATATTTTAGTAAAAATGTAATCAGACAAGTTAAAATTCGCTTAGTCTGCAGGTTTTCTGCGGCGGGGGTATTTTCTATTTTTATTTGCTTTGGTGTGTTTTGTAGAAACCAAGCCAGTATTAGTAGTATTGTGGTTTAAATTCATGTTTAATTAGGTCTATATAAGAGTTTTGTATAAAAAAAGGACCACTTTTAGAAACCAGGATATTTTTGACCAGATTTATGAGCTTAAATTAACATCATTTACCTTATGTTCTCCAGTTAATATATCAACTTCTACTTCCAACACAGTTACTCCAAAAATTTCATATTTTTTAAAGTCCTTGGTAGGCAGTGGGGAGAACCTGTAAACAATCATGTCTTCAATACAGTATCTCTAATTTAATAATTCAACCGTTGAAGGCGTGAATCTTTTGTATTTTTTTTACTAGTCTCTAAAAATCTCTAATTCCTGTATCTACCATCAATATACAAATCTGCTACTCACATATAAGTGGCATTGAGATTGATCTGTGCTAGGTACGCTGCCTGGACCAGAGCCTGCCATGTTGGTGACACCAGTGTGGCCCTGATGGGAGCAAGTCTCTTGTTTATCTCTTCACAGGATCTCTGAACAGCCTGCACATAACCTATCATTATAAACTACTCTTCTCTGGACTGCTACTGATAAACTGTTATTGTAATGAATAATTATTCATTGTTAAAAGATAAAAAAGGAAATGATTATGTTCTTTACACTATGTTGTAGAACAAGTTATCTGCCATGCCATGAATATTAGTATGTATACACACGTATATGGTAGCTAATATAATACGAGGGTTTGTTAATTCGAAACCCAGAATAAAGATAGGTATCTCATTATTCTGTGTTAGTGAGTACCAATAGATATTTAGGTTATTTGATGAACTGTTATCTAAAAAAAGAGAAAACTATAGTTTGGCAATTTTTTCTGAGTATTTGCTAAAAATGATAATCATCTATCTAGATTACCCAGAAAAATGTATTCCCTGTGCATAGTTATAGGGTTGCTATATAATTGAGATACAAGGGCTCAAAGCAGTTTACTTACAAGGACAACCGACTCACTGGTGAAGCTGCCAGCAGTGGGGCCATTGTTGGGGGCAATGTTGGTATTGGTTGTCTTCACTTTTATCATATCCAGAGGAATGTTAAAAGTAGCAGCACAGATTTGAGCAGCCTGAAAACCAATGTGAAGTTCTTTTTAAAAACAGTGTTAGAGCTGTAGTAATTTTATTAAAATAAAAATAATGTAATTTGAATTTGAGATTTAACATTGATAGTTTTCTCTAGTAAATCTCAGGAGCTGAATTAGTGAACTCGACTGTGAGTTTGGAGGTGTGGTTTTAGTAATTACATTATTATTACATGATTGATTGATTATGACATGTACCACATAAAACCGACAAAGTCCAAGAACCCTAATGATTGTTTTAGCTCCTCAAAAAACATTTTGCCATTTTATAATAACTGTGGACAATTGAAGCAAGATGTCAATGCATTAGTTTGGTAATAGAAACAGAAAAGTATTCTTTATTCCAGCAAGATGTAATTCATTGATTAAATATGGAAAAGACTAATTTTAGGTTGTGCTAATTGGTGTTTTGCCTAGTAACTTGGATAAACTTCACATTTGTTTGTCCTTGCAGCTCAGATGAACTGTGGTACTGACCAATATGGAAACATTTGAAAGCTTGAAATACTAGCAGTAGAGGCAAAAAAACATTGAAAGATTTTAGCCAAAATTTTTCTTTTATTGTTTTTATGTATGCTTAATGGAGATACCAATCTAGCACTAATGTAATTCTGAGCTGGTAAAGAAGCCATGATGATGCAGCAATGATAGCTAATTGCTTAAACAATTCCACACTGTTTATATCAACAAAGTGTCCAGTGTGAGTGTGACTGACCAACTAAGTACAAAACAATTATTGGTAGATAAATACCTTAGTGTTGATTCCCTGTCCTATCTCAACCCCTCCATGAGTGATAGATACTGTACCGTCGTTCCGGTACACAGAGACCATTGCATGATAAGTGCCTTTAGTGTCCATAGGGAACCGCATTGGAACAAGAGTAATTCCTCGCTTCTTCCATACGTTTTCCTATATCAACAGTTACTTTAACATGATAAACAGTACATTATAGTCCTCGCCACCCTAAATTAAAGGCAGCCAAAGGCCGCACTAGATATACACCGTGCGGCCTTGGGCTGCCTCAACTTAGGGTGGCGAGGACTATAGTAAAGAAGTATAATAGTTCAAAACTGCAGAGTTTTGCTTGTAAATGTTTAGAAATATGCCAGGTTAGAAATACACCATAGAAATGTAAGTCAAAATACCAGTTCTATAGGAAAGATACCTCTAAGTTCTTGACTTACTAGCTTCAGTTCCAAGCAAATTTTCACGGCGAATTTGAAATACCTTGAACTTTAAGTAGCTCATAGGGAGAACCATCAAAGAAAGAAAATAGCCAAAAGAAGGCTTACTAGCAGACCTCTTTGGACCAACCAATTTTACCCAGTTTCCTATTGATTTCCGATCTGGAACAGTGCCATGTCGAGAAGCATGAAATGTGGTCCAACAATCTCTGAGTGCTTGAAAAAGAATCCCTACTCTTAAAAACAGGTTTAAAACAGCAAAAGCACGGTGTTAAAGACCCCATATCCCCATGTTTACAAACATTTTATATAGTTTAACCAATGAATTAAAACCCTTTAAGAAGCGCAATGCCTTTGTTAAACATTCAGTCTGGAAATATTTGAATTTTGGATATTTCCAGCGGCGGCCGCAAAGTAGACCATCAGGAGTGTGCGGCCAAGTCAGCTGACTGATTGAGAGAGAGTGAGACAAAGAATTGGCTTAGAGAGAGAGATAGAGTAGAGCGGCCACCACGCAGGTGATCCTAGCGGCAGCCGTACGAAGCTCATTTCGGTGGTGAAATTCCAGTCGGACTATTTTCCATAAGCATTTTGCTTGTTAAAGGGTTTGTATTCATTGGTTTAACTGAGTCATTGTTTCATTACTTACCATGTGAAATAAAATTGGGGTGCTTTTATTGCCTCATCCTGTATATCAATAACAGGAGTAAATGTGGCAATACCTGGCTTAAATATTTTGTGGACTTACTATAACCTATAAAATAAAAATAAAATAATTTCCTTATATTAAACTTAAAAAATAAACAATTTACCTCATTGAACTTTTCAACACTCGCTTTTCTTGAGTCATAATCAGACTTTTCTTTGATTTGCTTGATCATTTTGTCTAATGGATATTTCTTGTCTATATTTTTCATTCGGACTGACAGTGGGTCTTTCCCAATTTCATGTGCAATATGTTCTATTATATGCTCTGCCATTGTGATTGACTCCAAAGTACCTAGAAAAAAGTTATAACTATTCAAATCCCTTCTGTAAATCTAGTTATATATGTTTACTTATCAGATAATTTTTTTCTTTCTAAAACAAAATAGTAAACGTTTTAGACAATGAAAAAATAAGGGAGGGATAACTCTTTAAATTTATTTCAAAGTTATCTTCACTTATAAGAGTATACATTGGTAATGTTAGAAACTAAAATAAAAGACTGTGAACTATTATTCTAGGTAATACATTTTCAAACTAATATTGTATTTTGTTAAATTATATGAAATTTTGTAATTTTCCAAAACAAAGTTTTCTGTAATAAATTAAAATAGAACAAAGTTATTTTTTTATAGTTTTATTATAAAACTCTACTTACCAGGACTTCTGCACCACAGGTTGCAAGGTTTATCAGTAAACACATCAAACATTTTCGTCCCCCAAACAGTTGATTCATATCCACTGGCAAATGATGGAAAGGTGAAGAGCAATGTTAGTGGATCATTCAGAGCATATCCATTGTCTTCATACAGATTTGAGTGTAAATACTGAATTTCACCCTCATTGTCGACAGCAACCTGTTAAACAAATCTGTGTTATAATATTTGTATGTTAAAACTTTTTCTGTGGAGGTATATTAAAAAAATAATTTTTAAAGTGAATAGGCTATGCCTGATTCTATTGTGTAAAAGAGAAAGAAGTTATAACAACTGATCCACTGATCGCTGGGGTAGACAAAATTTTGTTTCTATTATTTTAGCATTATTTTCATGATTTCTGCCTTACTGTTTGGTGATATAACTAGAAAACCAGTTATTGTTTATGATTATATAGTATATACCTAATTTTATTTGGTTAAGTGAGGTTTCAAATGGCTGAAATAACGATAAACAAATTTTAAACAAAACACAACCTCTACAGTTGGACGTACAGAACTAACAATAAAATTGGCTTCAGCTGTTCTATAACTATGACAAATCTACTAAGGGAGTATGTTTTATCTATGGTGCTATCTTAAAACTATACATGATAAATAATTTAAAACCAGCTGAGTACAAGAAGAGTTTAAGGTTGGGCATTTGCTAAGACACATGCGGCGCAATGAGCGCAACACAACACACGGCAGAAAACTGTGCCTCAATGTTTCCTTATGGCATCGCATAAGCTGAGACGCACGCTTGTATGTGTCTGGAACACTCCTGGCCCGGCATGTCACAGTTTGAAGTACAGACACAGATTTTCCTACACAAGCCACTCAACTGGTATGCAAGATGACAACAAACGATCGTCTAATTGAGTATGTGTACGCGGATTATCTGTACAAAGCACAGATAATCCGCGTACACATACTGGTTTTAACCACAAAGATATGAAATGACACATTCAAGCTATCGGAACTCATTTTTGGCATTTCAAAATTGTTCTTAAAACCATTTTTTTTGGGTCTCAAAAACCCAAAAAGTTTGGTATACCAAACTGGTATAGCTTCATGGTAAGCTTAATAATTAGGGAGAAAATTAATATAAATTGAACATTTAAAACTCTTCTTACGAATAAAAACCCTTTAGTTGGCTTGTATGTTGATATATTTTTTATAAATTTGGCATGATTATTTGTTCCAGAATTGCTATTTAAACTTTACAAAAAAAATATGTTAAGCTTAATGCCATTTAAATCAGGAAAATTCAATTCCCATGACAGACTCAGAGGAGATGCTACCATCGAAGATCTCGGCGACTGCGTAGTGCGTGTATTGCGTCTGCTGCGCCCCGACATGCGCTAGTGAAACATTCATGTGTTGCGTTGCTTGCAACACAAAACTTGGCTTGCGTGCGTTTTGGGTGTGCGTCTCAGCATATGCCAGGTCTTACAGCCTTGTTTTCTCAACCACATGAGGAACCTTGCTCAAAGCTGCTGACCAAACAGCCACTAGGACAGAGCTGATGAGCTCTTATTCTAACTTATTGCTTGGGAATCACATCACAAATGAAAAGAAAATCTTTCAAGGGAGTTTTACTTCGTACATTTAAAAGAAAGCTTTGTAAACAAAATTGTTCTCTATATAAAATTATGTTGATTAATCTAATCAAACTAATGAGATGGTTTATTAGTTGATTAATTAATTTTGACCTCACTTCTAAATCACTAATCATAAAAAAGTACAAAATAGCTTAGTAAGGGTGGGCAATTTAAGTTAAATTAATGTTAAGAAATAATGCAGTCTCACCTCATAATCAAAGTAGCAGGGATACCGCTTGCCAATGGCCTCCATGACAGTCTCTAGTTTTGTCACCATGCGGACAGGTCTGTTTAGTAGATGAGCCGCTAGACTGACTACGCAACCCACGACGTTACCTCTCGTCAGTTTACCTCCGTATCCCCCTCCAACTCGCCGCAGCTTCATATCTATGCTGAGTACAAAGTTAAATCCTCTACTTAACATGCAGATTCACTTCACCTATTACTGGGCTTTACCATAGACTAAGCAACATAAGATGTTTTTAATATAACTAATGGAGTATGTTTTATTTAAGGTTTTACTTTAAGACAGCACTATCGCTAAATATTATGTGTACACATATGCAAAGTATTATTGGTCGGGAAGCTTACGTGTTCTCAGGTATGTTGAGTACTTGTCCAATTGCTTCTTGTGCAAGCATCATCCACTGAGAGGTGCAGTACACCTCTAGTCCGTCCTCCACAGGCACTGCCAGGCAAGTCAGTGTCTCCATGGTGAAGTGGTACTGTGACTCCATTTTCCACTCGCCTTTCACTATTTTTTTCACATTAACTAAAAAAAGGGAACATTTGTTTCAAACTAAATTTATACATCTCGATCTTTTTATCAAAATGGTGTAAAATATATCTCAACTGAGCACAGCACTACAAAGGAGTGAGCTAAAAATTGTTATGTTTTGCTGGTTTTGCACAAACCTGAGAAATGCTGATGAGGATTAAATTTAATGCACTATGCAGATTAAGTTTCCATAATTTAGTCATACACAAACTTGTAATTAGTATATGTAGAGACCATCCTCGACTTTCTTTCTCGACAATTCTTTATTCTGGAGCTGTAGTCTTTACGTCTATTAATCCACCAATTATTTAGAAATCTCATTTTTGTGTAGTCTCAAATCACTTAAACAAATAAAACAAGTTAATTTATGGTACCTCAATTTCCTCTAGTGATCCCTAATATCTCCTCTAAGGGTGGGTAACGATCGTTTTGCCGACATTCGAATCCTTGTCAATAATATCAATATTCACTCATAACATTAAACACCCTTACACAAACATGTTATGACTTGTATATATTGTTGTATGCATTTTTATTAAAACGTTTTTATTAGCTCGCTTTCTTGTCCGGTACAAATTTTGGAATCAATTTTATACTAACTTCCCGACGAGCTAGAGACTTGAAACTTGAAACATAGCTCACAAATGGAAGACAATGCAATATTATATCATTTAATTTTCATATTTCCCTTGGGCTACGCCCCATGGGCTTGTTTTTATTAAATCGCTTTCTTGAAAATTTTGATACTTCCCGATAAGCTAGAGACTTGAAATTTGAAACATAGCTCATAAATGGATGACAATGTAATATTATTTCATTTAATTTTCATATTTCCCTTGGACTACGCCCCATGGGCTTGTTTTTATTAGCTTGCTTTCCTACAAATTTTGATATCAATTTTAAACGAAGTTCCCGATGAGCTAGATAGTGACTTGAAACTTGAAACATAGCTCAAAAATGGATGACAATGCAATATTATATCATTTAATTTTCATATTTCCCTTTGGGCTACGCCCCTTTGGCTTCCAAATTTTCCATGTTTACATTTTAAAAGAATGTAAACATATAAATTAATTTAAGTCAGCTGTAAATACTTAAATTTGACAGTTAGAAGAGCAGAGGTTAAGAGGTACAGGTTCTGCTCCCGAGATATTCTAAAATTATAAAACAATCATTTCAAAGTAAAGATAAAACATCTGATTACAGATAATAAGGTTTTGGGTTTTGGTTAAGTATTAAGAGGCCATATAAAATAGATTTAACATATTTACACATTAAATACTAAAAATTAGAAAATAATTTATAAATAAAAATACTTTTTAAAAATGCCACGTTTTTAAACGCACTAAAAAGTATTAAATAATTTATAAAATGTTGAGAAAATAAATACTTGCAAGATTTAAAACGAAAAACGTGGGGAGCATGCAATAGATCATAATAATTCAATAGGTGAAGTTAATTGTAAATCAGCATGCGCCCCACGTTTTTCGTTTTAAATCTTGCAAGTATTTATTCTCTCAACATTTTATAAATTATTTAATACTTTTTAGAGTGTTTAAAAACTTAGCATTTTTAAAAAGTATTTTTATTTATAAATTTTATTGTTTGGTTGACCTTAAGTGAAGAGTGATATTCTTGACAATGACAAGGATCCGAAGACGGTGACATATTTGCCGAACCAATAATCATGCACCCTTATGGGGGATATTAGGAATCTCTAGACAAAATTCAAAATTAAGGTGAATTATTCTTTTATTTAACTTACTAGAAACTCTGCTTGCAGCTCCTTGAAAACTCAAGTTAATAGTAAATAAAGTACGACTATACAAATTTACTGTAAAATCTTTGGTTATAATTTTAAAGAAAATGGATACCGGTACCTAGCATCAAAATGTATCAAATTTAATTACGTTTTGGAATTGCAGGCTTAGTAATTACAAAGAGTATCCGTGCTAAGTCTTTGTCTTTGACAACTTTACGGATGTCGAGCACAGGCTTCTTCTTGTCAGTTATTGTGATGGAGACAAGTTCTGCAGCTTTGTCAGCCAACTCCTGAGTTTGAGCAACTATCAGGCCTACAACCTGACCAGCAAACTGGACAATCTTGTCTGCAAACAACTGAAACAAATGTCATGTGGTATTGTAACTGTTAGGGTATCTCCATTCTCCATTCATACTTGGCTTCACCTTTTATAAAACATTTATATTATCAAAATAAAGTATCTAATAATTTATTAATTATAACAAACAAGCTTGCGAGCCATCATGAAGTTGACGTTATCATGATAACACAATCACTACCAACCCACACACACACGTACATATTATAGGGAATTCCTTAAAAATACTATAAAAACCAAGTGTTATGAGTGTAAATTATCTGACAAGTGAAAAAATGTGTTGAGTTGGGTTTTCAACTACCACTTAATCTCTATTCTACACTCATAAGTATGTTAAGAAATCATTCATTACATTAAAATAATTAAAACCATGTATTTTTCTGATAATGGTGAAAATAACCAGTTGATGCTGACTGAATTCAAGGAGTTAAAAGTTTTTAAACATTGTAACTACTTCTCTTAGTTATAAAGTGCAAGCAACCCAATACTTGAAACAGTGTAAAATGTTAGACTGTTCAGGCTGGGTGGTCACCTTCAATCAGTAATTATTATTTTTAGTACAAACATCTTTTTGTCAGTTAGCACCAGATATTTAGTTCAAGTACAAATTATATGTGTCAGAAAATAACTGATTTTGCTTTTAAACCCTGTCCTCATTTACCACTTCCTTAGATGGAGTGAATGGGTTGGGTGGAATGAAGTTGTTTTCTCCAGGAATGTCTTTTGCCGAGTAGAATGCAAGTACTCCAGGCATTTTCTGAAAAAAGACAACACATTTTTCTATAAGACATTGACACTTATGTATGCACTAGTGAGGTTCATGTACACAGTACTTGATTTAATGTGTGAAAACCATGAAAACTGTTAAACAAAAATTAATAATGTGACACATAAGAAGGTAGATATGTCAATGCTTAATATTTCCTACATGTTCTGAATGATGTTCAATATTCAATGTTAATGGATGTTTTGGGGTTTTGATACAACCCAAAAGTAAACACTATTATTTATCAAACCAAAAATTTATTAAAATCATCAAAATTGCAAAGATGTTCTTTTGTGCTAAAAATTATTTTAAAATACAAAAACTTCATTTATTGTAATTTTTGTTGATTCCTATTTGATTTAAAACCTTAGGTTTTTCATTATCTTTGAAATCAAATCTACAGGTGTATTTAAAGTGAATTAATATTTGGAAGTCAATCTTTATTGATAAGAGATTTTTAAAAGGACATTTTCAGTTATTAGCTTATCCAGGTAGTCCAGGAGCTTTTAGATACACTCTGAAAGGTCACAACACTGATTTCAAGCTTATTAAAGGACTACAGAAGGATGGTGGGTTACAAATCTCTAATAAACTCTCTGTTTTATTTTATGTGATTTTTTAGTGTGAATAAGGCGGATATAAAGAGAATTAGAGCAGTGGAGGAATATGCAGAGGACTGGATAACGTGGGGAAGATTTGTAAACGTAGCTAAATATCACATCTGACATAAATGTCCTGAGAGTAAAAGTAAGTAAGTTGAGTGTGTTTCTTAAAGTTAAATGTCAAAATTTTAATTTTTTTCCTTAAACGTTTGTACGTAGGTTGAACTCAATTTTTTTTCACAAAAAGAACCATATTCAGCCATTTCTAATTACAACCAGAAATTGATGAAAACATAGTTTTATTCTGTTATCAATCTCTCACCCCAAACAGAAATTTGAGGCTTTTTACTTCCTCCCTGTGGCTTTTCCCAAAATATATGTTAATGCCATAACTTTAAAAACTTAAGATATGTAATTCTCTCACCAAAGCTTTTGCTGGATCTATGCTTTCCAAAGTGCCAGGACCTTCTTTTGTGATGACCATAGCACAATACAGATCTTCTCCCGTGTGTGGAATGTCATAGACAAATTCTGCTTCACCTAAATAAAATTACAAGAATGAGCAAAAACAAAAAATAAAGCACAAACAATAAAAAAAACCATCATATGTTGGAAATGATCATTGAAAGGTACCTTTACCCCATTCTACAGCTATTGCATTCATACTCAGTATAAAACACGAACCCAAAGTTTGGGTCTCTGTCTCAATGAAATTATTGATTTAAGACATATGATCAACATATGACTCAACAAAATGTGAGCTGCAGCCTGAAGTTCTGATGGGCTGCAGCCTGATATACTATGATGATCAGGATAAAGCCTGATATACTTGTGTGTGCAGATTAGGACTGTTCAATGGTTGAGATGTCTAAGGCTTGGTCTGTTCTGCCAGGAGAAAGCATCATAGACCGAGGGTTCAAATATTGTTATCATGTCTTTGTGCAATCATTGGCTTTAACGCCTTACCTTCAAGTGGTAGAGCTTGGTGGAAGAAGGACATTTGAAGGTTGGAATGTAAATTGATAGGATAGGTACTCATCTCCTAGTTGCACCTGTGATTAGGCATCAAGCAAATTTTTTACTCGCTCTTATTGTGTGTTTGAGACGTTGTTTAGTGTTCTTAAGCTCACTTTTATTTTCAATACTAGTATAAAAATCTGTTATGAAACAAATATATTTCTAGCAAAAATAACAATAAAAGAACATGTACCGGTAGGCTACATTCAAATGAATACCTGAGCATTGAATGAGTGACTCCAGTTTAGGGAATGGTTGGTACAGAGGTGGCATGATGGTGTCACTGTCAAACTCTTGTTTGCCTGACGAGAGTGGACGTGTGATGTCCTCCCCTCCACTTCGGTACTTGGGGGACACCATGCCTGGGTTCAGACTGAGGATTGCCTAGACAAGTTTATTTAAACTGTATAATACTGTAGATTTAATGTTTAAATAACAACTAAAATGTTTTAGTTGGTTTTATGTAAGTGTTTTATTTTTTTCGGTGATGTATAGGCTACATACCTAATGTTTTAAGTTGTGAAATTTAAGCCATAAAAACCAGCTTAGAGTGTCTTGATCTGGTCTAAACAATATCTGTGATATTTGTGGTACAGCTAGGGTTGTATACAGGGGTTACAGAGATTTATTGTGAGCACCTTAGCCTTTGGTGATCCTCTTTCAGCTTTTGATGTTATTTTATAGTGCCCCAACAATTGCCATAAAATTTCTCTATTAGGAAATATGTCTTTGGCTGTATCCCCAGTGTTAGAGGTTTCTTGCTCTTGGACCTATTTTTTCCTTTCCAAGCAATAATTCATCAAATACCCATAGGTGGATAAAAAACTGAAATTATACAGTAAATTATTAACGTATTAATAATTTTTGCTAGTTGTAAATTAAAGTCTGTACAACTCATATTTCACCTGTTGTGAAACAGAGTTACCTGTGGGTTCAGGTCAAATCAAAGATGCACCATGGCACACAAGCATAAGCCCTGCTCAGGTAAATGGAAGTATATGAACATATATTTGTTGTGAAAAAGTATAAAGAGCAGATAACATTGAGAGTGAGAGGTATAAATAATAGTATATTTCATCACTAGGGCGTAAAGTGACTCTTTTTCAATCCAAGCTCAAGTTTAGCAACCAAGGCGAAGCCGAGGTCAAAAAATTAGCGTGGGTTGAAAGGACACTTTATACCCGTGTGATGAGCCGTATTTTTTGTCATATTGCAACATTGTTTAGCAAACTAATTTAGATAACAAAAAAGATTTTTTTTGTGTAAAAATAACCTCTAAAAACAACTTCCAAATTTTCTTAATTTAGCTTACGCAAACAAGCAGCTGTTTATGTTTAAAGTGATTCAATATAATTTTTTGTCATACTGCATCAAAAACAGCCGTTTTAAATGCATGTGTTGCGGGTCTAAATAAGCATTTTTACTCTCTAGGGAGTAAAAATCAGCTGTTATAAACCGTTTCGATTGTGGCTATCGTATCGATCAAAATTATTTATTTATGAATTGATTAATTAGGTAAGGTTTTAGCCTATTGTTGTCAATGGTATAATGTACTGTAACACAATAAAAAATAGACGAAATTATTTAATCACTTATTAAACAGCTGCTTATTTGCATTAGCAGAATTGAAAACAAGCTGGAAATCGTTTTGAGAGGTTACATATAAACATTATTTCGTTTTCTAGCTTAATTTGTTAATTAATGATGCAATATGACAAAATAGTTTATTTCATCACTAGGGTCTGAGGTGACTCTTTTTGACCCGTGGTCAAGTTTTACGATCGAGGCGAAGCGGTGGTCGGAAAATGAGCGGGGCCGTATTCTCACAAAAACAGCCGTTTTAATGCATGCGTTGCAGGTCTAAAGTAGCATTTTTACTCTTTTAGGGAATAAAAATCGTTTTTAGCCCCTAGGGAGTAAAAACCAGCTTTTGCCAACTCGTTATAAATTTCTATTGGAAATAATTGCATGTATCGTAAGTATCAATTGTTTAATCGATTGTAGTTAATTGTTGCCTTATTGTAAAGAGTTTGACATGTCTATAGTATAATGTACACTGACACAATTAAATCAATGGATATAAAATTTTGATACATGGGATTGTTTAGAATTGAAATTCTAGTGACTCGCTAGGGACTAAAAACGCTGTTTACTTCCTAGAGAGTGAAAGAGCTACTTAAGACCCGCAACGCATATATTATAAAGGCTGTTTTTGCTTAAGTAAGACAAAAATATCATGTAGCAGTAAAATGTTATGATAAACCCATACCCTGTAGAGCAGAGACTGTGTTAGTTTGCGTCTAAACTCAGGCTTCGTGTCTGGCAGTACATAGTCAGGCTTCACCTCACTGGCCAGAGTCTTGAGAGCTCCTTGGAGTGTGGCGACATCCAACAGCTGCTTGTTGGAGACGAAGCGTTCTGTTTGATATGCGTGAATCTAACAACAGTGTTGAATTGTTAAATAACTGCAAGTACTCCAGTTACAAGCCGTATTAGTTTGATTTTCCAGTACAAGTAAATACATTGCTTCTTTAGGATATACAATATTCACTAAAGAACTAATGTAATTAATATTCTCTGATTTTAAATTGTGAATGAAGGTTGTCCATATAAAACGGTTTCAGAATATGTTGCTGGCAGAATATGTGCCGGGGATAGCTGTTTTTACATGAGGACCTTTACAGGGCATGTAGCTATCTAATGGTTCCCATTCAACACTGGTCCAAACAAATCCCAAGATACACATTTTTGGCAAAATCTCATTAAGAATTTGTCTAAGTGGCAAGTAGCTTAACCACTTTCCTCGTCATATAGCTGATGAATCATGTTTTCTGTGATCTCACGGCAAGCGAGCGGAGCGAACGAGCTCCAATCTAAAGGTGAGTGAGCGTAGCGAACAAACTTCAACCAGGACGTGATTGAGCCATGCGAACGAGCTATGAATGAAGCTGGAAATCCAAAATACGTATCTCATTCCCATGGAAGAAATTGTTACTGTACTGTTTGTACCAGAGTTCAACAGTTTCTTGTCAAATGAATGTTTTTTAAGAAGGATTTGTTATAAAGTCACAATCAAATCCAAGATAATTTTTGATCATATTTTTTAGTTACCTTATTTTTTAAAGTATTATTTACATTAAAGCCCCATAAAGCTCTATTTCATCAACAAACAATTTTTTAAAGTTTTGACATCATAAGACGTGGAATTGCCCCTGAACTGGTTTATAACTAATATAATGGTTTAAATACCTTCAGTCTCCAGTTCAAAGTAAGTCGATTGCAACCTAGGTTTCAGCACGACGTTGTGCTATCATCAGGCTTCCAGTCGAGAATGTTCAGTCCATTGGACGTCGTTTAGTAAAAACTATATACAGTTCACAAGACACAAACACATACACATTTACCGATCGGTATTTACAAGGGGAGAACGAGTACATTTTTGTCAAATCACCGGCCGCGACGAGTGACATCCAAGCCACAACCATATATTGAGTTGTGGCTTGGATGTCACTCGTCGCGGCCGGTGATTTGACAAAAATGTACTCGTTCTCCCCTTGTAAATACCGATCGGTAAATGTGTATGTGTTTGTGTCTTGTGAACTGTATATAGTTTTTACTAAACGACGTCCAATGGACTGAACATTCTCGACTGGAAGCCTGATGATAGCACAACGTCGTGCTGAAACCTAGGTCGCAATCGACTTACTTTGAACTGGAGACTGAAGGTAATTAAACCATTATATTATTTTTTTTTTAAATCCCATGGTTGTGAAAATCCATAAGATTTGTGAGGCAGACACAGTTTTATGGACTGGTGTACTTTCAAAAATATACGTTGTTAACAATAGACACAGTAAACAAACATTTCACACACCAAAATTGTTCCCCTTTCAAAATATGTATCATAAATAATGTAAATCATGACGTATTTGTGCATGGATGTAAGAACGATGGTGAGTTTTTGTAGGTGCACCTTAGCAGAAATAATGTTGTACAATTCATAAAAATTAAGACTCTATTTGATGCTATTACATTTACTGCAAACCCCTAGTTAATCTTATTGCAAACTCTAAGCTTTACATACAAAAATACTTACAAAAGATGGATTTATTCCCCCAAAAACAATATTTGGCTGATCCAACACCCTGAACTTGTCCTTTTTGTTTACTTTGAACCTAAATCCTGCGTTGACGTATGCTATAGCGTTCTGGGCTCTGGGGGTTATCTAAAAACAAAAAGGATGTTGGTTTATGTTCAAATTAATAGAGTAGATCCATTTGTATATTTTGAGATTTCAATTTTTTTCTGATTTTATTTTAATATTTCAATAATTCCTCGGGTTCCCCACACATTGCTGTGACAGTAGAAGCATTAGCTAGCCTTTATGGGACCTTGATGCAGTTAATATCATCATTTTATTTGGAACACCATTCCCATAAACATTTAAGGTACAATTTGGCATATTGTAGATTAATATTGGTACAAGTTGTGTATATAAAACTATTAATGTGCATATCAATACATTGGATTGGGATAGGATCTATCTACTTAAAAAGTAACATTCCTTTTCTTATTTTCCTCTAGTTGTGTATACATTTTCCGCCTACAGTATTCTGTTGATACTTTTGTCAATTATTTTCTTTAAATCATGTTAATGCAATATTACATTATTGTTGCTGTTTACCAGAAAACTCTCAAATAAAAGCTTGGAGTTGGTAAATAAGACGTGTATTTGCTTAAAAATATTATGTTATTTGTTGTACCTTGTACGTTCGCACTTCATAGAAATTGGAGTTGAGAGGAGGTAATATTATCTGAAGAATAACCTTCTTGTACATGTTTGTCTCGAGGAATGCCGGGAGAGAGAGCAAAGTAATAGCTTCATTGTCACCTCCTGCAAGAGAGTAGCCTTTTACTACAATACAATCCATTACATCTAATTTCTCATTTGTTTCTACTTGGACAGTAATTTCTCCCAAAGGTATAATCTTAAAGCCACCATATGCTTCTAGTCGTACCTTACTTTTTCTTAGCTTATATGATAAGCCAGAGTTCTTAATGATATCATAAGGTATTACATTTACCTCAGCACGGTAATTTGCTCAATATTTCATCTAACTCTGTTATCAATTAGCAATAATTAGCAATATTAGCAATATACTTCATAAAAGCAGCTAGAAGTTGATTCACCATACATAGTTGCAAGATGATGTACTCTACAACTTTGCTGTCTTTTTTGTAAGGTTAAGGCTGATCAAAATAAGAAAAGTTTATTTAGGAGTCAATTAAATTTAAACTGAACTAGTTCCAGTGAATATGGAACCTAGAGGATGGCTGTTCCAAATTTTCCTATAAATTGTGTGTTCTTGGCATGCAGAGAGATACACCGTATTTGTATATGTTTTTCATATATTATTAATTGGTATAGAATTAGCCCCCAAAGGGGAGGTAAATGCTCGGTGTTGGTATCGGCATTTTCAAGTAGGCCACAGACATGGACGACTGGGCATTGGGTCCCAGTGACATTCCTTTATCCAGGATGGAGGGGTGTTTAGCTCTAGGAGAGATGGAAGTGCATCATATTCTCTAACCTACCTGTGTCTGTGGTTCTTTGGGCTTCGGCCTGCTTGTTGTGTGCGACCAGCATTCAGTGTGGCAAATCCTCGACTTTGGAAGTAACCTTTCCTGGAGGTGAAAACGGGCAAGTACCCGTAGCTCACGGGGACACTCAAGGGCAACGTAACTTTTCGCAGTGTGAGGGCAACGGTTTGTAGGCACTTATGTAAACCAATCCCTGTCTCTGAGCACGGACGGTATGGTTATCTTGAGTGTGGGGGGTTCTTCCCGGAACCTCAATTGAGTCAAGGGTGTCGCCACCTCTGGTGGATAGGTTCATCCGGGTGGGTCCCACTTCTATACCTGCCTCCTTTTGGGAAACCCTGATGGCCTGGCAGTGATGTTGGGTCTGACGGGCAAACGAAGTAGATCGGGTGCCGGGTCCGAGCCCGCCAGGGGTATCTGGGGATCTATCGCTCTGGTTATCTCTGGTTTCCCAGCAACTGGGTAAGGCCTCGATCGGGTAGTGGTGTAAATGGGAGGTGGTCCCCTTCCTTCTGGCTATTGATGGCGGGTTTGCCTGTCAGGGATTAGATAGGTCCCGAGTGTTACTTGCACTAAATGCGTCGGGGCGCTCTACCATGGACCTCTAGGTCCCGACCTTGTGGAACCCAGGTGGAGTGACGCTTAAACAAGTAGCCGGAAACCTTGGTTAGGATTGAGGGGCAACCCTCTTTCCGAAGGGTCTGCTTCGGCAGCCGGTGAGCCTGATGACCTTAAGTCATCCGCCCATGATGTGCAAAAGGTTGATGCGTAAGCTTCGGCCTACATCATGGGGCCCGGGTAAGTCTCACGACAGGTACCGGGTATGTAGTCAGGGGGCTTCGGCTCTCATGACAAATAATGTAATGTAATGTAATGTAATGGTATAGAATTAACCAGTGTGCTCGTTTTGCAGCGGAACACGGGACCTCTCTTTCGGGAGGATAAAAATATTGGCATAAATAGGTACAAATCACATTAAATAGATTACAGTTCTGGCACCTCATTTTTTTACAAATCGAGAACTGGTATTAACGAAGAAATAAATATTCAGGAACAGTAGCGCAGCAGGAAGCTATATTAATTGTATTAAATCCATAAACAAAATAAGTCAACTATATAAAATGAATCATAACATAATTGTCTTTCAATTGTAGTTTTGGTAGAGAAAACAAAATGTTTGTTTCTGTTTCTATAAAATTAACTGTTTATATATTTACAAAAAACCAGAGCATGCGTGTGAGTAGGAATCAATCTAACTCAAAAAACAAAATTTGTTCTTCAAATTTTTTTTATTTTAGTGATAAATAAAGTTGCATGATAACATTTTTTTTATACAACAAACCTAGAATTTATATTAAACTGTTAAAACTGAGGTAAATTAAACTTTGTGTTGATTTTTTACTGATACTCACTGATTGACACCAAAGCCCCAACTGTTTCCAATATGAGGAAGATGTCAGAGGGAAATGCATTCCACGTATGTTTAATGGTCAGATTTCCTGCAATTGTGCCTACCTGAAAATATTTAAGATTAAATTAACGATATATTAACCTGAGAACAATGATGAATAACCTAACTGATCTATTGAATCTATTGATCTGTGTCATTTTGTGTCAGTAGCGATAAACTTAACACTAACAGTTTTATAATCTTTCAATACCATACCCTTTTATGTTTTTTAAGAGACTCGTTTAAGCCCTGTTTTGTTTTTTTCTAACCAACCTTTAACCGTTGTTATTATCATAGCCCTGGTAGCTGGGTACAGAACTAAACCAGTGACCTTTGGATTACTAGGTGACAGTAGCGGATCTAGAACAGTCACAAGGGGGGGGGGGCGAACCAGGGGTTCTGGAGGGTTCGGGTAAACTAAGTCTCCGAAATGATTAAACTCACTAATACTGTCAACATCCAACCAAGCTGGACACTGTTTGTTTAAGTTGGGCCCTCCACTCTAGCTAAAGCTACACAGCAAGCTCAATGGATTGCACCTCAACTCTACACTCATCAGTCCAACCAACGCCTAAGCCAACTGAGATACCTTGCCACCCTCGACTGAACCTATTGATTACCACTCAGGGCCGATTTACCGAATAGGCACGGTAGGCACATGCCTAGGGCGCGAGGCAATTGGTTTTTTTGAGGGGCGCCAAAAATTTGGAAAATAAAAAAATTGGTGGTTGTTTGCATGCGATTGCGGTAAACTTCTGATAATCCCTCGCGGCCGTGTAGACATCGTAATCGACTCCCGCGTTTGCGGCGAGATTCTTACTATTTTCAGCGGGCAGGTCGTTTGAAGACATAATTATCGTCTTCCATGATCGAAGCAATATATGAGCATATCCCGCGGTCGTGAGAAGATTATCATCGTCTACCGCGGATGGGGCAAAATTCCGATCTTTTCCCGCGGTCGTAAGGACATTATCTTCGTCTTGCGCGATCGCGGTCAAATACTGACCACCCCTCGCGGCCGTGAAGACATCATTATATCGTCCCCCGCGGTCCTGTGAACATATTAATCGCCGACCACGATTGTGACAAAATGGTAATCATCTCCCTCGGTCTTGTGGAGATCATCATCCTCTTCCGCAAATTAGGCAAAGTACTGAACTTTTCCCGCGATCGTGTGGCCATTATCATCGTCTTCCGTGATCGCGGCAATATTCTGATCATCCCTCGCGGCCGGGTATAAATCATGATTGTATCTCCCGCGGTCCTGTAGACATCGTAATCGTCTCCTGCGATTGTGGAAAAATTGTAATCATCCCCTGTGGACATATGGAGATCATCGTCTTCCGTGAATGAGGCAAAATTCTGATTTTTCCGCGGTCATGTGGACATTATCATTGTCTTGTGCGATCGTGGCATAATTCCGATAGTCCCTCGCGGCCGAGTAAATCATTATTGTATCTCCCGCGGTCCTGTAGACATCGTAACCGTCTCCCGCGGCCGTGTAAACATGGTAATCGTCTCCCACGATTGCAGCAAAATGTTAATCATGTTCCGCAGTTGTGTGGAGATCGTTATCGTCTTCCGCGATCGCGGTAAAATTCTTGCTGTTTCGCGCGGTCGTGTGGACATTATCATCGTCTTCCGTGATCGTGGCAATATTCTGAATATCTCGCGGCCGAGTGTAGACATAACTTATTATCGTCTCCCGCGGTCACGGAAACTGTTGTCATGCGCGATCACGGTAATTTGAAAACTCCAGGTAGAAATACAAAATTCATACATAATTCCCGGTTCATAAAATTCCCGCATGATTCCCGGATTTCCCGGTCGGTGGACACCCTTATATATATATTGCAAAGGGGCGCTACTATTAGTTGTGCCTAGGGCGCTAACAGGGTCAAAAACGGGCCTGTTACCACTATAAGCACACAATGACAATAATGACACTACAGCTTGTAGGTTAGATTCTAGATTCTACGTAGCCTACAGTACTATTTGAGAGTCATTTGGTTAAAAGCAAGTTTTTTACTTTTTTAGATAAATTAGTAATTCTAATTAAATATACATTTTACTTTCCCATTTTTTAAATATGTTATAAGGATGTTTTGATACTGTATTACTGTCACTATCATACTCAAACGTTTTATCCTCACACTCACAATGCAATTAGACCTACATGCATACAATATACCGAACTTACATTTCTTACAGATGTGTTTGCCACTTTTTCAATGTGCTTAGCTAGCACCTTTGTATAGGAGAAATATCCAGGATTTTCTTCGGCCACTGCCTTGAACAACTTGATTGCATCTGCAAGAGTTGTGTTGGCTCCAACGTACAAGTTACCCGAATAAAACGAGTGAGCTTTAAGAAACCCCACTCCATTTATATCAATGAACAGATCAGGCAAAGGTTTGTCTTTCAATATACCTGAAAAAACAATATATGTTTGCTTAGTTTAAAGGAAAACTCATCTTTTATTATTGTAAAATATTTATTAAAAACTATTCTATAAAATTTGACATGTAATACATTTAAACAGTTAAAACAATAATAGATCAACTTTGTATTTTTTCACTACTAGCTGTTTCATGTTTTTACTGCAGTAAGCTATTAGTGTACTGATTATGTTTTGCAACAACCTTGAGACGTGTTTCCACCCACGAGCATGTAGGAGCCAGTCACCGAGGTGAAGATCTCAAATATCTCATCTACAGAAGTGACCTTGTACCAATTAGAGCCTCCTTGCATTTGCAGCCGCAGTGAGGGTGGAGCCAACGCCACCTCCACAAACTCACCGTCACCTTCACCATCCTCTCTACGACTCATCTCCACACAGTCGTACAGGCCTCGCTGAGCCCCTGGTCTGCACTTCCCTTGACAAGGCACTCCACTGCGCTTGCACACTTTCAACAGGTCCTGCAGGATTGCTGATTAGAAGCATTGACTATGTACCATAAGATATATGTTGGTTAATTTTTTTACTTCTGTATTAATATAAGTATGGTAGACATCCCATTTCCATATTGAATAAAGCTATAGGCTGTGTTTTACAACAGAAAGGGTCATTACTGAATAAATCCACTGACAGATTAAATGCCGATGACAAATAATTGCTGATTTCTGTGGAATACACAGATTTTAGAGGACAAAATCTAAAGTAAAGGAGGAAATGATGAAATCAAATTTAGCAAGCAGCACTCTATGGCTGGCTCATTGAACTATTCTATGAACACATTTAACACACACACACACACACATCACATTTATTTTATTTTGAAACACATTTAATTATGTTATTACTGTTGGGGTAATGCTAAGTAATATCCCAGACAAAGGAATAAGTTAAGTACAAACTACTTAACTTATTTTACAGGACTTTTATTTATTTTACATCCGAAAAAAAAAAACATAGTTGACACACTAAAATGGAAATAAAACTTTGAAAAAATAATAATTATCGTATAAGTACTAAGTAAAAGTGTATAAGGATTTCACCCTTAAATACTCATCCTTGCACATTCATACTTATTTGGGACTTTAAGTTTAAGTGATTTTTGTGAAGGCTAACTTTGATGCCATAACATTAAATTTTCCTATCATATCGTACCTCGATATCTTCTACTTTTTTCTCCAAGTCATCAGTTCTATCTGATGCAAATGACTTGAAGGCATCCAAGATTGGACGGTAGCCTGTGCATCGGCAGAGATTTCCAGAGAAAGAGTCCTCTATTTCTTTCATTGTAGCTTTGGGGTTAGCTTCAATAAAGCTAGAAAAATTACAAAATTATTGTTATTACACCAACCTGAATAAGTTGTAGTAAATGTCAGATAAAAAACTTCTGAAATACAAACTAAAATATCTAATTCGCTATATTTTCCCTAATTGTTTGCCCAAACTGTAATGGGATAAGAAGAGGAAAACAATCATCACCTACTGCATAGTGCCATAAGATTTTTTAATCTTAAAGGTTAGATTATGCTATGAGGTTTCATATTACTTGTTTGATACAACAAACGATAGACGCACATGAAATAAATTATTAATCCTTGGGCACTGTAACACTAAAATCACCAAAAGCCTCATCCTACAGAGAAAATATACTGTATTATGGTACTAGTATAAATGTACTGTCTGAAACTATGATCAGAACAGCCAGAGAAAAACATTACCTTGGGTATAGAGGTGTCGTAAACCAGCATTAAAACTCAACATTTTTTGTTTAAATTATAAAAAAACTTTTTTGGAGGAAGCTCCCCTATCAAACTCCTCGATCCTTGTCAGGCCCAGTGACATATCCAAGGGGAGGGTTTGAGGGGTTTGAAACTCTTGACCTTAAAAAGGGATATTTTACAATTAAAATTGTTCTAGAATTCAAGAATCTCTTTGATATGTCGCTAAATAGCCTAAAAACGCGAATTTACAGGTATAATTTTCACAAATCTTCCAGGGGAGGACCCCACAGACGCCTTGGTGTTGCCCCATTTAGGGAAATCCTAGTTAGGCCTACCCAAAAAATTATTCCTGGAGCCACCCCTGCTAGCGTTGTAAGCCTGTCCTTGTCTTGACCAGGCCCAGGAGCTTTTGCCCAATGTTATCGTACGGTTCATCAACTGGCTGCTTATGACTAAACAGGGCTCTTCTCCTAGCCCCAAGTCTGTCTCAACTCAGTTTTATGTGCTTTACAGTCTTATCGGACTGTTAGTAAAGTCGACAATCCTGATAGTTATTGATGATTCCCAGAGTGTGAAGAACTTTCCTGAAATACCACTGCGTCTTTACCATCATCATAACTACGGTTTGAATCTGGACTTCTTTCTTTTTCCGAGGGTGGAGTAACTGTTGCACCTCTAGTGCGCTTGACCTTGCGCTAATATTTGGACTCAGAGTCGGGCGTCATAATACTCCCTCCTATGGTCATTGAGACTGTTTCTTTTATGAGTTATACCATTTGAGGGAAGGGTAAAACTCTAGATGAAGTATTGTGATGCTACTTCTTGGGTTGTGTAGAGGTTTGCTTCTGGTACCATTTTGGTTTTCTAGAAACCATTAAGATTCCATGAGTTATGAAGGATTATGAGGGTTTCACACAAAGGGCTGAAGTTCAAGCCCAGACAGAGCCCGCATGCCCGGGTAAGGCTAGTTACTCCAGGAGATCACCTGATATTATAGAGGCTTTGTACACACACTGCTACGGATCATTAGGAGGACTTCTTTGACGTGGGTCGCTTGACACCACAAGGTTCAGAAGGAAAACCCACTGAAACAGAAGCAAAAGGAAGAAGAGTTCTACAATAAGAAAGCGAAGAAGAAAGAAGAACCAGCAAAAGTAGAAGTATGCTAGCCATAGAGCTCAGAACGAAGAAGAGAAGGGATCTGAGGGTTGGCTACCCTTCCTCGGGGTCGCCAGCCCATGTATAGTTGACAGACAACTACCCCTGAGAGGTAATAAAGGCTTTGTGTAACTGGCTTCGAAAATAATGTCTCACACTACATTGAAGAGATCTTCAGCTGAAAAAAATATGTATAATATACCACACTACTTCAGACACCATAAGAATAGCAGGTATTGGTAGATTAAGGCATTTGAGTGCAGTGCAGCATGCATATATATACATATTTGAAGGACATGAGCATTTTCACCTCCTTGGTGATAAAGTGCCTGAAATATATCCAGATGAGTATACAACCCAGCCAAAGAAGGAACATCATTAAAGAACACCCATACAGAGAACTGCTTATAGAGCTTAGAACCCTAAACAAAAATGGTAACATAAATTCACCATCTCAAAAATTACATTTAAACCTTCAAAAGTTTACCTGTACATACTCATGACCCATCCCGGTGTGCAGTAGCCACACTGAGTGCCATAGAAGTGAGCCAGTCTGGTCTGAATCTCATTGTATCCTTTCTGTCTGCTGCCGATTCCTTCCACTGTGGTTACTTTGAGACCATGACAAGCATATACAGGGAACATACACTAAAAAAAAACATGAATTTGAAACGTGTATTGCCCATTAAAGTAGCATTAAAAAATATATATAAACAGTATTAATTATTAAGTAAGAAATGAAGGATTTGGAAGTTTGTGTATGAAGATTACCAAAACAGACAAAAAATGTACTATTCAGTTTGCTGTTCATTGAAGACCAACACTAAACTTTGCTATAACATTAAAAAGCAACCCATGATTTTGATGACTGGTCATTATCAATCAGTCAACATTTCTGCAAACATTTTTTAGCTATTAAGTTTGGCTAAATTTTAGAGTTGACAGACACAATCTTGTGTTCCCCTGTAGCAGGATGGGTAAACTCCAGTGTGACAATACATGTTCCAAAACCTCCCTCCCGACACATGAACTTGGTACCCTTCAGTCTTACTAAAGTTGCTTACAGAGTTGACAGACACAATCTTGTGTTCTCCTCTCCAGTAGCAGGATGGGTAAACTCCAGTGTGACAATACAAGCTCCACAACCTCCCTCCCGACACATGAACTTGGTACCCTTCAGTCTTACTAAAGTTGCTTACAGAGTTGACAGACACAATCTTGTGTTCTCCTCTCCAGTAGCAGGATGGGTAAACTCCAGTGTGACAATACAAGCTCCACAACCTCCCTCCTGACACATGAACTTGGTACCCTTCAGTCTTACTAAAGCTACTTACAAAGTTGACAGACACAGTCTTGTGGTCTCCAGTAGCAGGATTGGTAAACTCCAGTGTGACAATACAAGCTCCACAACCTCCCTCCTGACACATGAACTTGGTACCCTTCAGTCTTACTAAAGCTACTTACAGAGTTGACAGACACAATCTTGTGTTCTCCAGTAGCAGGATGGGTAAACTCCAGTGTTACAATACAAGCTTCACAACCTCCCTCCTGACACATGAACTTGGTACCCTTCAGTCTTACTAAAGTTACTTACAGAGTTGACAGACACAGTCTTGTGGTCTCCAGTAGCAGGATTGGTAAACTCCAGTGTGACAATACAAGCTCCACAACCTCCCTCCTGACACATGAACTTGGTACCCTTCAGTCTAACTAAAGCTACTTACAGAGTTGACAGACACAATCTTGTGTTCTCCAGTAGCAGGATTGGTAAACTCCAGTGTGACAATACAAGCTCCACAACCTCCCTCCTGACACATGAACTTGGTACCCTTCAGTCTTACTAAAGCTACTTACAGAGCTGACAGACACAATCTTGTGTTCTCCAGTAGCAGGATTGGTAAACTCCAGTGTGACAATACAAGCTCCACAACCTCCCTCCTGACACATGAACTTGGTACCCTTCAGTCTTACTAAAGCTACTTACAGAGTTGACAGACACAATCTTGTGTTCTCCAGTAGCAGGATGGGTAAACTCCAGTGTGACAATACAAGCTCCACAACCTCCCTCCTGACACATGAACTTGGTACCCTTCAGT